GAAGGATGAAAAGAATGGACTGATAAAACTATTACTAAACTGGTTGTCAAGTGGGAATAGTTTGAATTCAATACCTCTCGCCTCCTAGTTAGAAATTAATCATTGGTAATAATGCGGAAGTGTTTCCGAGCTCAGTGATGGGGTTTTTGCTTGAGTGTCCGAAGTAAAAGTTGGCGGGGAATAAAGGTGACGAAGGGAAATGCCAGACTATTGGGTACAAGTGGAATCATAAATCTGGGGGGATGTTTTGTTCGATGAGACTTAAAGTACACCACCACAGTAAAGTGGATAACTTCCGCAGCCTAACCCTGAGGTTCTTGCCAAATAACCCGCTTCTATTAAAAGCTTATCCACAGTCATAGGATTTTGGGATAAAATACCAGATTTCTGAAAGTCCCGAAAGGGAACGGGACCGCATGAGTTTCGGGAAATCTACCAAGAAAATCCAATAGCATCCAAAAAGGCCTCATGGCTTTGGTTTTATTACACCGGGAAAACATCTTATAGTGTTTATCACCGCAAAAGAAACCACTCGAACAGGCTAGACCTTTTCTGAAGACATTCAAAAACACTTGCCTCCAGCCTAGTTTTCATGGAGCCATGTGATAAAATATTTGATTGTTGTGGAAGCTTACCATAATGACAACTTTCAATTTATACTTGAGTCCGGCCAATTTGAGGAGAACTATGGATGTTTGGCAGAACTTGTGTATTTCGGTGGACAGGTCAAGCGGGAATCAACCTAGACAGACACTGGGGGTTCACTCAACATTCACTTAGGGAAGCTGTGAATGTAATGCGTACTAAAGCAAGGGAATTCGATAACTGGTTACCGAAATGCAACCTTCATCAAACTGACTTCAATAGATACTTTCTGTTCGTCGCATTTTTCGTCTAGTGCGAGACACCTGGTGGGAACTTTGTGCCGCAGCGACTCAGGTCGTAAATAATCTATTATGGCTAAGCTGTTCTTGGAGATTCTGGAAGTTTATTTGCCCCTCACAAAAAGGCGACGACGTTTGTCGATCTTTAGAGTTTCTCTTAAGTTCACTGAAATAAGAATTTGACTACATATCTACAAGTAGACAATGCCCCTGGTTTTTAGATGTGTACTTTGGTGGTCTTGGTATGGCAGGATTACCGGTACCTTTATTGCCTATTGCGATACTTTTTGAGTGGCACATATCGATAGTAAATGAAGAAACAAAAATTACCGAATGGATTTATACTTATGTCAAAGGGCGGTAGTTCGTAATATTGTTTCTAGTGTGTATTAAGTTTGTTACAACACACCGGTGCATAGCAGATACCGGGCTCTCTGTGGCGTGTAAAGGCTGAAGTTTATAGTTAGATGGGATATTCGTAAGTACTTGACAGTGTCAAGGGAACGTGGAGAGATACGCTGACGTAGTTCTTGCTGGCCCAGACCGATGAGTCATTATTAGTTCGAGGTTGAATTGTCACAAAACATGTGTACACCACATAGTAGGAACAGATACATCTAAAAAATATTGAGTTCGTTTCGCTTTCGAAAAATTTCTGAAATATTGGCAGCAACGGTAATACCACAACGATAAAGCGAAGTGCAAGCTTCATTTCCCTAGCAAAAACTAGGGCAAGAAAAAGCCATTTTAAAGATAAAAAGTCGGCACACGTTCGCTCATATTAAGCAGTTAGCTATGTCACTAAATGTCCCGACAGCCTAACAGTCTCAAGCGAACATGTTTTTTCCTTTGTGTCCATTTTGGTGGGTGGATCGTTGAGAAATTCAGTAACCACATCTTCTACTGGTTGGCTGTGGTGAGGAAAAGAGTGACAGTATGATGTTGTTTTGGCATTGGACCTCCGGTGATCACTGTTTGGACGCAAATTCTAGCTACCCGTTAGGCGCACTATATATGATGGTAGTGCCAAAAGACCATGCGACGCCTTGATGATGCCCAGTTTAAGCCCGTGGTCGAACACGCTGTTGACGTTCTGAGGTCATCGGGGACCAGGCGGCGGGAATTGGATGTGGCGGGTGAACCTATGGCTTCGATGTCATGCTAAACACAGCAGAGTATGAGTCGGTTTCTCGAATTGGGACATTTGCTTAGCACTTTCTGATAGGGAGAGTCTACCTTATGTTTCACTCTAGCTGCAAGCAAACTTGAAACCACATGTGTAGTTCAGCTGATAGATAACTTCTTACAATGATGTACCCGTTGTTGTTGAGTAACCACGAGCAGGTAGTAGCCGTTCGGTGAATCTATGCCAATTGTGAATATTGAAACATCAGGCAGGAGTGCCCATTTTACAGGTTTATGTTAATCCAGGTTGAGATTACGGGTTTGTAGGCCAGTGATGACGAGGTGGCGAACATTCGCCTTCACGTCAACAGTGTGCAACAAACGGCATTTTCCGCCGGCTATGGCTGTCGCTCACCCGGGCCAGTGAGACGGTTTCTCAGTTTTATGCAGTCCTTGTTGAAAGTGAACGGCTTTTGACAATTTCTGACTTATCGTGAGCCTGGCACTATTCAGGTTTTCCGACTAAGCGTGACCTAGGTGCTGCTTAGCTATGTGGAATGCTGCTACAAAGCGGAGAATGCTTCTGCTCTGCACGTCGTAGCCCAGGGCTTGGGGTCCGTAAAGGTAACTCAGTAGAGTTGCGTGATTTGTCACATCCATGGCGTCATAAACTCCACTATAATCAGCATCCTGGAGTTCGACAGTATTCAGCATTGATGCTGACCGTCATAGTTTCGTCGAACTCGCTAGGGTGAAGGCACACACCAAGCGGCCGTGACATTTGGCACGCTGTCGCACTACGTTGCGCTGCTCGTAATCGACCTCCCGGACAGCTAGTTGGAGTCCAGTGGTGTTTTGCCATGACCTTGCAAACATACCGTCACACCTGACTGCACCACTTTGTCCCTCCTTGGTCTGGTGTTCGTGGGTATATTGGAAGTACGAATAACTGATGATTGGCCTCTGTATCTGCCAGTACAGTTCCTAAACTTCTGACTGCTGACTTTGGTTTTCCTATTCCGGAGGATGTTAGGACAGGTTCACTAAAGATCACCAGTACTTTGTCAAGGCTTCCTGGTCGTCAGCGACAACCGGCTGAAGTGTCACCGGAACGGTTTGAACCGGGTGTGGCAGTTCGGAAAATAACGGTTCATGAAAAAGTCCATGGTCAAAAGCTCGTTGGCCCATGACTTCTTGCATGCGTGCGAGCACATGAATGGCAGGGCCTTTCAGCAGCGACTCATCTGGGCGTTGGAGATCAGTGAGGTTTCTTTTCTTCGGAAAAGCCATTTTGAGCAATGCTTAAAGGTCACTTACTTCCGAGGTAGATATACACTCTGTGACGGGCCCACTCAATCTCCGTGGTATTGATTACGTAACAGCAATAAATCGGGGATATGGATCTCTGACGCCTTGCTGCCGAAAATCAGCTTTAGCACACAGCAACCACATTTCCACTTTGTTTGGCCAGCGTGATACGACCTGGATTGGGTGCGTTATCGGTTTAAAGCCAGTGAGTTTAGGATTCCGGTCGCACGTGGGTACAGTAGTTTGTGGTGATTCAACAAAAGTTATCGATATAAAAACGAAAATGCTTAAGCATAAGAAGAAATGAGGTCGTCAATTTAGAAATGGGTCTTACGTGAACTGGACAGGTGCAAAGCCAGTTACAAATTTCTCGTACTTGTCATATACCCACGGGTACGAAATGAAGAAAGAATACAGCAGAGTGGCAAGGCGCAGTAGTGAATTTGGTAACCATGCCAAAATATCGATGCTTTCTTGTTAACTGGATAGAAGATTGTGTACGAACAACGCAAAATGACACGACAACATGCCGAATGGTATGCATTCTCGATCGTATGACTTGAGCCTAGCAATTCCACTGAAACTATGAAAGTCAGCATCAATGTTGAATCCTGCCCAAATCTAGGCTGTTGATTCGGGAAAATTGTTTTCCGTTACAAATACAACAATCAACGATACTAAGAACGGGAAAACACTGTCTACCTTTTCTGGGTTGAAAATCGTGTATTCTCTTAGGTGAGTCACGCCCACTTGTCGTTAGAGGTCTGTTTCATATTCGGCTTATCGATTATAAAATCGTTAATTTATTTGCTAAAAATGGAAAGTGGCAACCAGCTTAAAGTGTTCCCCGTTGTTCGATATAAACTTCCGCTTCAGTCAGTCAACTCTGTCCTGACTGCAGTCAACCTAATAACCGGAAGCATAAGAACGCATACCATTAATTTTCAACCTAGAAACTGAATAGTCGTATCCATGTATTGCTCTATAATCCCGGAAAATCTGTCCAGTGATCCGAGTTTTTAATGAGTCATTAACTGATATCATTCCTTGACGAATACTATCTTAAAACTTGTATGGTTTTGTTTTCAAAACGACAATAAATTACTCGGGTGCATTCCAAATCTTTTTGAGTCATCTTGTAACTCTTGACTAGAGTTGAAAGAAATCACCAGAATAAATACAGTAATTCTCCAACCTCCGGTGAAAACTGGAATTAGCTTTCTGTGGATGGCTTTGCCACTAGCTAATTGAGCGAACTCGGTGGTAAAACTAATATAATGAGAAAAGAAACACTTTGAGATGGTTAAGGAATTCGAAAAGTTTACTGTTAGGCTCTCAGTCACTCCTCTGACTGGTGTGAGTCTTTTCACAAGAATCCATTCATTATTTTTTCAGCAGGCTGACACAAATCTTCCGACCACCTTCGCAAATAATGTAATGAACAACTGGGTATATTTGTCTGTGCAAAGATTCACTAACTGCCAAAGTAAAGAGACAAAGTTGGCTCTTCTGTCCTTTCCCGGTATAGCCATTAGATTTGCTTCTTTGTTTTATGGGGCAAACTAGCAGGTATGTCACACAAGGTCATTTGTAAATCTACAAATCTTGGGCGGTTCTTTGAGTTGTCTCTCCGAGGAATGTGTTTTCGGTTGTGAGAACGTGCATTAACCTGGCTCACCTGCTATGTCTGTATTAGGCGACACTCTGCACGCTGCCAACGGGAGTGAGGAAGTCATTTCAAAAGGAGATGTGTGTCCTCGAAGACTATCACGGGTGTCACGACTAAGAGATATGTTCCAGAATGGTATTGTAAGACCTATTGACGATGCGGAAGATGGATATAATGTCGAAACTTCTGTGTGTCCATCATCCTCACGCCCCGAGCTAGAAAGGTTTTCAAGGTTAGTTCCTTACCTCTGTTTTATATCATGATGTAAAACATTGCAATGTTTTCACACTTAGTCAAATTTATGTGATAAAGTAAATCGCTATGACCAAAGATACTTCATGTAAAACAAACCTATATGTTGATTAATTTGTTAAAATATCTTCCTGAGTTGATGTCTTTAATTATTATTTCTAAAGTCCATCTTCCGGTGGTTCAGTTTTACTTCAGTTGTAATTCAGTCAAAGACTTACAAAACCAAGGCGATGAAACTTCGGTTATGGCATAATGCTAATATGTGTTCCCGAGGCACACCATCCCAGCATTGACCCCATCTTAGTACTGCGTTGGCCTCAGGTTGACCCCTCGAATTGTTTACTCTAACTTTTTCCACTTACACAGCCAGTATTTCCGAAGTAGTACCTAGACGATTGGAATGAAACTCTGAAATGATTATCATATAGTTCTGATTTTATTAGATCCGAAGCCAAAACAGCTGGCACATTGTTGACACTGAAGATGACTTATGTATTCACTGTCTTGACCTTAAGATTGTTAATTTTGAACATTTTACCGAGCACTTCTGGTCACATTGTTTCTGTTCACCTAATAGAACATAATTTTGCCTAACCCGAGCGTGTAAACGATTGGAAAGGTGTTGTTGAGTACCAGTTGTTAACAAGTATGATAATATATGTCGAGTTTCCCGACGGCATATTTCACTAACCATTTTTCTGGAACTACTACCATTCATGTTTACTTCACCATTGATAGGGAGTGGTGAACACTTCGTTAGCAGTTCCTAGATTAGGCATTGTGCTTGGGATTGGTAAAGAATTTCATCCACTGAGTGAAGTAGGTTTGAAACACGTGCTTCGCTGATTTGGATATATATTACAAATGTCTCAGTGGCTATCTAGCCGTTGATCATTTGTGTGCCGTGGTACTGGTTGGGAAAAATGTTTGATGTTTAAAATCGCAGCGCAAGTACATGGTAGTTGTGTCTGGTAAACAGCTGTATCTGTCTTATGACTTCGTGGATGGGGTCCGAGACTAAGTGTGGTAAAATAAAGGTATACATTTATCCTAGTAAAATTAGTTTGCAATGGTTTGTCGATTGACGTTTGTGTAGGTGTTGATTGTTATCTCATTTTAATAGTCTTCATGATCTTTCATAGGACAAAGTTCATTAGCAATTTTGACGGCCTGTAAGTAGTTGGTCATTCCTATTAACCCGAAGTTGACCGTACCTTTGCTTACTGATCCAACGTCAATCGTGTCTATTTAGTGACTACATTTCCTTTTCAGATGCGAATGTAGTCTATATTCTACTGAGTATGAACTGTTCTTTTTCTTTAGAGCGTTTATTTGATGTGATGCAACAGAGTTGAATCTTTAAACTAGGTTTGCCATTTACTCTCAGTAGGATTGTCTTCATTTTAAGCGATATACGACAAGTACTATATTTACTGCCATATCTCACAGTGCATACAGCTAAGTGTTAATGGAGCAACTTATGTGTAGTTGACATGATTGAAGCACTGACGTTTGCTCGCTTCTTACTGTTTACAAAATTTATTTCAGTCACCACAATACCATTAAGATTACTTTCCTATATAGTCATGTCATCGCGATAAATCGAACGTTACATCGTTATAATGGTTTTCACCACCAGCCAACCACATTATTGTCTGTATTAAAAGTATGGTTTCAGGTCATCATTGTAGTAAATGTTTGGTTCAAGTGCTTACGCCTCTGTGTGATGTACTATAACCTCTCAAATATTTACGCAAAACGCTATCAGCTAACAAAGTCAAAGGAACCACAATAAGATGCATTTTTCGGTTACTAGTTGTTTTCTATGTATTCACTTAATATTGGCATTATTGCCTAAAAGTTCAATTTGCCACACCTCACATCATATCAAGGTAAAATGCACCAAGATAAAAGGTAGAAAAGTGGGGAAAATTAATAAAAGTCGGAGGTCAGAAGAAAAGAAGATATAGTAATGACGAAGTACAATATGGCAGTTAGGGTACAGTTAGTGTATTAGTGCATCTGTGATGGTTAGATCGTTTTCGGGCCATGTCGCTTAGTGTCTCCAATCACCAATTTCACTTGCCATGCCAACGCCAAACAGAAAGTTCGCATTTTCCTACGTGGCTCAAAACAAGTCAGAGACTTCATAGAATGATGCCACGTCTTAGCCCGGGCGTCTTCGACCAGCTGGTATGCCATGCTTATCCAAAACTCCTGCGTTACGTGTTGGTTCCATGGCACGACCTATGTTACTGTCGGGTACCTGAAGCCTCATATCCTCTACCTTTATTGCCCATATTTCTTAATCTTATGCTAGAATTGAGTGAACTGCAACGCGGTACACTCAACTCTTATTGGGCAGCTGAATAGCACCATAAATTGCGTTAGTTTTCAAAGGTAATCTAGCCTTTTTTTCATGCAGAGATTTGGTCGGTTATTGACCCATCAGAGCTGGTTAAACATCACGTAGGCTAAATGGTCAAAGCGGTCAACTAATTCACTCATTCTTATTAAACGAAGTATGGATACAGACCAGTACTGACTTCACATCATATGTTTTCTCCATTCAGCTTATGATCCAGCACTAGCACATCCAGGTTCCTGCTCTAGGTAACAAACCACACTTATTGTGCGAAGACTGACGATGATACACGATTATGTGAACCGTGGTGGGTGAAAGAAAGCCGTTACTTATATCACAATGTGATAATAGGGTCCTTAAACCGATGTTCTTTGATAATTTGAACCTTTGCTTATTTTCTCGGGAAACAGTTTTGTGCTTCCCAACACTTTTGGTTTATGGAAGGAACTATGTCCATTTGTAATGGTTGCCCGATATAAGCCTTTCAGTAATCAGTAGAACAATAGGTTGCTGAGATGCTATGTTAATTTTCTGTGCAGTACTACAGAATTCATTGTAGTGTTCTAAGTTTTGTAATGTCTAACAAAACAGTGTAATTGCTGTCATTAAAAAGATGAAATCATAAACTTTTTACACTGAAATTTTCAGCGTGCTTAATGCGGTTATTCTCGAACAGGTGCCAACAAAGCTAACCGTATAACCTAGAGTTACAAGGTTGTAAAGTATCCGTTAGTTAACTTCTTATGTGTGTACATTGTATGAGTTAGCTTCACAGGTTTTAAGGATTAACTGAAGCTTTGTTATTCTTATGCAGGGCATTCCCAGGATCTCCCCCTATAAAAACTCTGCGTCATCATAGAACAAGTTTGACGAAGAACGAATCTACTCAACAAAGGTAGGTTATAAATCTTGTCCATGGTTATGTATACAGTTGGGAGTAATGATGTTGAGTAACTGCATATTCCTGGATGGTTAAGGTATTGTATATATTTGAATAACTAACGGGAAATTACTTAATATGATTGCTAACCATACGTGATGGTTACAAATTCCTAATCTCATTGCTTTTCTTTAAATTTATACTTGTTGGAAGTGTGACCATTCTTTTGTGTGGATTTCATTTCTAATCTACTCATCTCCTATGATTAAAAAGCATCCTTTTTGTTTGGGATTCAGATAAATTCACGATGTACAGGGTGTTTTCTGCCAGTCATGTCGTTGTCTCCATATTTATTTCGATTAATTGTCCTGTCATGAACTTCAACTAGCATTCGGGCGTCATGACATATCTTCGTTCATTTCGCTGCATATGGATAACTGCAGACATGAATTCGACTTCGAAAATGTGAAAGTCCTGGGTGGAGGAAATATAAAGAATGCCAAAGAATTTTTAGAAGTACTAGTATTAGTATTCAGGTCAGTCACCAATCAACAGACACATTGACAGTGACCCAATCTATCAACCAATAACAAGCAACAGGAAGGTCAAAGTTTACTTCAACAGGACAACCAATTGAAATAACTATTGAGACAATGACAGGACTTTAGTGGAAAGAACCCATCACACGTAAGGTCGTCAGGACAAGCTACTAAGCAACTTGTAGAGGAAACCCTGTAACTCACTTCCTTCTAAAGTTTGTGCCGATGATGTTTCGAGAATAACTGTTAAAGCTTCATGAATAAATCATCCAGCTCCGAGAACATAACACCAACAAAAGTACCGTTTTATTTCTAATGGTTTTAATACTTTAGTACCTCTTACTATAATGTTATATGACTTACCTTCAAAAGTATGCACTTAGCCGGGTCAGTTATTATCACCAAAATGTTTCATGGTACACGATAATCGAAATGTGTATCTATGTAGTCTGCGCTTTTGCATTTCTTGAAGTGGGGACGGTTCACCGAAGAGAAAAAGACTGGAGAACCAGCAGTATTTCTAACTTCACGCGAAACCCAGCTGCGTTATTTCTCTAACTGTAAAATCGATAATCAGTATTTTAGTACCTTCAAGGGCATTGAAGTGATACTGTTATCGCCTCATTGACTAGTGACTAAAAGCAGCAAAGTAAGAGTTGTCGATTACGTCGTTATTTCGAAGCAACCAGTTGTGTTCGGGTTCATCACTAGTTTGTTGTTTATGATTTATGGTAGACTCATTTCTACAGAAAGTTTGCAACGTTTTGCTATCTCTGTTTCTTCATAAAATTTATTTGCTTTCTTTAGAGAATATCATCACCTGTTTTAACGCTAATCTGTTTACTTCTTATTTTTTATCTAAGCTCTTAAATTTGTTTTGTACTAATCCCTCTGTTAACTGATCGATCTTATGAACTATTTCGCATAGTTACAAACTGGTTTAATTCTGCTTTCCCTTTTAGCATTAGTTCGTCCAGGTCAGTGGACGCAGCTCTTTCCTCTGGACATCGTTCCCTCCTTCAGTCTCCACCTAAAAGACCTCCAAAACCCCGCCACTTATGTTTGTCTAGTCCCACTACTCTTGAAGCTGTAAGCGACATATGTAACATTAATGATATTTCAATACTAATGCTGTTAAATTTATTGATTCACCTCATAAAGATAGATTTATTGATCTAAAAAAAGATAAGACTGTCTGTACGATTTTATTGAATTTATTCCAACCAATAGAGTGGTTAGTTTCAGTTTTTCCTATCAGCGGTTTTTAAATTCTAAGATAAAATAACACCATACACTTAAGAATCTCAGGGAAGAGGACACTATGTCTTTATTAATTTAATTAAAGTGATGAGCAGTTGGCTATAAAAGTCTGTCGTTAAATGAGATAAGTAGCAATATGCCCTTCGAAAGAGGATTAAGTAATAACTTTCATCGGAGTTTCATTAGTATCAGTCTACCATCACGAATTCCCCCATTGAGCGCATAGTTGTACTGGCTGCTTTTTCAACGAACAGATTCTTCTAAGTAGCAATAACCTCAAACTGATCAGTCAAACTATACCACCGTAATAGACTAGTACTGAAAACCTCTCCCTGCAAATTTGTAACCTTATGTTAACTGTCATCAACCCATGTAGATATTCCTTCCTGTGGAGCTATGACTTATTGGCTTCAGCAGTTAACTTTCAACCACTGGGTCACGCCTTCGTACACCGCTTCAACTACCATGGTTTGGACAGGCAAGCAGTATCATTAGTCCTTACACAATGGATGAGGTCCATTGTCGTCTACCGCACAAACGTACAAGGGGTTGCTGGATTAGTTTTTTTTATATACAACGTATAAGTACCACTAACTTGCATAAGCTAAATATATCAATAAATTCACATACTATCACCTGTAATGTACCTTGTTAAGCATTTTATCTCCTTTAAAGGTCGAGTTGAAGCCAGTTGCTTCGAAAATCTCTGTTGAAAAGAAATTTGATGATGAAACTTCAGAATCGTTGAAAATTTCCACGTATGTTGACATTATCTGTTTTTAAAATTTTCACAGTAAACAACTTGATGTTCAGTCTTTCAGTGTACATAGATCATGTTACAAAGGTATTCAGTATGAAAAATGTTCGATTCTTTATTTTGTACTTATTAGATTGAGTCGTATTCTTAATATCGATTATTTTTTATGTGTAACACTTTTGTCAAACACATGATTACCTCGTGAAGTCTTCAACAATGAAAGTTTTCAGGCTTAGTTAGTTGCAGTGCCACATGATCCGTAGTTCAAGTTAGTATGTTATCTTTGTTTGTCAATAACAAAGATCATCTACGATTTCATTGTATTGAAGTATCACTCATCGAATAGAAATCCATGTCAGACATAATCTTTGATGCGACCATCAGTTTCAATACTACTACTTAAGTTGTTGCACACTGTTATTCCGTGGTTATACTTTAGTTCTGAACAAAAACTCAGTAATTCAAAAGATAAATTCTTCGTATGAATTTGCATGAAACTTGAAAACTTAATCAGTTACATTAAGTCATATTAATTCAACCTTATGAAGTAGCAGCATGATACCAATCAAACTGCTTAATTCGCTTGCTTTAGGTAACATCTTTTAATCTGAAAAGTAAGGACTGAATATATGGATGTCTCTGTGTATATTTTTGTAAGCTCCGAATAGTCCGTCTTGAAGAGCATGCAAAACTTTATTTTTAATTGTGCTATGAATCTTGAGCAATTGAATAGTATGCTATCATTGTTCCACTGTTATATTCGGAAAGCTGGTGAGTTAAAGGTTCAGTGAATGATCATTTGACACAGCGGATTACTTCAGTTTCTAGATTGAACCACAACTCACAAAAATTATGTCAATCAGCACCAAGTTCGTTGTATTTGACCATTTGTTTTCTAAAACAAATCATCATACTTCAACAATAGCTTCGAAAGGTATTATAAAGTATAATTGCTAAAATGAGCGGATGACAAATACCTCCTTGACTGACTGACAAAATCAACGTAGGACCTCGCTACACAAGTGCATTGACTCAAGTTGCTACACTTCACAGTAGTATACAAGCATCAGATTAATAGAATAAGAGTGATACCAAAGTAGACAAATATTGACCAAGCTTTATAAGATATCAAGGAATGAATACATCCGGGCCATTGTGGTAGATCGTCAGTCATGTTACCAAGAGTCCTCAACCACTCATTACTACCGTCTCTAAGACCTCAGCCAGCCAGTGTACATCTTTCCATAGAGCTCAGATCAACACTTAGGGACTTCATCGACTGGTGCCATATCTCAGTCTCTTCAACTTCCCCTAGAATAGCACATGGAGATTAGGCGGTGGCTCGTAAACAAGTGATGCATGAAAGATGAAAGAAAGCGTAACAAATAAAATCTAAACTATTCAACTTTTACTATAAATATAACCTGTTTGCATCAACTTGGAAAAGCAGAAATCTTCAACAAAACCACTTAAGTATACCTAGAAAAAGAATATAAACAAGATTATTTTGACCTTAGTATATCATCAATCCCAATCTACCACTATAAGAGTTTTAGTTAATGAAAGTAGGAGCAGAGATAGAAGTTATTCTCTTTTTCACTGACGTTTGGATGTACCTTCCAACCAACTGTCGCACACAATGTTCACTTTCAGTATTCTCAGACTTAATGGATGATAAATCAATCCACACTTTTTAAAAAAAATCCCCAACAAAGGAATGGGTCACTTTACTATTCAATTACAATATTCTAAATTTAAAGTCAAGGTTTGTTTAGTGAGACAGGCATGTTTGAATTACGTATAATTTATGTTTTTATTATGTCCACTTCTTAAGTTTCTTTCATTTTTGTATTCACTTGATATATACATTCCTACCAGAAAACAGAATTCATTCTCAATCAATCACCCGTATATACTTCTTACTGCTTATGTTACTTATTGGGTTTTTCTTTTTCTTCTTTCAAACTATTCAACTGTATTCATTGATCATATAGTACTGACAATCAACCGTCAGCAGAAAAAGTAAATGGAGATTTACCCCACTCAAACACTGCTCAACATTCAGCAGTTAGTTCATCTCATATAAGTGCTATCGAAATCAAACCTCATCAAGTTATCAATGATGATCCGGTTGAACGTTTATCCTATGCGTCTATAACTCCATTCTATTCATTTAAGAAGAGTGCACAACCAACTGAAAACGGTCTAACCAATAATGATGGTATGCATTGGTTTATATATGTATATATGTGAAATGTTATGAGATATCCCAATTTTAAAAAAAAGTATGAGTAGTATACTGCTTAAGTGAAGAATATATTGCTTTATATTACCACTGGAGCACAGTGGATGAACTTTTTAAAATACATTAAAATGGACCTGTTTTTACGATCTGGCGTTACTTAAAGCGCTATTTTTTTTCCAGTGTACTACTGACATTTCAAAGCAAAAACCTGTTGCTTGTATAGTTTTGCACTATGCAACCAGCTGAAGTAACTATATGTGTCAGCAACTGTATATGGTAGGTAACGATTATCAAACATTTTAATTTGTAAGTGGTTTGTATCAACTAAATTATGTATTTTTTGTTTATCATTGTACTTTGAAGTTTGTCAGGAATCTTGTGATGCCATTCAATCTGCAGAAAATCCACATCTGCAATCAACTAAACGGTAAGTTATCAAAAGAAATGTTGTATTAATTCATTTTCATATCGACAAGGGATTTTTGATCACCCCACTTAGTCTAGTCTTGCTATTATTATTATTATTTATCCCTTGGGTTCCTGATGGAACATAGGGCTTCAATAGCACGTCTCCAGTGCACTCTGTTCTCTGAAAACTTTTGAACCTGGCTCCACGACAGCCCAGAAGCTCTCATTTCTTCCTCGCATGATCTCCATGTCATCCTGGGACGCCCAACTCGTCGTTTCCCATCTGGGTTCCACTCGAGCAACCGGCCTGGCGCGTGATGTCCTAGTCGGTCTTCTCAGTGTATGCCCGATCCATCTGCACTTCCTTCCAATGCATATTTGTTGAGCGATAGGTTCTTGCTTCGTTGGTTCGTTCCCAGGGCAGAGTTCCTTGTTGCTTCTCCTTTCTGGCCATCTGATCTTCAGCATCGAGCGTAGGCAGTTGTTGATAAATGTCTGTAATTTGTTGGAAATGCCTTTCGTAACTCCTCAAGTGACTGAGCCATACAGCAGCACTGACTTGACATTGGTGTTGAAAATCCGGATGTTGTTCCACATGCTGAGTGCAGAAGATCTCCACACTGGTTTCAGGCTAATGAACGCCTGTCTTGTTTTCCGATCCTGGCTTTCACGTCTTGCTCCTGAGCACTAATTCTTTTCTACAATGAATGCGTCAATCCTCACTAGTTTGCTGACTTTGTCTTAGACGATATTAATAGAGAATGTAGGTTCTTTGTTGTAATCCTTATAAATTAGTCTTTGTATATCAGTTGCTCAGAGAACTATCGCTGTACTTTATCCCATCATAGAGAGAGGAGCAGTTTACTATGTCTGTAGTCAAAGTCCTGGGGTTATTCGTCTTGGAAACACACTCAGTTTTGGAATATTATTTCAACTCTTACTCACTTCATGATTCCACCAAACGTGAGCACTGTTGATATACCGCATTTCTAGGTGTCAAAAGATTGAAATATATAAAAATTGCACAGATTGCTTCGATCTTCATCTTCTGCTTTTCGAACTCGGTGTATATCTTATCACATAAGTTAATCATCAGATCTTATTCGTATTCGTTTTTGGTTACTGAACAGCACTAAACTTCTATCAATCAAAAACTTATATACTTATTTGTTAACATTCTGTGAATATATATATATATATATATATATATATATATATATATATATATATATATCATGAACCACATTTCTGCTTATCGACCCTCATAATCGGCCTTAGTTGATGTGTTCAACTTGCCACCTAGTATCTGATATCACATTACTGTATATGAATTTTAGCTACTGTTTGTGTGCATAACACTGGATTATGTGTACAAACTCTTACTGTTGTTTTAGGAATGTACTATTTTGTTGTTATGATATGCGTGTATCTCGTGCTGCTGGTTGACTGATCACTTAAAAAAAAGGCATAATAGATCTTAATAAGTCAACTGATACTTAAATCTACCTGCAGTTTTACTCATCTCAAGTGAACACCAACTTTTTCTCTGTGTGTGAACTGTTAGTTTACTTCGACTACTTTTACCATTCAAGTAACATAGATTACTGCTAATGACTGTAATCTTTCGATTACAACCTGAATGACATTTGCAGTTTCCCATTATTTCAGCTTATAAATTAGTAGACTGAGGTGGTGACAATTGTTTCAAAAATTGTTATGCTTGTTTCCAGTCATTTCTTCATTCGGTTTATTGTCTGAATAATTCTGAACAAAAAAAGAAAAGCAAGATTTGTAGAATGAATATAATTCATCATATTTCATTATAGACATGCTCCAAATCTTAGAGGTGTCATCGAATTCTGAAAACAAGAGAATGTTGACCACAAATAATACCTAGAACCAATACCCATTTTAGTGTCTTGTTAAAATTCACTAAGAATTCTGAGATATAATAATCTTTTCCCTAACCAAATGGATGATTAAGGCGTAGACTAGTTAGTTCAAAGCAAGTTCAAATTCAAAGCTACTGAGGAGGAAAACAAAAAAATGACAACCACTGGGTATAAGTTTAACAAGGAATTCTGAATTCTAAGGTGGTTGTCAACAGCTTAAAATATGAATAGAAATTCTTATGAATTGTACAATTGCAGATGAAATTTAATTTCTTATTTTCAATAGTTTGTCTTTCGTTCTAATTTATTTCTATCCTTGAACTGTTGAATAATATGATAATTAAAACTATTCCACACACACTCCCACCGCTTTCGTAGTGAAGTCTAGTTAAGGAGTAGCCGTAATCAGTAAGTTACAAACTTACTGAAACAGTAATGATAGTTCCGTAATGTTGGTAACTTTCAATACTAACATTTCAGATAGATTATTTACTTTCCAAACCTTTTATACACATGTTGAACAGTATTCAAGCATGAACAAGTTGTAGATATTTTCTGAAATGATGTTTCTAGCATAATTGAAGTTAATTTTGTTTCATATTCAATTTCTTCTCAGTTCACTTAATTTGCCGATAGATCATCATTGTGCAAGTGCGAATTCCCAGAAATTCAGGTAATGTGTTACCTAAATGTGTTTTTTTTTAATCTTTTCATAAACATGATCCCAGAAATTTCTTAAAAAAATATTCACTAAGCGGTTCATCGAATTGAGTACAACTTTTCAGGAGAGCATACTATTTTTAACTCTAAAGGTAACATGATAAAGCAATTTTGAAATTTCTATTCTTCTCCTACTATGGAACTTTTGCTAAAGTTAACATTTTATAAATATAATCGTGGAGAGCCTGTAAGATTAAAAGCAGTGAATGTAAATAGTCTTATTGTTTTATGCACCCGCTTCGATGCTGTATGTTAGTGACTTAACTTTCATAAAAGTATGGAATTTCCATTATGCAACATTTGAACACGCCATATTCGTTATATCAACCAGTCAGCATAGGACACACAACAGTTCGAGTTGCCAAACCTCATATCAGCACTACAAGTAACAAACCAGTAGAATGAAATATGAAGAAACAATCAGAAGAAAATGCTGAATTCAGAATAGCCACTGACATCAATTCTGACCCACATCACTTACAGTCTCCAACCTCTGATTTCCATTACCACGTGAACCCCCAATCAGCTGGCCTAGATCTTCTTACATGACTCAAAGCAACAGTCAAGGACTTCATGCAGAGTGATGCCATGCTGAATTCTGGTCACTTCACACTTTTTTTACAGCCTGAACCTACTTCAGCAAACATTGGACGACAAGACAAATGGTGACCAGACATGTGTAACACATGTCCGTCCCATTTATCTCAGTCTATGAAGGTTTGCAACCTCGCCAATTGACTTTCCTCTCCTCCTGACTTCTGCGTTACTCAAGTGGTGACACCATGATACATACAACCTACGGAAGGAAACGGTGGTCAAACACCTGAAACCTTCTCATGTCCTCTACCTTTAATGGCCACTTTTCACAACCGCAGAGTAAAACGCAGTGAACTGCAGCACAGTACACTTGACCCTAATAGGCAATCTGATATCGTGGTGACGCCACAGATGGCGTAAGTTCGCGGAAAGCCAAATGAGCCTTTTGTATTCGAGCAGAGATTTCGTCGACCACTGACCCACCGAATGAAAGATAGGTCACTGTTTATAAGTTTCACAGCCAAATCTCTCTGTTGCAGTCTTTGTGTGGGAACATTAAACAGTAAGACAGAGAAAGAGTGGCTGGCCGTTTGAAGTCGTTTTCTAGGTTTTGGCCATGCCTTAACATTCTCTTCTCTTTCCCAACTAAACATCACTTGAATAAACCAATCAGCTAAGCAGAAAATGTCTTACCACAATTACTGATTATTGCTTCAATTAATGACTTGTAGAAGTTGATTGATTGGAAGTAGTTTTCATCATGATTTGACACCAGCTGCAGAACTGTTGAAGACCTAGGACTACCAGCCAGCGGTTTCACCCTAGTCTGGTACCCATCAGCAATGCAGACCGACTAACCCGAAGTTTTACTGCAATGTTGTGGTCCATGCGGTCAACCAAGTCGGGAGCGGGGACTGATGCCCTTCAATGACATCAGATGATGATCGTGGTGTATCACAAATTAATAAAAGTTAAAAAAATAAACCATTAGATTCCAACCCAGTGGCTGAATGATATTGTAAGTGCTGTTAAGTAGTTAATTGTTTTACGCCTGTACTGTTTAGTGGAGGTCAGTCACACTGCTATAAATGAAAAACATGATGTAGAATACTTTTCTGGAACGACATAACGAAATAGAGTATTGTAAATTTGTCGTGGATTAAAAAAAGTAGATATCCTAAAAGCAGAACACAGAAGTTGATGCAAGGTATATTGATGTGTTTACTTGACAGTTTGAGCTCTGGCAGGTGTATTTTGTAGCTTTATAGTCGAAATCTCAGCGATATACAAAATGTGATATGAATTACCCTCCGATTCCGTACTACTTGTCTATTCTGTTGGGTACTTAGTGCACTGGTGTACATAAGTTTCTTACATTACAGACCAGGTAGCGCTTGCGCAAGGACTGCAAAGCCTGGTGGTCAGAAACCACGAGTGAAAGGCTGCATCCGGCAATAGTCGGAAGCTGTTCCAACTTATCCGAGCTACGGTCTATGAAATAGATGGTACACCGATCCATAACGTTTTTCAGACGCCTGGAACGCTGAGTGGAGCAATTCAAAAAGCAGTTAATCTGGCCTAATCCTCGCGCAACCTCAACCGGAACGTTTTCAGCTTCGCTGCCGGTTAGCACCGATTCACCTAACGAAGCTGAGACTTAGAAGAAACTGCAATTACTAAAACATAAGGTACCTGGTTCTTTTTAAGGATTGTGATGACATTACTGTTAGAAAGCTGGCTGTGTTGTTTGAGAAGGTATAGAAAACTGTAAGTGCACCACCACTCTGGAACAGTCACCGTTGTAACTACCTTTAAAAGGGCTCTGCAAAGCGCATGAAAAATGATCTGTAAGGAGCAGACTGGGCTTCATTCAGATTATGGATGCATCGATCACGTGTTCACCTTCTATCACATGGATTGCAGGTCAGTGATCTTTGTATTTCGCAACGTTAGGGTTGCTTTTGTTTCGTTGGATAGGACTATGCTCTGGAATTGTCTATTAAAAAAATGATGCTTCTGAATAGCTGGTCAACATTTTAAAGACCTTATGCAAAAACCCCGGGTTAAGTGAGGATATTCAGCCATTTCTCTCCACTTTTCCAAGCCAACAGTGGAGCTACGGAGGGCTATCTGATTTCACCCTTTCTCTTTCACTTTTTGACCTCGAAAAGGTGGATAGTATCATCTTACTGAGCAACGACATACGTGCTACTCAAATTTGCACTCTATCAGACAGCAATCAGTGTCCCTGACTATGGTTTGCGCTTTCCATCGTCGAAATGCAAAGTACTTTAAATTAGATTAACGGGAGCCTACACCTGAACACACCTGATGTTGAATGGTTGAAATTTGTCGTAAAGGTTGTATATCTGAGCGAGTACTGGTGGGAGGTGTACGGATGAGATATCGAAACACAATCTTGGTCAAATTTAACGCCTTTTTGACGTTAACCTTATTGTAAAAGGTCGGTTATTCAATGCATCGGTGCAGGCAGTTCCGCTCTACATCGATAAAACCTTACGTCCTCAAGCTAAGGATGTTCAATGACTCTGCGTTTCCGATCACCGTTGTCTCCACAAGATTGCTCCCATCCATGGAAGACACTGTAGTTCTGAAGTGAGGTGACGTGTATTCGAGCATGATGGAAATCATTCATTGGGTCATCTTGAAACACTGGCTCCGGTAGCTTAAACACGTTTTAAGTATGTCGTCTCAGTGGCCCCCACACTGTTCACTTGCCCTGGAACTAATTGGTAGAAGCAGAAGGATGATCAGTATGTGGGTTATCGCTGTATGATAAAGGATATGTATGTTAGGTAGGCATCTGTGTGTGCCTCACAACTTCTTACCAGCATAGGGTTTGAAAGATTACGCATCTCTGTCTTGAAATGATAGCAAATAGCTAAAAACTGAGACCCATGGCTATCATGCTACAGTTTTCTTGTTTTTGCTTTTACGAAAGTTTGGAACGAGACTACTGAATGAATCTTTGAGACCGCTTCCCTTATAACCTATATCTGCTTCCTTTTCCGTCCCGTTTTTCCGCTTTCTGTATCACGTTTTTGTCTTCATTATGTTGCTACATTGTTTTGCATAGCGTTTCTCTTGATGTTCATTTTGTACCAAGTTCGTGTTTTAAATAAACCTACTAAAATCTAGCAACATACGACCGATGAACTCGTTGATCATTGTTTTTAGTAGTCTACTCTTCCAGTCATCAAATTTCCTGATTTCTTTAGCCTAAAATTGACTACAATTCGCCCTCACTTCCTTAGACCCGTGTCAGTACTCATCATTTACTCAAAATACTTTTTTGTTTTTGCTTTTTTCTATTTCCTAGTTTTAAACTGTTCCATTTAAAGCTTGATATTATCATTTTATTTGCTTACATTTTATAGGATTTTGTTCTTCCACCTGACGCATTTCACACGGCTCCATTCCATGGAACTGCTTGTGAAACTGCATCTAATGATCTTCCTGTTCTGCAGCACGCTGAAACTGTCGCAGTAGATACTCCAGATGACGAAGATGTAGACGACAAAGTCAATGATTGTGTCGAACACCATACTGCAAATTCGTCAATAATAATTATCAACGGATCTCAGTGCACTTCACCTTTCAGTCCACTAACCACTCTACCTATTCCAAAAGGACTGAATGTTGTTGCAGGTAAATTTACTTGGCTGTAAAATTTATGCATTCACTATTGCCTGCCACTCAATGTGACTATTTCTTTTCTTACTCCATCCACTTTACTGGCTGTTCCATTCTTTTCGTCCTTCAGACATATAGCTACTTCTTATATTCAAGTAGTTTCAATGTAAGTGCGAGTAAGTTACAGTGTGGAGTTGTGAGGACGAACGATAATAATTGACAATTGATAGTCAATAGTTTAGACAATTCAACCCAAGTGATTCGCAAAGAGAAATCAAAAGACTGAAAACCTTTAGTATCTTGGACTAAAAACGTTCATTGGTGGAAACTGGCCCTATTTATACAGCTTACAGTAACCTTGAGAGGCAAGAAATAATTAGTACATTAAAAGAGGCAGGAACCAATCAGAACGCTAGCGGGTTATACGAAATATTACCCATGCATGGGAAAAAGTGCGAAGTAAAACAGTTCAAATATACCGAAACTGTAAGTATGGAGTATAAGAGATATAGGCATCCCTAACAGCAAGTTACCTCAGCAACCTTGTATACACCACACTAAAAGTTGAAGATTGTCTAATACTATGCTGTTTCTATGGTGTTGATTTCACTATAGTCCAGTCAAAATCCATTCAGCAACCGTATAGATATTCATGCAGTAGGCAATGAGCTACACTTCTTGTGTGAGGAGAGCTAGTAATACTGCCTGACTATCTAAATCTCGGTAGGTGTGGATGTTTTCTCCTTCAACAAATCTTCAGAATGTGATGCAAGAGAATTCCAATCGAATGTTGTACAAATCATGTTCATTCTCAGCTGATCATTCTATGTGCTGTGTTTACTTTACTTTTAATTTGTGTTAAAAACGGCATAGCTATAATTCCAGGTTTTTAATTATTTTTCTATGCTGTATACACCTTTTATGTACTTTTTTCTGTCCTACAGTATAACTTCATACTATGAAGTATTTTACATTGATTTCTTTTTGTTTTCTTTTCTATATTATCCTTCACTGTTTTGTCGTCATGTCCTTTTCCCTTTTCACTTTTCTGCACTCTAAAGTTTTGTTTAGTCGTGTCAGTTATAGTTCGTTCACTTCTTAGTTTAAGACAAACCATTGATGAGAAACTGTTAGTTGACTACTAGTGTCCTGTAAGTATGGTATGTGTTTGCACCACTGAAGTGCACTCACCCTCGGTAGTGAGCTGTTGCAAGTATTCGAAAAGTTGGTATATCTGAGTAGTTGTGTGTGTTGACGGAGGTGTATGTATACATATCGCAAGCTAGAGTGGCATACGCTAATGTGAGCCGCTTTCGGCGCCGTCGTGACGTTCGTCTGACTGTAGAAGGTCGGGTTTACAACGCTTTGGTACGAGCAGTTCTGCACTACGCCAGTGAAACCTGGCCTCTCCGAGCTGAGGATGTGCGACAACTCTGTGCGTTTGATCATCGTTATCTTCCGTAGGATTACTCGTATCCGGTGGGAACGCGATGTAAGTAATTCTGTGGTATGACAGCTTGTGTTTGGGCGCGATACGGGATTTGAGTCATCTTGAAACACTGGCTTTGGTGGCTTGGACGTATGTTCCGCATTTCGTCCCAACACCTTCCACACCGTTCATTGTTTGGTAACCCGTGGAATTGGGTGAAAGAAGCGGAGGGGTGGTCAGTGTATGAAGTGGCGCCGTGGGATGAAGGATAGTTGTATCGGGTTAGGATCTGTTGGTGAATCATAACTCCCCAAGTGGGGTCCGAGAGATCAGGCAACCCAGTGGCTTGAGACATCATAAATGGCTCGGAATCCAAACCAGTGGCAGTCATGCTGTAGCTTTCTTTTATCGTTTGATGCTGAAAAGTAATGAATGTTTCGCTTTGAATGAATCTTACCGGATTGCCTTTTTAATCATTCTATTCTTATTGTTTTTTTCATTTATCCACTTCCCATCCCTTATGTCTTCGCAGTGTTACTACACTACTTTGTGTGGTGCATTTTGTGGTGCCTTTGCTGTACCATGTTTATGTTGTAATAATAACATTACTTGCATTAAGTGAATGTATACAAAGGGAAGTGTGAAAATAAACTTATTCACTGGCTTAAACATTCGACTTTCAACCAATGGGTTCCAGGATCAGGACCAGCTTCATCCTAATTGACCATGAGCAACCCTTCAGACAATACGACCAATAACTGCTACCTAGACGTGGTGGTCGGGTTTGCATATCAAAATGGCCTAACGAGCTATGTTGGTGGAACACTTGTTTCCTCGAGGTCCTACCATACCAGAAAGGTTTGTTGGATAGTGGTTAGACGAAAAGCAGTTACTGTTGTGGTGTAAATTACTACACTATGATGGGGATCTGAGGGCGGAGTCGTACTGCTGCTAGCTGGATGGGGTGTGACAGCAGTAAGGTGTTTCCCTTGGATGACCAGCAGTGCCATTCTGATGTTGTCTTCTCAGTGAAAAGAGCGGGGGTAGAAAAGGTCGGCCCAAAAATAACACACTCCACTATGCCCAACGGTCTGCCGGGCTGGCAATGTTGGTTCACTTGGCGTTTTTCTTCGACCATCCAGCCCCAAAACAAAAGCTCAAAACAACCACACACAAAAGGCTGCGTGTGAAAGGCCTCAAACAGATGTCCTATGGGCTCTGCGGTCACACAAATCTCTCTCAGGTACCTTAAGAAGAAACAGCCTTCCACGGTGTGGGCAACCGGGTAGTGTCAACCGCCCTCACAACTCTGTCAGTACTCAAGTTTCTTCTGACTGCTATCCACCTCCCTCATCATCACCTTTTAATCTTCCTTCACGTCTTTCAGTTAACGATACTACAACATCTTCAATTTCTTCCAGCTCTGCAGCCTTTGACAACGATACGAATGCACAGAACAACATTCCTGGTCTCCTTAATCTACACTTCAAATTACACATCGACGCCTTCAATTTCTGCACTCTCCGTCAAATTGGTCAGCAGGCTTTCTTAACCAAAACTCTAGCAACTCGGGCTATGGATGTCTGCTGTGTTTGGGAGAGTCACATACAGGACCCAAGTGCGGTTATTCACCTAACCTTTCCCGGCCAATCTGATGAATCTGCAAAATTCACCCTTCAAGTTTCTGGAGATTCGATGGTTACCTCTCGCGGTCTTTCAGGTTTAGCTATAGCATTAAGCACTAGAGCAGAAAGCTCACTACTAGACTGGATCCCAGTTGGTAGTCACCTCTGCGCTATCCGGCTGAAGGGCACAGTGAGAACTAAAAGGAATAGTGAGACTCGCCGTTGTCTCTTTGTAATCTCTGCTTACGCACCCACTGGCTAGTTCGGATGAAGTGAAGGACGAGTTCTACCGTAAACTGTCTAGCCTCCTCTCGAAAGCCAAACGTTTGGACGTGGTGGTTCTTGCAGGTGATTTCAATGCACAGGTGGGTTGACTGAGTGAGGCAGAAATGTACTTAGGTGACACTTTCGGAATCCTGGCTGAACGAACGGATAACGGTGATCGCCTACTACAACTATGCTCAGATAACCGCTTATTTTTAGCTAGCACAAATTTTAGACATAAAGACACTGGCTGATGTGGCGTCCACTGAGCTCAACTAGGCGATGGACACAGATAGACTATATTGCTATCAGTTACCGCTGGAGAGGATCGGTGGAAGACTGCTGCTTCTTCTGGAGTACGTGTTTAGATAGCGACCACGCGTTGGTCCGAGCTCGTATATACCTGCGTCTCAATGGACGTAAGAAAAATTTGGCAATAACCATCACGAGTGCAGCTCGACAGCGAAAACACCAAAGCCGCTTTCAGTGAGAAATCGGCCAGGGAGTTATTGGAACAGAAGACTATCACTCATCCAGAAGAAGCTTGGTGCTATTTCCAGTCTGCTGTAAAAGTAGCGCTGAAGACCGTAGCTAACTCCGAAATAGTGGCTACAAAGAGCCAGTGGATATCAGCAGCTTCTTCCGAACTATTGGATGCACGTAAACGCATCCCTCAACGCTGTGAGTACAATGAAGAGCAAGCACAACTTAAAAGTAGATTGAGAGAAAGTCTACGCAATGACCGCGAACAATGTTGGGCAGCGAAGGCTAAAGAGATGTAAAAGGCAGCGGCGATTGGTAACAGTAGACAGTTATTTAGACTTATTAAGGAGACTGGGGGGAAATGGTCAACAACAGTTAGTGAGGCTATAGCGGAGAAGGACGGATCTGCGATTCACTCTCAGGGAAGGCGACTGGGACGATGGGCTGAACACTTTGAGAAGCAGTTTAACTAGCCTCCAGCCACCATTACTTTTCCTGCTATCCAGTCGGATCCTGAATGGAACATTGAGATAGGCACCCCAACACTAGCAGAAGTCGAAAAGGCAGCAGGGAACCTGAAACGAGGAAGGGCGGCAGGATCAGACGGACTAACTCCTGAGGTATACAAGGATGGTGGTAAGGTGCTCTCAGTCAGGTTAACTGGAGTGTTAACCAGTATATAGGAATCAAATACGATCCCCTCTGAGTGGTCTAAATCACTGATTATTCCGATCTTCAAGCAAGGCGAGAAGTTCTCTTGTGATAACCACAGAGGAATCAGCCTGACGAACATAGTATCTAAAATTCTAGGTTTCATAATTCTTCGACATCTGAGTGGAGCTTGGGAACAGCAAGCCCGAGAAAATCAGGCAGGCTTTAGACCTGGCGGCGAGTGTATCGACCAAATATTCATACTGTTCCAGGTTCTGGAACACAGACATGCTTACCGACATCCGGCATTAGCTGTATTTCTCGACCTGAAGGCGGCGTTTGACTCCGTTGATCGAGAAGTCTTATGGCAATGTCTATCACTGAAAGGCGTGCCGAGCAAGTAAAGTACATCACCTTATTGAAGACTCTGTACTCGAACACTTGTGGGCATGTTAGAGCCTATGGTGGGATGTGCGGGGAGCTGTGTTCATCGAGTGGTGTCCGTCAAGGGTGCTCACTGTCTCCATTCTCATTCAATTTTATCATAGATATTCTCACGGAGGTCTCCCGCACGTCACCTGATTACACAGACGTTGACCGAATCGGTGGAGAATTTTCGTTAGACCTAGAATATGCAGATGACATAGTCCTGTTGGGTGAAGACGCTGACAAGAGGCGGAGTCTTCTGAACACTGAGTGGCTATTTGAGAATGTTTGGGATGCGTTTCTCACCACCGAAATGCAAATTGTTGATCGAGGATTTGTCTTCAGCGGTGCCACGGCTAAAGATAGAGAGTGTAGTTATTGGTTGAGTGTGTTGACCACTTCACTAACGTGGGAAGTGTGATGGGCCGTTGCCTGGTGGGTCAGTTGTGGATGAAATCTGTGCACGAATGCTAAAGGATCGGTTGGCTTTTGCTAACTTACGCCACTAATGGTGCCGCTGTGATATCCGATTGTGTATAAAGGGTTGCGTGTACTGCCTAGTAGTCCGACCTGTTCTACTGTATGGCTGTGAAACATGGTGATTGAAGGTGGAAGGCATGAGAATGCTTCATGTGTTTGACCACGGTTGCCTTCGTAGTATGGGGGTGGGGGTGGGGTGGGGTAATTGGTGGTGTCACCACGTGAGTAATACAGAAGTCAGGCGTAGAGTTTTAGGGAATAGAGGTAAATCAGTTGACGAGGTTATGAACCTTCATGAACTGCGATGTTTGGGACACGTGTTACGTCTGCCCAGTCGCCGATTGCCTCATCACACAATGTTGGCTTGAGTAGGTCCATGCTGGAAAAAGGCCTGAGGTGACCAGACTAAAATATGGCATCAATGTACGAAGTCTCTTACTGTTGGTTTGAGCCATGTGGGACGATGCAGACTTGGTGGTTGGGGTCCACGGGAGAAGAGGAACCAGTGGTTGGAGACTGAATCTAGGTGATGACATGGCTGAGAACCGATGTCAGTGGTGCAGATTTATCCCCACACACATTATCCTCATCTTACCGACATTATACCGAATCTCACCACTTCCTCATTCCTCATTTCTGTGGTTGAGCACTTTATATTTCTTTTGACTGAGTTTTCTTTTCTTCATCTTCCACTTCACCGCCTTTTTACTTGATGTAGTGATATGAGGTGTGTGAACTTTGAGCGTGAGTCAGTAATTCCTGGTCCTATGTTGATTTGGATGGATGGATTGAATACATGTGGTTCGTAGCGCGGTGCATGAACATGTTGCCGGATTTTTCTTAAAATCATTTTAGTAGAATGACTTTGGTATTCATACATATAACCCCCCATGACGACGCCTACTTACTCCTTGGGTCTTCATCAGCTTGTATATGTGTGTGCAATTCACTTGCATTATAATTATTGTCCCTTGGTTTCTTAGTGCAACCTAGGGCTACTATTCAGTTGCGTAACAACTGTATACTGGATCATGTGAACAGAAGTGCGCAGATCTCTGCTCCTGACATACAGATTCAGTGCTAAAGTGATGCTTTTCCAAAGGTTTTTTTTGTTCTAATCAATAGGATTGTTGCATTCATAGATACTATGACCACTCTTTCGTTTTTCAATTTTGATTTGTAATTAGATCCTAAAAACGAAACACTGACTTTTATTTTTCTTGTATTGTCCGCGGTAACAGACTTTCTAACACAAACTAATGTGTGCGGCTAATCTGATTTTTCAATCTCAAACAAATGTATGCAAGTCACATGATTATGGAAAGTAGTTATTTAGGAATATTTCACTCTATTAAGCCACAGAGAACATGGGTAAGAAATTAGTTTGAGAGCGATTGTGAAGTTTTCTAATCTGAGCACTTTTCTATTGCTGAAATGAGATACCTTCATATCATAAGTGATCTACTAGGCAAAAGCTGTATAATAATGATAGTTTACTGTTTATCATAAACAATTGGTTTACAATGATGCGTATAGCCACTCTCTAATATGTTATATATATCTATGATAAAGAAAGATGTGTGTTTTAGAGTGGAATCACATGCACATTCGTGCAGTAGGCAGTAAAGTCACATCATTTATCCAAGGGCTTATGACACCATATGACTCTCCAAACCTCGGTAGATGAGGCAGTGTTTGAATAACTCGTATCCTAATGGTTGGTATTCAGTTGCCTAGATCACATCTGTACAGAGAGATATGTGTAACAATATACCTAGATCTTGCTTTCAGCTTCTTTCAGTGACATTTGACCTTTCATGAGAAATTAAATTGAAGTTTGTACGCCTTTTATTGAGCACATATATATAAGGAGCGATTGTGACTAATTAAAAATTCTTGTTTATGTAAACATGACTTTCATAAAAGTCTGTGTTGAAAATTTTCTCCATTTCTTATCAATTATAAACTTGAATATTTTGTAGAATGTAAGTTTCTATTGTCTTAACAGTTAACTAGAAAGTATGTAGTGTAGTGGAACATTTTTATCATTTTATTGCTATATATTGACATACTTGTTATTCTCCGTTGTTTTGTTGGATCGAATTGTTCGACGTCTATTGGTATACGGGCTCCTATGCGGATGCCTCAATTTTGCCTGAATGTTAATTCATCTATCCAAACCAACATAGGACCAGGAATTACTGACTCACGCTCAAAGTTCACACACCTCATATCACTACATCAAGTAAAAAGGCGGTGAAGTGGAAGATGAAGAAAAGAAAACTCAGTCAAAAGAAATATAAAGTGCTCAACCACAGAAATGAGGAATGAGGAAGTGGTGAGATTCGGTATAATGTCGGTAAGATGAGGATAATGTGTGTGGGGATAAATCTGCACCACTGACATCGGTTCTCAGCCATGTCATCACCTAGATTCAGTCTCCAACCACTGGTTCCTCTTCTCCCGTGGACCCCAACCACCAAGTCTGCATCGTCCCACATGGCTCAAACCAACAGTAAGAGACTTCGTACATTGATGCCATATTTTAGTCTGGTCACCTCAGGCCTTTTTCCAGCATGGACCTACTCAAGCCAACATTGTGTGATGAGGCAATCGGCGACTGGGCAGACGTAACACGTGTCCCAAACATCGCAGTTCATGAAGGTTCATAACCTCGTCAACTGATTTACCCCTATTCCCTAAAACTCTACTCCTGACATCTGCGTTGCTCACCCCAAAAATAACTCACTCCACCATGCCCCACGGTCTGCCGGGTTGGCGGTGTTGGTTCATTTGTCGTTTTCGAATGTTAATTACGATAATTTGGTTGATTGTGGCTAGCAGAAGAATGCAGGACGTGCGTTTCGTCCTACTTGTGACTCGTCAGCTGGATGTACATGCACTCTAGTGATGTTCCCACTGAGACTCGAACCTCGTACCCATCGCTTCAAACGCCAAAGCGTTATCCACTAAGCCACAGATGAACGATAGGACGAAACGCGCGTCCTAGATTGTTCTGCTAGCCACAACCAACTAAATTATCGTAATTTTTATCATTTCTTCTAACTTCTTTTAATTAACTTTGAAATTTCCTGTATCCACAAGGACTGCTAACCAAACACCCTTGTTACTTTATGTTTTCATGTAAAATATTTTATACTATGCACATTTCTGGGGTATATCGATTAACTTTAACTGTAAGCATAAGCAGCTTTCCTATTGTTTAGTATCTATGAAGAATTTGAATAGGCGTGATCATGTTTCAACTGAATTACTTTGCATCATACTTCTCTCTATAATACTATTTCATAATTGTTACTTTTTATAAATATTATGGGAGTCTTTAGTTGTTTGAAATTTCTCTTCACTTACTTTGCTTGTTCTGTAGTTGATGCTGATGGTGTACACATTTTCGAAGATGGCAATTTCTTATACGCTCTTCCTGGTCTGAATGATAAATGTTCAGATGATTCAGATTTTTATGATTCCCGTGAAGATGTCGTCAATATATCTGATCTTATTCCTTCATACACTGTTACTGAGCAGCAGGTTAACGAAGAAATGATAAAAAAATAAATCTTGATAAATTTGTTTCAATCTCCTCGTCTTCTAATCCTTCAAAACCACAGACTCAGGCAAGCTAGTCAATAAATGTACAGGAAGTAATGACAGCCTAGTCAGGCAACCCAGGGTTCGTTTCAGCTCTGAACCTATCTTGGTAAGATGTTTACATTATTTTTCACTTTCATTTTATTACTGTAAAGATGAATTTCTCCTGCTCCTTATTATTATTATTTAGAACACTGTGTGGTTCATTGTAGGGGGGGGGGATCAGGAGTTTTATTTTACTCTAATACTTCGTTTATTAACTGAAATTTGCGTATCTCATCGTCTCAAGTAATTAGTGACTCTTTCGAAGTAAATAGGATATGGAATTTCCGTTACCTGATGAGTTAACATCAAACGTTTTCCCTATTCTGTAATGACTAGCGTAAAAAGAGTTTCTACACGATGCTATTTTCTTCAATTTAAAAATCACTAAAAATTGTGAATTAAAAAAACGTTTATGTTTAGTGAAACCGTTGAATAGATTGTACAAACAAACAGAGTATAAACTCTATATGTATTTTTTATTTTCATAGTTATTGTTAACGACAGTTCCTTTTCATGATTTGATCTACAAGTTAATGGTGAATTCTTTATGATTTCGATGTATATCTCGTGTAAACCTTCTTTATCTTCCTACAATTCTTTGATCTTAACAAACTTATAAGTACACTTATTACATTCCATCTAAGTTTATTTCTCAGACATGTTGTCACTTGTTGCACCTCCAAGACACTGGTCTGCAACTACTCCCAGTGTAATGGTAGGAATGAAGTGGTGAAATATGTCGGTTATTTCACCTACTTGGCGAGCTGCATCAGCTCGAACAGAGTGGTTGCTGACGGAATCTCAACTCAGATACAGAAGGCCTGTTTAGCACTTATGAAATAGCGTTATCTGTGAAGCTGACTGATGAGATAACGGAATTCAGTAATCAGAAAGATAATGAAAGAACTAAAAGAGACTAATTGTTTTAAATACTAATCACCTTTCAAGTTGATATTCATCATGGACTGACATCAATTGGAGGAACATTGGATACTTGGGAGCACTGGAAAACTGTTTCATCCTAGCATGGAGCTCCTCAACAGTGTGCACCCATGACCCGCGACTTTCTGGTTCCGTGACCAGCACGTAACCATTGAGCCACTGGGTCGGAATCCAGTGGTCCATATTTCCAACTTCTGTTAGTTCACGACATAGCGCAACCATCACCCAATGTCATCGTTGGTTATTTGTCCTCAATACCACCAGGTTTGCCCCACTGGTTACGACTTCTCATTGGAACTTCGGGAATCACCTCTCGAAGCTAGTCACCAATGAACACCGCTGAAGAGTCCCATAATGGGACGAAACAGCTAACTGTTCAGCGCTCCCAGGTTTCCTTTGGTCTTCCAACTGATATCAGTCCATGATCAATACCAACTTGAAAAATCTCAATCCCCAAAAACCCCCAAATTCGACTAATCATTTTGATTGGGGATAGAATTTGTGTTAAACGGTTGTAATCCGAGTGAAAGCATAAATTCATGCGGGATCTGCCTGGGCATATTTGCCACTCGTGTGGGTCATGCTACGATTTAGATGACTACCGACCAATGGGTCACGATTTCGAGCCCCCCTTCGTCTACCCGAGGCTTGGGCATCCACACAGTAGGTGTGGCGTATTGCATACAGCACATAAGGTGACTGAGTGCGTTTCGTACGATATAGTCATCGAGTCTTTAGTCCAGTGGTCCACGCTTTCGACTGCTATACTTTGCCGACATCCAGAACAACTGTATACTCTTCTCTGGTTTCCTGTGGTTCTCTAGTGAATATTAATCTTTGATAAAAACACTCCTTCACAAATCAATCAACTGAATCATAATGATAATCAGTAGATAAAATGCAATCCGGATTCAAGATCCATTTTGGAAACTGACTCTGTAAAGCGATGCGCCTAAACGGCGTTTCACTCACTACCATCTGGACAACCAGGGATTATTTCTCTTGTGACACAATGGTGTTGCTATAGTTTATTACATGATATCACGAGTAGGCACTGAGCGATATTACCCTTTTTTTTAGCCCAAACATTCATTCTGTTTATGATCGGTAACAAATTCTTGTCAGTCATCATGTCATATCACATTTGATAACGTTTAAATCAACAGTTCATCAGTGTTGTTTAATATTCAAAAAATTGTCATTTCATTTTCAAAGTACACCCGCTATACGGTGTTTGTTTATTTCTATTCTAGCTAATAGTCATGAAAACATCATGTATGATAAACGTGATTGTTTGCCTTTGTTTGTACATTATGGAATTTTCAAGCTGGCTATTATAAACATTTATTAGATTGGCTATATATAATATATCTATTGTTGTTTTTTTCTTTAAACACATCTCAATTTCTTCCTGTCTCTTTAACAAATATTATTATCATTTGACTGTCTGAGACAACCGTAGTTTGGCAAACTAGTATTTATACTGGCGATCATTGAAAGTGAAATGAAAATTTGAACCGCGGCCAGATTCAAACCAGCAATCACAGGGTTTCCGGTCCGATGCTCCAACAAATGAGCTATAAGGTCCGACTGCTGATCATATTTTTATTTCACTTCAATCACAAGCGAGGTTTCGCCCGACTACCATGTGAATTCGTAATGCGTTATTACCGCTTGAACGTATTCATATTGGCTGCCTAGTCAGGACTTCTCATCGCAATCGAAATCTAAGTGAATAAGAGAGGTAGGGGAAGCATCATATGGATTATTATTTGACTATCTGAGATAGCCGTAGTTTGGCAGAGTAGTACTTGTACTGGGTGATGATTGAAGATCAGATGAAAAAATCTGTTCAGCAGTCGGACCTCGTAGCTCAGTTGGTAGAGCACTGGACCGGTAACCTTGTGGTTGCGGATTCGAATCCAGCCGCGGTCGAGATTTTCTATCTCACCTTCACTCATAAATACTAGTCTGACAAACTACGGCTAAGATAGTCAAATGATAATCAATATGATGCTCCCCTCAACTATCTTATTCACTTAGATTTCGATTGCGATGAGAAGTCCTGACTAGGCAGCCAATATGAATACGTTCAAGCGGTAATAACGCATTACGAATTCACATGGTAGTCGGGCGAAACCTCGCTTGTGATTGAAGTGAAATAAAAGTCTGATCAGTAGTCGGACCTCGTAGCTCAGTTGTTAGAGCATCGAACCGGAAACCCTGTGATCGCTGGTTGGAATCCAGCCGTGGTCCAGATTTTCATCTCACCTTTAATCATCACCCGGTATAAATATTATTATGCTGGTGTTTACATATTGACTATGTTTAGTATTTCGAATTACAATTTTCACATATATGAGTATATGTGTGAGTACATCACATTGTTTGAAACAAAGGCCAACTGACTGTATCTCTTTTTTCGGCAACAACTTATCTTGTCTATAAATCTCACTTTGAAAATTACATCATTATTATTATATTTATTATCTGTCCCTTGGGTTCCTGTTTGAACATAGGGCTTCAGTAGCACGTCTCTATTCCACTCTGTTCATCACAGTCTTTCGAACTTGGCTCCACGACTGCCCAGAAGCCTTCATTTCTTCCCCACACAATCTCTTCCATATCACCCTCGGACATCCAACTCATCGTTTCCCATTTGGGTCCCACTCGAAGGTCTGACCTGGTGCGTGATGTCTCCGATTGGTCTTCTCACTATATGCTCAGTCCATCTCCACTTTCTTCTGCTTATTTGTTTGAAGGAAAATTACATTAGACATGACATTTCTATTCATTCATTCTAATATACTATTCATTATAACAAGAGAGTATGTTAGAGTTACAATTTTGTGTTGTTAGGACTGCATCGACGGTCAGACAGACAGTCGCTGAGACATGTGTAACGTATTTCCAAGCCACTGTTTCAAGATGACTTAACTTAGTGAATGCTGATCTCCATCATTCTCAAATGTACACTGCCTCACCTCAGAATTACTAACATGGTATTTCCGCTGAAGATGAGAAATTATGCAAAGACCATTGGTAATGAAAAATGGATTTGTCAGACGCTCTCAGTTCAAGTTTCACCAGTGTAGAGCAGAAGTACTCGCATCAACATGTTGTATACCTGACATTCCGTTACCTTGCTAAAGTCATAATGATATAGAAAACACAGTTTAATCAACAATGTTTTCAATCACATCAAATTCACAATGGAGAAGAAGTCGAACAACCAACTACCATTCTTGGATGTTTTAGTAGGACAAATGCCAGAAAGCTGGAAACCCAAGTGTTACAGGAAGCCAACACACACTAATCAAATCATTAACTACAGTAGCAACAACGCACAAAATTAGTTGCATACAAACTATTCAAAAGAGTGAAGACACTACAGCACAACAACTTCACGGAGAAACGAAGAAAATCACTTGATGTATATCCCAAAGAAGAACGGCTACCCATGAAACTTTATCAGATGCCTATCCTGTACAACATCATCTACAAAGCGATCGACAGAAATCAACAAGCGCATAACTCAACCATTATTATTACTATTATTTATCCCTTGGGTTCCTAGTGGGAAAGAGGGCTTCAGTAGCACGTCTCCCATGCGCTCTGTTCTCTGCAAACTTCTCAACCTCGCTCCACAACAGCCCACAACCTCTCATTTCTTCCTTACACCATCTCCTCCATGTCACTCTTGCCTCCGATGCCCAACTCGTCGTTTCCCATCGGGGTTCCACTCGACCAACTGGCCCGGCCTGCTGCGTGATGTCCGCAGTTGGCCTTCTCAGTGTATGTCCAGTCCAATCCATCTCCACTTCCTCCTGCATATTTGTTGCGTGATAGGTTCTTGGTTGGTTCGTTCCCAGAGTTCCTTGTTGCTTATTCCTGTTATTCTGGCCATCTGTGCTTCAGTAACGAGCCAGAGTAGGCGGCAGTTGTTCATCAATGTCTGTAGTTTGTTGGAAATGCCTTTCGTAACGCGCCAAGTCTCTGAGCCATATAGAAGCACTGACTTGACTCACGTTGGTGTTGAAAATCCGGATCTTGTTCCACATGCTGACCTGAGTGCAGAAGATCTCCACACTGGTTTCAGGTTAATGAATGCCTGTCTTGGCTGCCTTGACCTCCTCGTCTGTGCTACCGCCACCTGTAGTTGAAACTGCTGTCTAGATAGGTGAAAGAGGTTACTTCCAACAAGTTTCTCCCGTTGATGGTGATTCGAGCTCGTGATTGTTGGTGGTGGTGTTGGTTGAGTATCTTTATCACCTCTGTCTTCTCTATATTCACTTGAAGTCCCATCTTCGCTGCTTCTTCTGCCAACTTTTTAGTTTTCACCTGTAGATTATCAAGTTTGTGTGACATCAGACACAAGTCATCATAGGCGAAATCCAGATCTTCTAGGTTCTTTTCCGCAGTCCAGCGTATCCCCCTCTTCTCGCTCCCCACTGTTTGTCGCATGATCCAGTCCAGTCCACTACACTCATGGGTGATAGTAGGCAACCTTATTTCACTCCTGTCTTCCCTTCAAAAGCTACACTGAGCTTCCCATTGTGAATTACTTGTCATGTGGCGTCTTCACATGGTTGTTGAATGAGGTTGATAAAGGTTTTGTGGTATTCCGTAGTGTTGAAGCAACTGCCAAATTACTTCTCGGTCTACACTGTCAAAGGCCTTTTCAAAGTCGATGAAGTTGAGGTAGAGAGCTGATTGCCATTCTATGCTCTGTTCTATGATGATGCGAAGCGTTGCAATTTGGTCTGCACATGATTTGTACTTCCTGAATCCAGCCAGCTAGCCTGTTCCGGTAGTAGTTTTGAATCCAGTGCATCCTTTAGTCTCTCCAGGATGATGCAGCTTAATATTTTGTTTCGGGTGGATAGAAGTGGAGCATGACTCCGCGCTAGTTCTTGCAAAGACTTAGGTCTCCCCTCTTCGGAAGTTTGACAAGATAGCCCTTCTTCCAATTAGCAGGTACCTTCTCTTCCTTCCACACCTTCTGCAATAGTGGTGTGAGCATGTCCGCTGTTGTCTCTGCGTCTGCTTTCAGTGCTTCTGGCGGGATTCCATCTGGTCCTGCTGCTTTCCCGCATTTCAGTAGCTTTATGGCGTTCAGGACTTCCATTTTTGTTGGAGGATTTATGTTCACTTGTAGTTCAGCGGCTGCGGTGCAGGTGGTATTTCTGGACGAAGTGCAGGTGGTGGTCGATTCGGGAGCTTTTTGAAGTGGTCAGCACATTGTTTCCTTTGTTCCTCTTCTTTGGTAGCTAGATTTCCTTCATCATCTTTTGTTGGTTTCACCTGTGTTGATCTCTTCCCAGATAGCAACCTGGTTATTTGATACAATGTCGTCAGGTCTCTCCCACCAGTCTGTAGCCTGTTCTGCTTCACTTGCCAGTGTTTCGTAGAAGTGTCTTTTATCTTTCCGTGCACTCTTCTTCACTTCTTTGTCCAGTGTTTTATACGTTGTACTCCGTTCTTGTCGTTGAGCATCCTTGCACTGGTTTAACTTTTGCTTCACCATCCTCCTCTCCCCGCTCTATCAGCTTCCATGTATCCATTGAGATTCATTCTTCATCTTCTTTCTTCTTCCTTCCTAATACGGCTGTGCAGGTTTCTTTCCACATCTCTTTCAAAGACTTCTAGTGTTCTTCCACACAGGTTTCTTCAGGGATGTTCCTCGATATCTCCCATTTTGTCTTGATGGCTGCCGTGAAGATTTCCTTTGTAGTTTCATCCTTCAGTTTCCGAGTGTTGTACTTGAACTGTGGTCTATCACCAGCTTCCTTGAAGGCTTTTAACTTGATTTGGAAGGTTCCTTGCACTAGATGGTGAGTGGTGTGAACCTACATCTGCTATCCTTCTTGACCTTGTGTCAAGTAGACTGCGTCTCCATTTTCTTGAGATTGAGATAAAGTCGATTTGATTTTTAGTGTGTGTGGTGTCTGGTGAAATCCATGTCGCTTTGTGGATATCCTTGTGCTTGAACACACTGCCTCCAATCACCAAATTGTTGAATGCACAGAATTCTGCAAACAATTCTCCATTCTCCTTCATCACCTCACCTAGTGCTTCTCGACCCATGGTTAGTTCTCTTCCTGTGTTGTCTGCTCCCAGTTTGGCATTCATGTCACTCAACCATATATAAAGAATATATCAGAAATCACGACAATATTACTGAGACCACTTGTAATTGGTGTGGCTCATAAACCAACAAATTCCCTACACATACTATTATGCAGACCAAAGGATACAACAACCAAAGAAGATAAACCGAATATCATTTACAAAATCAACTGCAATAACTAGTCAACACTTCATTGGACAAAGTGGTCACTCTCTTCGCCTTCGTCTACATGAACACCAATTGGCCAGTAAACGTTGCGATATTTTATTACTTATCCACGTGGATAACTATGGACATGGATCCAGTTTCGACAATGTAGAAATTTTGGACAGAGGGAGGAAGTTTGAAACAGTTAGTCCCTTTTATGAATTTCGATAGCATAATTAGAAGGCGAAGTTTATCTGAGCAATGTGATGCATTTGCGTAATACATTTCGAACAATCTGATCACAATTTATTTATCAAGTCAAGATATATTAAACCGAGGATTGGGGGGGGGCAAAATGCAACAATTAACACAATAAGGGGATTAAAATTAAGAAAGATGAGAACAAACAGGAAATGGCATAGTTGATCCTAATCTTGGTAAGTTTACCAAGGTAGGTGTAGTGTAATAACAAGCTGATTTCGTACACATAAAGGTGGTTTAGCACAAAGAATATCAAAGAATTCCTAGAAGTTTGGCATTCAGTTCAGTCAGTCAGCAACCATTAGATGTATAGACATAGACCCAATCTATCAAGCAATAAGAAAGATGATAAACGACAGAAAGTTCAGAGGTCAACCAGAGGAACAGCTAACAGGAAAATCTGTCCATGACATAAAAATCAAAGGAAACAACCAATGACAAACCGCTTCATCAGGGCACGCTGCTGCATCACTCACGGAGAGATATTGACAACTGACTTCATACTGAAGTTAGTGCTGATGATATCGTCTAGAAGGGCGATGAAAGCTCCACGACTAAACAACTTAGCTGGGAGAGCACAATACAACCCAAGTGACTCTGGGTGATGAATACCGTTCCGGCTTCTGATGCACAGTTGAAGATCTCATCAGTCATACCTCAATTAGCACTGACGCAACACTCAAAATGTGCAAACTTTTCAAATACTTACCTTCTTACTGGTAAAATCGTTTTGGAAATATTTTGAAAGTATGATGTCATTGACACACCTTTAATCGAATGGGTGGAGTTTCAAGCTCATTTTGCTGATAAATGTTAGCAAGCATGAAACTTGGGTCCATAATGGTCCTACCAACTGCTGCCATAGCGTCATGGATATCTTAATGATCTTCCTGGCATTCATTCCCTTCATTTCGTTGGTATCATATTCCTAAGAGCACATTATTATCGTCTCTGTATGACTAAACGAAAAGAACAATATTCTGCAGAGCTTGTAACAGTGTTTGAAGGTATCCTGACCAACAATGGACTGGATGTTACTATTTATTGACATACTTGTTATTCTCCGTTGTTTTGTTGGATCGAATTGTCCGACCTCTATTGGCATATGGGCTCCTATGCGGATACCTCGATATTGCCTGAATGTTAATTATGATAAATTAGTTGGTTGTGGCTAGCAGAAGAATGCAGGACGCACGTTTCGCCCTATTTGGGACTCGTCAGCTGGATGTACATGCACCCCAGTGAGTGATGTTGTTCTCACCGGGACTCGAACCCCTTACCCATCGCTTCAAACACCGAAGCGTTATCCACTATGCTACGGAGGAACGATAACCACTTTTTGTACAACGGGTAGTATTTACTACTATTTACTGACATACTTGTCATTCTCCATTGTTTTGTTGGATCGAATTGTTCAACCTCTGGACTGCATGGTTTGAAAAAATCTGGGTACCTAGTTAGTATGTGTATTTTCACTTGTGTAATCCCGGCATAGCATATTAGAACAAATAACAAAGTCAACAAATATTTTGTATTATTCCTCAACGTTTCGATCTGACTTGGAAGATCCTTCTCAAGTTTCGGTACAGAAAGTGGTGACCTTTACAATCATCCAATTACATACTGGTGTGGAGCGAAGATCGATGTAATACAGGTGAGTGAGTAAGCAACTCGGTCAGAGAGGTTTTTTCGTTGTGCTAGTAGGGTGGAACAAAAATAGGGTAGGGAAAATTTTTTTAGTTCGTCTATGAAAAGTAGTAGTACAATGGGGTTGTGAGACATCAAGGGTGTGAAGTATGAATGATAACAAAATGGATTATGTTATGGTTCATCGAATGTATATATGACTCAGAAAGCAGCCTAAAATTGATGAAAATAGTAGATCAATAAGGCGTATGTAATAGGACTAAACAAGTTATTAAAATGCAACCAATATATATATATATATTTTTCTTTCCTTTTTTCCCTTTTACCTCATGGTTGAAGAATAATACAAAATATTTGTTTATTTTGTTATTTGTTCTAATATACTACGCCGGGATTACACAAGTAAAAATACACCTTATACAATGAACTTGTGTGCTACAATTCATACGTCTAAACATCTGAAGGTGATTTGTCTTTTTCTTATAACAGTTTATCGATATTTCGCCTACATTCGCACCTTTATCTTTGATAGTTGTTCAGTTCAAATGAGCCATTGAATTATTTCTTGTAAGCTGATCTTTTTCGCTTGTTGAATATGTTCATACTTTTATACATCAACTTTATAGGTATTCAGTACTCATTCGACTACAGATTACAATCGTCGAAATGAAGAAATTGATCCATTGTCTGCTTCAGCTGAATATGAATTAGAAAAGCATCTAGAAGATATGGACATGTTTGAAATTGATTTTCATAAAGGTTTGTCTTGTTTTCGGTGTTAAACAATTGTCTTGTCTCATTTTCATTCTTGCATTCTTTCTATCTCTACCCGTGTGTGTGTGTGTGCATATATTTTTTTTCTTTTTTGGTTATTGTGTGCTTTCAAGGTCAGTCTCATACAAAGATACACAAAAACTGTGGTTTTAACATGCTTATTGGGATAGAAAAGTTGACCTTACATTCATGTTTATATGATACTGAGGCGACAAAATATGAAAGAAGGTAGATGATGTTCAATCAATTGTTATTGACAAGTCCAATGGAAATTGTTTTGAGCCTTTATTGCAGTTGGCAAAACACTCGACTATTTTCATCCAGGATACACGTTTCGTCCTATCTGGAACATGTCAGCTGGATATGTTTGGACTCCGCCGAGTGGAGTGGGACTCGAATTTAATACCCCCATCACTTTAAATGCCAAAGTTTTATCTAGTAAGCCACTAGGGTATAAATTTTAATGGGAACAAAATCATTCACTTAGTGTGCAGGTGTACCCAGCTGATGAATCCGAAGAAGGATGAAACATGCGTTTTGGATTCCACTGCTAGTCATCAAGATGTATATAACATCATGAATAGCCAGCAGTGTCGAGACATCTGCATAGAAGTCGAGCAATTTGCCCCTGTATACCTGTCGTTGTTAGTTTTAGCTTGATTGTGATATATGTATACATAAGAACTCCATTACTACATGCACTCAGTAGTTGGTTATAACTGTAAAAATCACTTGGAATGCTTTCGCATAGGTTATGGTCATATTTCTGTTTTAATTACTTTCGTATAACAGTCTGGACTAGGTGTGTTGCTGTCTTTTTCATTTGTCTCAATTTGGGTATTTCTGATGACCTTCATTAATGATCAGCTCATGTTGAGAACAGTTTATACTTTTTTTTTCTAGCAAAAAATTTCATTATGAAAAATGAGTATCATTCTTTTTTTATGGTACGATTTTTTACCAGCCATGATAAGCACTCAAATGTTCCAAATGTTATTCACAGTCGATTGTGTCAAACGAACTAACGGACACAACGTGATAGGAAATAGTAATTGAAAACTGAAATTCTCTCATTCTTTCACGTTTTCTACAGTAGTTAGTGCCATTATTAATTATGAAAACAGTGCGCCTCGAATAGCTCATTGATAACATCGCTGACTGCAGTAGGAGGTGATTCGGGTTCAAATCTCCCAGGAGAATATCAGTCCTCTTGAGATTTCAGGCACAACAAACTGGAAACTTAAGACGAGAGCAGGGCTTTCTGCTGATTGCCTTCAATTAATAAATATCCATTTTTTAAACCTTATATGTATTTCTTTTATTGAATCAAATGTGAATTCATTAGTTGTCTGTATGTGCTAAGCAGTTATCAAGATTGGTACACCAGAGTATGATGGAAATATGTTAGTTGTATGTCATCGAAAATAGTAACTTGATGTGTAGTGGAATTAGAAATATGCTTATCAGTAATCCAGTCTCTTCGTTAAATTAATGAAGTGAAGGTGTAAAAAGACTTGATCACACTAAGTATATAGGTTCATACCGTTAAGCTTCAATATCCGATTACATTTTTTTGACATCTTTCCCTTTAATACTGAGCACTGTGACATATGCCTATTGTTGGACTTAGATATTTTGTTTCCAACTGTACAGATCGATCATGATTCATATTATTAACATGTAATTAGACCAAGAGTCGAGTGTACTGTGCTACAGTTCACTCTGTTCTACTCTACGACTGTGGAACGCGTCCATTAAAGGTAGAGGATATAAGAAGGCTTTTGGTGTTTTACCACCGTCGCGTTCGTAATATAGAAGGTATCGTGGTGTCACACCATGTGAGTAACATAGAAGTCAGGAGTAGATTATTGGGAAGTAGAAGAAAGTCAATTGATGCGGTTGTGAACTTTTATCGATTGAAATTGTTCGTATATGTATTACGCATTCCTAGTCACCATCTATCTCGTCATGCAGTGTTAGTTAAATTATGTTCAGACTGGGAAAATACTTGAGGTGACCAGACTAAAGTATCACATCACTGCATGAAATCCTTAACTATTAATTTGAACCATGTTAGGGGATGCGCAGATTAGCTGATTGGGGTTCACGTGACAAGAGAAACTAGGGACTGGAGACTAGGTGATATGACTGAGAATAGATGTATGTAGCGCAGATGTATTCACATTTTGTCTTCATTTGAACCACTATTCTGAATTCAGCATTATCTCATTCCTCCTTCATCTCTTTTGCTACTTTCTCGCTTCATCTTCCATCATATTGCTTTGTTACTTGATCTGCTGGTGTGAGGTGTAACAACGTCGACCGTCACGCAGTAGTAGTACTGCCTGGTTGGTTTAATGCGATAAATGTGTAAATTGCTGCTTGTTCAACAACATCCTTGCATACCTTTGTTGATCACTGGTTAAACCCTTCCTCATACACATCATCTGTCACTGTCCATTCAGAATAAGGTTTGGTGAGCAAAGAATAACTTCGTCCTAGGCTCAACAGTTATGTATCCATATAGTTTGATCAAAAAGAAACGTGTTTATGTGTATACAACAATAACAGTCAATCGTTAGTATTCAGTAGTCCGGGAATTCTCTTCACACAGAAGGCTTATAAATATGAAAGGTGATGTCAATCATATTTTACTTGAATTTAGCCCCACTCTCTCCATTCTTATTCAATATTATCATAGATATTCTCATGGAGGTCTCCCGCACGTCACCTGATTACACAGACGTTGACCGAATCGGTGGAGAGTTTTCACTAGACCTAGAATATGCAGATGACATAGTCCTGTTAGGTGAATGGCGATTTGAGAATGTTTGGGATGCGTTTCTCACCACCGAAATGCAAATTGTTGATCGAGGATTTGTCTTCAGCGGTGCCACGGCTAAAGATAGAGAGTGTAGTTATTGGTTGAGTGTGTTGACCACTTCACTAACGTGGGAAGTGTGATGGGCCGTTGCCTGGTGGGTCAGTTGTGGATGAAATCTGTGCACGAATGCTAAAGGATCGGTTGGCTTTTGCTAACTTACGCCACTAATGGTGCCGCTGTGATATCCGATTGTGTATAAAGGGTTGCGTGTACTGCCTAGCAGTCCGACCTGTCCTACTGTATGGCTGTGAAACATGGTGATTGAAGGTGAAAGACATGAAAATGCTTCATGTGTTTGACCACGGTTGCCTTCGTAGTATGTGGGTGGGGGTGGGGGTGGGGTGGGGTAATTGGTGGTGTCACTACGTGAGTAATGCAGAAGTCAGGTGTAGGTGTAAAGTAATAGGGAGAAGAGGTAAATGGGTTGACGAGGTTGTGAACGTTGATCGACTGAGATGGCTGGTAGGGGGGACACGTGTTGTGTATGTCTAGTCGCTGTCTGCCTCATCACACAATGTTGGCCAAAGTAGGTTGATGGTGTAAGGAGGCTGAGCGTGGCCAGACTAAAACATGTTATGAAGTGTTTGACTGTTGGTTTGAAGCATGTAGTGAGGAGGATGCAGACAGTGTGTTGTTTGGGGTCTATGTGACAAGAGAAAGAAGTGTTTGTAGACTGACTGTAGTCGATGTGGATATGGCTGAGGACTTAATGTCAGTGGGTGTGATGTGATGTATTCACACGTTATGCTCATAGTAACGACGTTATGCGGAATCTCACCATTTTGTCACTCTTTCTTTGTGTAATTGAGTACTTTATATTTCTTCTGACTGAGTTTTCTTTTCTTCATGTTGGAGTGCGTTCACTGCTGCCTTATTACTTGATGTAGTGATGTGAGTTGTGTTAACTTTGAGCATGAGTCAGTAATTCCTGGTCCTATGTTTATTTAGATGGATGTATGGACTTGAATATAGTGCGTAATAATCAGTTATTAATGTGATACTGTGTCTTACGTAATACCAGATGGTTAAAGTAAATCATCTATGGGATTTGTGGACTAAAGTAAGTGAGATTATGAACGATAAGTAATTTTTCAGTGATTACTTGTGATTAAAGGTTTAAATGAATACTGTTCGCTTAGAAAATGTGATTTATACGAATAACATTTTCAGATACCGAATACTTCAAATTACAAAAGCTGTAGCCATTTTTGGCTTAAACAGCTTTAATTATGTGTACAAAAGAAAGCTTATGAATTTTATTATTGAAGCGAAGATGTTCATCCATTTCAGTCAACGACGGAAAATTACAACCAATAACATCCAGGTGAAATCCAACAAGTTGACAGAAGAGGCAGCGAAGATGGGACTTCAAGTGAATATAGAGAAGACAGAGGTGATAAAGATACTCAACCAACACCACCACCAACAATCACGAGCTCGAATCACCATCAACGGGAGAAACTTGTTGGAAGTAACCTCTTTCACCTATCTAGACAGCAGTTTCAACTACAGGTGGCGGTAGCACAGACGAGGAGGTCAAGGCAGCCAAGACAGGCATTCATTAACCTGAAACCAGTGTGGAGATCTTCTGCACTCAGGTCAGCATGTGGAACAAGATCCGGATTTTCAACACCAACGTGAGTCAAGTCAGTGCTTCTATATGGCTCAGAGACTTGGCGCGTTACGAAAGGCATTTCCAACAAACTACAGACATTGATGAACAACTGCCGCCTACTCTGGCTCGTTACTGAAGCACAGATGGCCAGAATAACAGGAATAAGCAACAAGGAACTCTGGGAACGAACCAACCAAGAACCTATCACGCAACAAATATGCAGGAGGAAGTGGAGATGGATTGGACTGGACATACACTGAGAAGGCCAACTGCGGACATCACGCAGCAGGCCGGGCCAGTTGGTCGAGTGGAACCCCGATGGGAAACGACGAGTTGGGCATCGGAGGCAAGAGTGACATGGAGGAGATGGTGTAAGGAAGAAATGAGAGGTTGTGGGCTGTTGTGGAGCGAGGTTGAGAAGTTTGCAGAGAACAGAGCGCATGGGAGACGTGCTACTGAAGCCTTCTTTCCCATTAGGAACCCAAGGGACAAATAATAATAATAACAATAATAATAATAATAAACGTCTAATATTTACATAAGACATACCATCATAATAGTATATATACTATTACTCAGAAATTTATTCCAAACATTTTTGATTTTGAAATCACCTTTCATCTAAGTTTTTTGTGAAGAAGATTCTCGGACTACTTAATGTTAACGACTGACTCACATTTGTTTGTGACTAAACGATATAGACTATAACAGTAGAGTTACGAGTTCGAACCCCAACCCGTCTACGACATTCTGGACAGCCAGATAGTGACGTCATTTTTCACATGACTCATTGTTTACCGCACGGATGTGCACATGGTTAGTAAGTACATTTCGATTTTTTTCCACTTGACTTTCATATTATTTTCTTAGGAGAAATAGTTTCACCTGTAAACCGGAATACATAGGTGTTTGTGTATGTTTATGTTCCTTACATGTACTGATTGCCTTTGTCTTTGATTTATCGTACTAATAATTCATCATCAAGTAGTACTTCGAATATATATTATGTGTATACCAATATTTGTGTGTAAATCTCCACTTTTTTATAGGTGCAAATGGTCTCGGCATCAGTATAGTTGGTTCAGGTGTCGATACATCGTCAGGTGAACAAAAGTTGAGTATATTCATTAAGTCACTCACTCCTGGAGGAGCTGCAGAAGCTGATGGGCGGTAAGTTAACACTTTTCGAAGCATGTATCTGTAAAGTGCATTGAAACGATCACACCTTATGTATTGTTTCTCATATAATTAACTATGCCTAAAGATTGGAAAAAAGGTAAAAATACATTTCAAGGGAACAGCGTGATCTGTGAGAGAATTTTTAAAAAAAATGTAGACTTAAGGAGATATTTGCTTTGGCTTCAAACCCTGGCGTTTCGTTAGTAAACTGCGGTTTTTAGCATATCTATTACAGAAAGTAGAAATTAGCTACATTATTGTTGGAAGTTATTGGTAAAGTTTCTCATTCAACCAGTTTGGAAGTAGTAGTATCATAGCTAGCTTCTCTTTCGATCATTTACCTATGATGTTGTTACTTGTATCACCTTGTCGTTGATTGGACCAAATTGACCGGTCTCTATTGGGACATGCAATATCGAGACGTCTGCGCAGGTGCTCACATGTCAATTATGATTATTATTTGTCCCTTGTTTCCTAGTGGAACATAGGGCTTCAGTAGCACGTCTCCATTCCACTCTGTTCATCGCAGTCTTTTGAACTTGGCTCCTCACATGATCTCCTTCATGTCACCCTCACCGTCGGACGCCCAACTCATCCTTTCCCATTTGGGTTCCACTCGAGGCCATGGCCTGGTTCGTGATGTCTGCAAACGGTTTTCTCAGTGTATGGCCAGTACATGTGTACTTTGTTGTGCATATTAGTTAGGTGATGGGTTATTGGTTGGTTGGTTGGTTGTTTGGTTGTCAGGCAGAGTTTGTTGTTGCTGCTTATTATTTCTGGCCATGTGATCTGATTTTGAGTATGGTGTGGGCGTGGGCGTTAGGTGTTGATGAATATCTGTGGTTTGTTGGAAATGATTTTCGTAACGCGCCAAGTTTCCAAACCAGTTAATAACCGGATAATAAAAGTAACATCACATAAACTATGCCTGTCGTACAAGAAGTGGCCATCGTGACTCGGTGGTTAGTAAATAACACTGTGGTATTTCAAGAATCGGTCCCAGGTTTGGGTTTTAGTGAAGACAGCATCACTAAGTGGAATGCATCCAGTTGATGAGTCTCAACTGGGACGAAATGTACGTCCTGGATTCTACTCTTAGCTACTAGCCATTTGTTTAGTTTATTTTCCTCGATCTAGGTTTATGAATGTACATGATAGTACCATTTCTCTGTGCATTTCCTAGTTTTTCTTCTTTAAAGTACTGTTATCATTATTTTTTCCTTTCTGCTCTCCCTCTTGTTTTTGTTTTTGTTTTCCTCCGACTATACTTATGTAATATGTGACAACTTGGACTGATATGCAATTGTACTGAATCCTTTATTATCCTCATATTTATGTGTATATGTATGTAGGTAGGTGGGAATATGTGTTCAGCTATTTTTTACTTCATGACATCATTAAGCTAATCCCACGATATGCATCTACTTTTTGAAAGATTCATTTCTGGTTTCTGTATCGGTGATTAGCAGTGGAATGCAGGATGCGCATTTTGTCCTATTTGTGACCTGTCAGCTGAATGTACCCAAGTGAGTGATGTTGTTCCCACTGTTCTCAGAACCGAGTACGCATCGTTTCAAATGCCAAAATGTTATATCCACTGGGGCACGAGATCGACCTCTTGTGCAAGAGGCTATTAGTTATTATTATTTGTTGGTATGCAAAGTTGAATTGCTCAACCTCTGTTATCAGATGGGCTTCTGTGAGGTTGTCTCGATATTACCTACTTACTCATTATGTTGATATCTGCTTGGTTATTAACAGTTTAATCCAATACGCGCATTTCATCCTTTTGGGACTCACTCGTCAGCTGGGTGTTTCTGTACCCAAGCGAGAGTTGTTCCCACTGAGACTCATTTGTGGCTATTCCTCACCTATCTTAAACAGTAAAAGAATGAACAGTACTGTGTTCAGAACAAGTACTTCTTTGTTTTACCTTTTTCCATATAACTTGTAGTGTTTTTTGTTCCTTTTTGTGATGTAAAAGGTCAATGAACCATACTCTTACTAAATATACATGAGTTTAATGTTGTTACTTAATCAATGTTTGCATGTCCTTACATGTACATTTGTCATCAATGTTTTCTTTTCTTTGTAAGTTTATTCAATGCCTTACTGTTGATCCACTTATTCTACACATCTTATGCTTAGAATATTTACTCATCCAAGTAGTTCAGTGATTCATGTGTAATGCGGCTCTCTCTCCAGTTTGTACTGACAGGACTGCGTCCATGTACCGTCTATATCCTTTGAAATGAGTTAGCATCTAGTGTTTTTTTCATTTATATCCTTTCATTTATTTTCTCATGGATAGGTTCAGTGGATTCACATCAGATTCTTGAATGAATGAACTTAAATAAACGTATTACATTGATAATAATGAGTAATATCTAAATGTCGTAGTACTATCAATGTAATAACCTATGTGGCCTTATTTACCTCACTAGGTATTCAGATACTTGTCAAGGACATATGCATTATGTTCGCTGCTCTTTAACACTTCGTCACCCCTCCGCCTCCCACCCAACTAACGAAACACACTCAGCAATCTTGTGTATATTGTGCTGTAGGCAATGACTCACACCTGTTGTGAGGGCTATTAATACTACCTGACTGCTCGAACTACCTCGGTAGGTGAAGTGGTGTTTGGACCCATGACCCACTGACTGATAGGCATCTCCCTAAATAACTGAGCCACACTGCTCCACTCTCAGCTATAACACTAGTTTACTTTATTATTACTATTTTTATCTGTTTTTTTTTTGCATATCATACTAGTATACAAGTATACGATCAAATTGTTCAAGTGGATGGACACAGTTTGGTTGGTGTTTCACAGCAGTTTGCAGCTCAAGCGCTTCAAAGCACTGGAGAAATTATTCAGTACGTAATCATTCATTTTCGCTTAGTTTATCAAATATATATATGTCTGGTATATTCTATCCGAATAATTGAGCACCTATCTAAATGATTGATGCTCGCAGAAAAGAAAACTCCAAGAAGCTGGATAATTAAACATCTATTGCATTATGGGTACGATATCGATGCTTTTGAGTTCTTTGCGATTATCGATAGAGAGCAGAATATGAAGGTGCTTGCAAATGCGAATGCTTGTCTATTTCTAGTTGTTCAGCCAAACCTCTGCGTCCAGAAGGAAATGGTAGTTAATTTGAATCTACGATGGGAGTAATTACAATATGGTCTAGTTATATTTATCCATTCCTTTCTGGTCTTTGGCTTCAATTATTACCGTTGTCTTTTCGTTCATATTTTCCCCCTCTTGGTCTGTTTCATTTATTTAATCTATTTCCTTTTGATACTGATAATTTTCTGTTGCTATACAGGGTCGAACTGATCGTTACTGTCTGCTTACTCACTAATAGGGTACTGGTACGTCCAGCTGACGAGTCTCAAATAAGACGAAACGTGCTTCCTGTATTCCACTGCTAGCCAGTAGACATCAACATAATTTATTTCTTTTTACCACTGTTACTAGTGCTAGTTCCACTATATGTCTCGTTTTCTTATTATGTCTAACTTTACACTGTCTTAATTTACTACTACTAACTTTTCTGTTTAGAATGGCACAATCTATCGTCAGCCTGTTCTATTTTCACCCTGCTGTCAACATTATTATTGATGTCATTATCTTTCACCCAAAAACCGCATATTCCTTTAACCTTTTCTGGCCTATTCACAGCGTCAACGTATTTAGTTTGAAACTGATCTGTGAAACTTCTTCATTCCCAATATATTAATTTGGTGTCTTAGTTTGTTTTATGTATTTATACTGATTGATGATTGGAGGTGAAATGAAAATGTGTGTTGGCAGCAGGATTAAAACCAGTGGGTTCTAGGTTACCGGCTCAGTGCTCCACCAATCGAGTTATGCGATTCATTTGCTCACCAGATATATTTGTAATCGTGTATCGCCTGTTGATATATATATATATATATATATATATATATATATATATATATATATTAAAATCAAGTATGTAGAATATCCAGCTTTCTTCACATTTTTGGCTTGTTCTTAAACAAATGAGTTACACACTGTCTAAAATTTATTCTTTTTGAATAAATAAACCATACGTTGGCAACCTGCTTATATCATAAGCTACCAAATTTATCCATCGAACATTTTTCATAAAATTCTTTCTATTTCAATTTGTTTTAATCATTTAAATATATCCTTTGAATGGATCATGTACTATTTCACATTTTTAAACCGTTTCCAACTCTCCGTTTCTCGAGTCAATAACAAAGCAGAGAAATAATCTTACGTTATGTAGAAGTGGACTTTTCGGTACGAAAAACTACGTCGAATTTCTATCCGTCAGATGGTTGAGTTGCACATATTTGTACCGCTTGAATAAACCACCACCAAAATTACGCCTGCATTTCTGTTGATTTTTCATTATGGACCAGATGCCCATCCAAAACCAGCTGATTATTTCATATTACTTCCTTGAATACTATTATTATTATTATTATTATTATTATTATTATTATTATTAACGCCATTCCAATGCAATAACAGTTTCGTTGGAATGTGTTCTTCTTGGAGTGAATTCGTTGAAAAATTACATGCTGAGAATTCCATACTGCCATACATATTGTTTGGAATAAAGCGATTATTATCAATAGTATTAACAAGATCTAGATTTTCAACATCAATGTCAAGTCAGTGTTTCTGTATGGCTCAGAACCTTAGCGTGTCACGAAAAGTATTTCCATTGAACTACAGAGATTCATCAACAGCTGCCTAAGCTCGATACTGAAGATCAGATGGCCACAATAATAGGAATAAGCAACAAAGAATTCTGGGAACGGACCTATCACGCAACAAATATGCAGAAGAAAGTGGAGATTGATTGGGCATACACTGAGAAGGCCGACTGGAGACATCACGCGCCGGGCCAGTTGGTTGAGTGGAACCCCGATGGGAAACGACAAGTTGAGCGTCCGAGGCGAGGTTGGCATGGAGGAGATCATGTGAAGAAGAAATGAGAGCTTGTGGGCTGTTGTGGAGCGAGGTTGAAAAGTTTGCAAAGAACAGAGTGCACTGGAAACGTGCTACTGAAGCCCTATGTTCAACTAGGAACCCAAGGGAAGAATAATATAATAATTATTATCATTATTATTGTTGTTGGAAGATATGTATGCAACAGATTCTATCGGTTTTGCTGGTATTTTATAACCAAATCAAATCCTAGAACATTTGTTATCAAGCATGAGAAGGAAATCTTTACATAATTCGGATATATTTTAAACAGAAAAAAAATGTGAGAATGGTCTATTGATTCAGCTTGCCATGTTTCGCTGCTTCATTACAGTAAAGGAATTGACTGAAGAAAGCATATAAAAGTAGTAATAAAGCCGATATTGAATAATTCCAAGAAAAATTGCGAATGAAACAAGTGAGAATAAAGGAATGTATGGTAGTAGTTATTATTTCGCTACAACATAGAGTAAAAAAGCCTATGTACCATTGCTACCCTATTGCCAACCGTTTATGTATTTATTTACTCTTTGTCATACCTCATTTAGTCCACATTATTCTACCTGACTACCTTGAACAATTTTAAAAATGACTGTCGGGAAAAGTTAAAGTTTTGTGCAGGAAATTTGGATGCTGTTGTTGCAGACAGCTAACAGAATATAAGGAGCACATACATTTACAAGTGGTTATTGTGTTCTATAGCACCCTATTGTTATCTTCACTCAAGATACAATTGTGTTGTTGGCTCTAATATATTGTTATCTTATTAAGAAGTAGTATTCATCATGGACTGACACCAGTTGGAGAATCATTTAAAACCTGGGAGCACTGGACAGCTGTTTCGTCCAACTAGTACGGGACTCCTCAGCAGTACGCACCCAGGACCCAGCTAAGGATGGAACTCAGGACCTTCACGTTTCACGATCAACGCATTAACCATTCAGCCACTGGATCAGTTTCCAATGGTTCACAATTTCCAACTTCTGTCAATTCACTACATAGCTTGACTGTCACGCAAGGTCTTCAGTTAGCATCCACTTCACTTCTGACTGGTTGACCCACAGGTCACGGCTTCTCATTAGAGCTTCGTGATATCCATCTGGAAGCAAGTTACTAGGATGAAACAGCTGTCCAGTGCTCCCAGATTTTCAGTGGTTACCCAAATCATGTCAGTTCATGATGAATACTACTTCTAAATTAAAAAAATCCCCATTCATCTCAAAAATACACTTCTTGATTAGTTTGTTAATTGAAACTTATGATTCTGATTTCGCTTTGATTAATATATTTTCCGGTTATGTTAGTTTACCGAAACTCTATTCTGAGTAGTTCCTAGTAGAGTCATATACTGAATCATTCAACAAAAGGTTTCCACTTCATTAACATGAATAAATTCATATATGTTTATACAATTTCTCAACAGTTTCACAAATTCTACCTTTTTATATCTTTGTTAACCTGTGACCGATTTTATTCCTTCCAGTTCAACTAAATCTACACTGTCTAAACTTCATTTTTTTTGTCAATTAAATACGTGTAAAAGCTCTCAGTTGTGATTTTCTTTCGGTTCTAGCTATCATTGAATTATTGAAATGAACTGTGATGTTCTCCCATTTTAACTTTGTATTAAATTCTCTCTGTCTCTCTTTTGTTTTTATCAATTCGCTTGGAAATCATACTATTCTGCTTTAGTCATTAGCAACAATGTAACTGTCTGATCCAATTGTGTAAACCGTTCAGTCTGATATTCTGATTTTGTTTAGTGCAAATGAATTTAAGTTGCAAAATGTGTTATTTCGATGGGAGCCAATCGACAGGAAGCCCTGCTTGACCTAGATTTTGTGCTTATTGGCACTTGTCAGCAAGGCGCACCTGCAGCCTCGAGGCGAATGATGTTCTGTGTGAGATTCAAACCCATGTCAAGAATGTTACTGTTGAGCTATTCGGGCTACGATTGATCTGTAGGAGTGGGTTAGGTACATTGATTCTTTACCGGAGGGTAACCAACCTCATATAGTCTAGTCCTATGTGCTGATTGAATGTGCTATATTATAAGAATATTGTCGCTTCATAAAACTTTATTCAGAAGTAAAATTATAAAGTTTACAAATGTCTATTATTCACAATATTTCAGATTGTTGGTGGATCCCTTTCTCTCTCATCCATTAACTCTTATTTTCTCTCAACAAGCTGTAAATAAGTAATTTTTCTTTCTCCATCTTTCCAATTAGTTTTGTCTTAGCACGAGACAAAGACCCACCGAATTCTCGTATTGCAAAAATTTTGTCAGAGAAACAAGAAGAAGACGAAGAAGATGCGAAATCGAATAAATCACCAGATAAAAGGTAATTATTCCTTTTTTATTCGTCTATTAAGTTTCTCTCTGATTACTTCCTCTATATGTGTTAATACTGAAGCTCGAGAAAAATCTCGTAGAAACGATAGGATGTGCAACTTTGTATGCAGGGTCAGTCAAAAAATTGGATGAACTAATTCACAATTAAGTTGTAGCTGCCGTGTAACTAGTTTATCGTGAATACCAAACCTTAATCAATAGCTTTTCAGTACTAAGTTGTTTCACTCTACCTGTGGCGCCTCCGTGATATCTGATTGTCTATCAAGGGTCCCGTGTACTGCCTAGCAGTCCGATCTTTCCTACTGTATGGCTGTGAAACATGGTGATTGAAGGTGGAAGGCATGAGAATGCTTCATGTGTTTGACCACGGTTGCCTTCGTAGTATGTGGGTGGGGGTGGGGGTGGGGTGGTGTAATTGGTGGTGTCACTACGTGAGTAATGCAGAAGTCAGGTGTAGGTGTAAAGTAATAGGGAGAAGAGGTAAATGGGTTGACGAGGTTGTGAACGTTGATCGACTGAGATGGCTGGTAGGGGGACACGTGTTGTGTTTGTCTAGTCGCTGTCTGCCTCATCACACAATGTTGGCCAAAGTAGGTTGATGGTGTAAGGAGGCTGAGCGTGACCAGACTAAAACATGTTATGAAGTGTTTGACTGTTGGTTTGAGGCATGTAGTGAGGACGATGCAGACTATGTGTTGTTTGGGGTCTATGTGACAAGAGAAAGAAGTGTTTGTAGACTGACTGTAGTCGATGTGGATATGGCTGAGGACTTAATGTCAGTGGGTGTGATGTGATGTATTCACACGTTATGCTCATATTAACGACGTTATACGGAATCTCACCATTTTGTCACTCTTCCTTTGTGTAATTGAGTACTTTATATTTCTTTTGACTGAGTTTTCTTTTCTTCATGTTGGAGTGCGTTCACTGCTGCCTTATTACTTGATGTAGTGATGTGAGTTGTGTTAACTTTGAGCATGAGTCAGTAATGATGCCTGGTCCTATGTTGATATTCATAATGATGACTAAATTGCCTCGATTAACCCCTTTTTATTTACTTTTTACACTATTTACATTTAGTCAAGAAATGGCAGCAACTCAAACAGACAATGTAGTGCAACAGGTAAGCTTTGTGTGAAAGTTATGTTGTATCTAATCATCTTTTATCGCCTAAAAATTGTTTTATTCATGATTGATTCTCTTATCGTGACTTTTCACAGTTTCTTCGTACTTCAAAGCTATTAATATTATTTACATTAGTGAATAATTCAAATGAGATAGGTTTCCCATGACCTGATTATTGTTATTAGTTTCTGTTTCATTCAGCATAAAGGTGCTCTGCTGATTATTAGCGTTATTTCACTATGCTTAACGAAATATCTCTGTACTTATTAATATATTTTTTATTTATCCCTTGGGTTCCTAGTGGGACATAGGGGTTCAGTAACACGTCTCCATTCCACTCTGTTCATCGCAGTCTTTTGAACTTGGCTCCTCACATGATCTCCTTCATGTCACCCTCACCGTCGGACGCCCAACTCATCGTTTCCCATTTGGATTCCACTCGAGGCCATGGCCTGGTTCGTGATGTCCGCAAACGGTTTTCTCAGTGTATGGCCAGTACATGTGTACTTTGTTGTGCATATTAGTTAGGTGATGGGTTATTGGTTGGTTGGTTGGTTGTTTGGTTGTCAGGCAGAGTTTGTTGTTGCTGCTTATTGTTTCTGGCCATGTGATCTGATTTTGAGTATGGTGTGGGCGTGGGCGTTAGGTGTTGATGAATATCTGTGGTTTGTTGGAAATGATTTTCGTAACGCGCCAAGTTTCCAAACCAGTTAATAACCGGATAATAAAAGTAACATCACATAAACTATGCCTGTCGTACAAGAAGTGGCCATCGTGACTCGGTGGTTTAGTAAATAACACTGTGGTATTTCAAGAATCGGTCCCAGGTTTGGGTTTTAGTGAAGACAGCATCACTAAGTGGAATGCATCCAGTTGATGAGTCTCAACTGGGACGAAATGTACGTCCTGGATTCTACTCTTAGCTACTAGCCATTTGTTTAGTTTATTTTCCTCGATCTAGGTTTATGAATGTACATGATAGTACCATTTCTCTGTGCATTTCCTAGTTTTTCTTCTTTAAAGTACTGTTATCATTATTTTTTCCTTTCTGCTCTCCCTCTTGTTTTTGTTTTTGTTTTCCTCCGACTATACTTATGTAATATGTGACAACTTGGACTGATATGCAATTGTACTGAATCCTTTATTATCCTCATATTTATGTGTATATGTATGTAGGTAGGTGGGAATATGTGTTCAGCTATTTTTTACTTCATGACATCATTAAGCTAATCCCACGATATGCATCTACTTTTTGAAAGATTCATTTCTGGTTTCTGTATCGGTGATTAGCAGTGGAATGCAGGATGCGCATTTCGTCCTGTTTGTGACCCATGTCTCTCAACTATCACATAGAAACGCTGACTTCCTTGGTTGAATTAGTGTTGAAAATCCGGATCTTGTTCACGCTTTATGCTAAATGCGGTGAAGTGCATTAGATCTCCACACTGATTTCAGATTAATATAGGAAGGTCTGTCTTGCTGTCTTTGATATCGTCATGTGTGCCTGTGCCGCCTGTAGTTGAGATGATGCTGTCTGGGTAGGTATGTAGGTAGGTGAAAGAGACAACTTTCTTCATTTTTCTCTCGCTGATGGTGATAAGTACTTGTTGTTGTTGTTGGTTGGGTATTGTTATCATCTCTGTCTTCCCTAGATTCTTCAGAAGGAAGTCCCGTCTTCTCTGCCTCGCCTCTTCTGCCAACTTGTTAGTTTTCACTTATGTAACTTCGAGTTTGTGCGACAGAACACTAGACATAAATCACGATCGGCGAAATCCAAATCGTGTAGGGTTTTTTTATCGGTCGAACAGCGTATGCTCATCTTTTTTGCTCCTCAAGGTTGTCTGTTGCATGATCCAGTCGAGTCCAGTCAGTCACAATCAGGAAGATGATCGCAATATTAGGCAACTTTGTCTTATCTTCACTTCACATGCCTCACTGAGCTTTGCATTGTGAATCACTTGGCATATGTCGTCGTCACATAGTTGTTGAATGAATCTGATAAAGGTTTGTGGCACTCTGTAGTGTATTTAGTGCTTTGAGTAATGAATGAGATTTTCTTGCATCTTTTTATAACATATTACCATTATGGCTGAAAATCGGTTACAATGGCGCGGATATATTCACTCATTGACATCTTATAAAGCCTGAATATTTGCACTGCTCTTTATTTTCAGATTGTTTTTCCCTTATACAACTTTGTCTACCTTGATATCACTCTTTTTCAATCCTGTTCTTTGTATAATGCTGTGAAGTGTATAGCAAAGGACTAATAGTTGAAAGTTGATTGAATTCAATTCGAAATGCATACAGCAACCTTTTACACATTTATCCAGCAGACAGTGAATCATATCTACTGTGTTTGAGGGCTAATGATACTACCACTTTGTCCAAATCTCAGGATGTGGAACGACGCACCAATCTGTGTCCTAGTGATTGAAATTGATCTTCCTAAATTAATGAGCCACTCCTCTAAACAAAAGTTGATAATCTGCTGTAATATTCAGTGACAAAGTTTTACAAACTTTTAATACAAAGAAGTGCATATGTATACATTACTCACTCATGTTATTAGTGTGAACTGGTAAATGTCTTACGAGTTAAAACACCACTTCACGAAGCGAGATATGGGCACCCAGGTAGTATCATTAACCCTCCCTAGCTTTTCGTAGAATCACCGTATGATAAATCACCACGGTATAGGAATTGGTTTTAATGTCACTATTCTATAGATAGATATATATTCCTAAAACTTTCGGTTTCTCATACAGAACAGTTGGAGAGGGATCAATTCAAACCTATCCCCCACTATTCAACACGTCCCCTAGCGTTAATGCATCCTACTAACTTCTATTAAACGCTATGCTTGACATTCGACTGTACACAATGTCTCTTAAAGCTATTCACCTGCATAAATCAATTAAGATACTCCGAATTGAAACTTATTAGCTCCTTTCAACTGATATTCAACGTTTCTACAGAAAAGGATGCGTAGACTGCGCTGCAGTCCGTTTTATTCTCCTGTATAACTATGAGACATGCTCCATTAAAAGTGGAAGACATGAAGCGATTACACGGTTTTGATTACAGATGTCTTCACAGCATTGCTCACATATGGTCGAATCACCCTATGATAAATATTCACGTCAGGCGAAGTGTACTAAGCAACACACCATAACCGATTAAGGTTGTGAACCTCACTTGACTGAAATACCTTGCACATGTGTTGCATACATCAACTCATCGACTACCTCCACATCCCATAAGTAAAAGAAGTCCCATCATCTTTGAAGATAGTTCACAGTGGTCAGAACAAAACATGGTATCAGTTGATGCACTGGTTAACAGTTGGTCTCTGTCTTGTAGATAGATGTAAACTGCCGGGACGAAAGGTATCAGTGGTTGACGACTGAGTCTTGATGACATGGCTGAAAATTTGTCACAATGGCACAGATATATATTCACTCCTTAACATCTTCTAAAGCTTCAATAATCGCACAACTCTGTTTACTTTGGTAACAGTCTTTTTCTATCCACTTGTTTTTTGTGTACTTACCCTACTTGTTAAGTGTCAACTTGAGCCGATACACCCATGTTCGAGGTTGTACGTTGATTTTTTCTCTGTCAATTATTCATCAATGCTTTTTCATTTATCCTTATATATTTCAAATGAAGGTTGTTTGTTATACAATGGTCATGTTAATAAGCAATTACTCTTAATGAATCCAAATGGCTGGGAAAATGCATTATCATAAAATATAAAAAAAACACATCAGACGTTCTTTAAAGTGTATTCTTCATTATATTTTTAATATAGGCGAAAAAGACAATGGTCTATTTAATATTTTCACTGATTATAGATATTGATTGGTACTTAACTTGTCAAAATGACATATTGTTATGTTATTGAATACTTATTATTCAGCTTCTGTGAATAATTAATCTTTACTACGAAGCTGTATTTATGAATTCTGTTAAATGGATACTAAAGTATAACAAAAGCAATCAAGTTGAAATGTTATCAACTTCTAGTTGTGCTCAATGAAATGAAATTATTCATCTTTTCGACTGTCAGTAAAATTGTAGGGGATTAATCTTAACAGTCTATTGGTAATTGTAAACCTATAGGTGTGTAATCCCTCTTTATTATTTTTTTCAACTATCAGGTAGTAGTAAAAAAGTACATTTATGTTAATATGATTATGAGATTCTGTGATCCTTCATACTTATAAAACTGACTCATATATCCATACTTTAATGTACGTTATACCAATGAAAAACAGAGGAAACAGTGTTTCAGGGTTGGTAATCATAGTATTCATCAAGAATACAGAAAGCTTATAAAAAGATGTCGGTAGCTTAGTAAAACTGTGAGCAACTTGATATGCCAAGGTTAATCAGTATATCTTAGTTGTTACTATCATTTATACTTATGTATAAGACTGTATTCTACTCTGAAAATACATTTATATACTCTAGTTGAAAGATAACACTATCTAAATGATATAAACTTTAGGACAAGAAATGCTCATCTCGTAGATGGAAAGGTGAGCGAAAATAACACTTTTCCGGCCCCCTTTTAATTATTTAAATGAATGAAAATTCTAGAAAACTTGACAATTTGTCAGTTTTCTTAAACTTTTTTTATGATCATATTTTATATAGTAATATCTTTTGTTGTTAGTTGGAATTTTATGTTTAAGGCAGATGGATATCTCGAAATTATAATGAGAAGCCGTGTGTTACCCTAGTCTGAAGGGAAGATTATGCCAACTGAAGACCTTTAGTGATAAGTTGCTAGTTGACAGAAATAGGAAACTGTGAACCATTGTACTTCGACCCAGTGACTGAATGATTAACCCGTTCACCGTGATACTTGTTAAGGTTTTGAGTTCGATTTCCTAGCTGGGTCGTGGATGCATACTACTGTCAGAAGTCCGATACTAGTGGAAAATAGCTGTTCACTGCGCCTAGGTATTTACTGGTTCTTCAATGGATTGAATGTTTCCTAAAATGAAACTTGTATGATATACCCTCCGTCAATTAACATGCAGAAGCTTGTAGCAACTATATCTTAACAAGTAATGTTACTTGTATTATCCTGTCGTTGATTAGATCAAATTGATCGATCTCTATTGGTATATGGGCTCCTGTGCTGATACCTGAATATTGCTTGTATTTTCAATTTTGATATTAATAATGGATAGTGGTTATCATCGGAATCCAGGATGTGTGTTTCTTTGTATTTAGGACTCATCACTTGGGTATACTTGTACAACCAGTACATCATAGAAACTATATCCATCGTACAAAAGTGGCTACCATGACTTAGTAGATAATTCTGTGATGTGTAAAATGGATTGATCTCCAGTTTGAGTCTCACTCTTTAAGAGGTGGGTACATTTAGTTTACGTATCCTAAATGGGATTCAATGCACGACTTAAATTCCTTCTGCTAACCACTATCCATTATTGAATCTAACATGAATTGAATTTGTACATTGAAGAGTATAAATTTTTATCTCTATAACCAATAAGAAAATGACTCATTATTGATAAAGAAAGATGATGGGTGTGTGTTGTAGTTTTCTGTATACTCTAATACACCCATTTTTCAATACATAGTCACTATCATCATCATCAGTATGTGAATGTATATTAAGTACGTAAACGATGTTTAAACAGAGTATGAATAAAGTCTTGAAAATTGCTTCCACAATAATATCGTTTCACGTCAACTTTTCCTTTCTAATTACTATTGTCTATAAAATAATTGTATTTTATTATTTTTCTTTTCTTTTCTGTATAGACTAAATTATGAAGGCATAAAATATGAAATCTCTTTTGTTATTATTACATATTACTACTTGTCATTAATGTATTTTGTTTTTCTTCTGATGATGACAACTTGCTTACTCGTTTATTTTCTCCCCTTTTCTTTTTCTTCTTCATACAATTTATTCTCTATTATTTGGATATTTTGTCTTGATTATGACTCTTGTTCAACGATATATATATGTATATATTTGCATCCAATTTATTGTTGAAGTGTTTAATACTTGTGTGAAGATGGTGAAGAATACTAATGTCTCATTTTCTGTTTATCTTTACTTATTAATCGTTACACCTCTCCTACCTTCTGTTCTTTCTACTTACTTAAGTAATTAACAGGATTCATAGATAGGAGAATTGTATTACTAGCATTATTGCTTGGTGGTAGGTGGGTAGGTGGCCTAGAGAAAACTCTTCCACTGTTTACTATTGCATTGGATTTACACCTACATTTTAACTGATTTTTCTTTTTATGTCTTATAGCATTGCTAACACCAGGCTTTTGTAATTTTCCATTGGACACACAATGTGTGTGTATCGCACTGTGTTTTACTACTTTTTTTTCTTTTAACCATTAACATATGTGCTTGATGACTGTTCACACTATAAGTTGGGTGGGTTTAATTCATTCTATGATACATCAGGTTTGAAGTTTAGTATCTTTTCTATGAAAGTAAAGCCTACAGTTTGCTGTGTCTTAGTTCAGGATTCTGACTTTGATCATCTATACTTCATAAGAATTTTAATATGTACAGATGGTCTGAGTTTCTTGTTTTTAACTTGCTGCCTTCCGCTTTTCTCAATTCCACTTTTTTCTTTTTCTCTTCATCATTATTGTGTGTTGTTTGTGTGTGAAAGCTAACAGTTGAAATCGATTCACATAGCTCTTCTTCCAGGTTCTGCACTGATTTCTTTTTTTTCCCCTATCGATTTGATCTCTACTATTTAGAAAAGCTATCTAAAGCTTGTGTTGTAAGGTTATTCATTGTTTAACTTTTTTGATATCATATCTAGTTTTTCTGTCTTTAAATCAGTATGATTTCATCTTTCGTGACTAGTTTCTTGTCTTTCATATTTATATCAAACTACTTTTTACGTTTTAAATAAATAAAGTTTGTCACTTCAATGCATTCTCATTCAGTTCTTGCGATTAAGGTCCCACATAGAGCCTATATAGTTGTTGTAGATGATGATCGAGATAAAGAAATGTATGTATCAGCGCCATTACGTAACTGAAATAATGAGATTGTGTAGATCTTATCAATGTATACTCCGTGAATATCGCAATAATTAAGCATTTCCCTTTACTGTAGTGTAATATGAGTTTTATGTGTAATTTTATCATGAAGCTTCTATTTATTACTTGTATAATGCTTGACTGCAAAATTCTGCTTCATAATATTTTTTAGAAGGAACGAAGAATTTTCGTCACACCTACCTTTAGTACATTTGTTCAACTGACTTAATGATGGATAGTGGATGTGAACTGATTGACATACACAAGGGAGTAGTTCACTATAACTTCAATAGAGTTCGATTTACACAGCCAGAGAGATTGTTCATAAAACATACCATTAACAGAATGGATTGGCAATGTTGGTCACTTTTGGTTCTTTGTTTTGTTTTTGTTTTTCCAATGAGAAACATTCATTGAGACTTTTTAATGTTCACTTTGTCTGGTACTACTAACACATTTTGTACTGAACAATAAAGTGGAGATTTATTTCTTGTCAGTTATTTTAGCTTCCTCTTTAGATCAGTTTTTAATCGATTAGTATATATTAGTCTCAAGTCCTTCGATATGATAATCTTAGTGAGGTTTTTAACTTGTTTATACATAAGGTATACCGGATTGTTATCGTTTGTTTTGTTCAGTTATCAGGTGGTGATTCTACAGAAGCATTGCATAATTTGATTGCGGTAGCTACACGAACACTGAAGCAAGCTAATGAATGGGATGATGATGACGAAGATGAGGATATTGTAGCTGAAAATGAAGAGGGTGAAGATTTTGAACTAGAATCATCATGTGCAAAATATATCCTCTCTAATATTGTGAATGATACTTCTCCTGTAAATGGTTGTTTTGAACAGTTTAAGAAATCTACAAACTGTGTAAACAATGAGAGAAATATGAAAATTGTCAATGGTAGCCTAAATGTGTCTGATCGGCTTCATTCTAGTCCTCGATCTGCTCTTAAGGGAACAGCAACTGCAGCATCAACTCGTCGACGTAACGAAGCTATTATGGAATACATTCGTCAGGCTGTATCTGTTCGAGATAATGTATGCTTACCATCTGATCTTCATCATGGTCCTACAGATGTTAATAAGAATCCATTTAACACTACAGATTATCTAACCCCTGTATCTTGGGCTTTAGCTAGTGAACTTCATGACTGTACAACACAACTACGAAAGCTTCATTCTCGTGTTCGAAACCTAGAACAACGTGTGAGTTATTTAGTGTATAACTCAATTAATATATGTATATTCCAACAATTTTATACAGCATCAACTTCATATTATTATTTATTATTTTTGGCTACAACTGTCAATTTTTAAAGCATTTCTATCGGAATTCTTTCATGTGCAGTGACTTTCGTATGCATAAGGGTCTATTTATTCGATGTAGCATACGTTTTACTGCATCACAATGCTTATTTTAAGATACTGTACATTTGATGTGAAATAGTCGTAACACTTTTTATCTAGATATATGATGAAAGAATTCAATACTTAAGTTTATGCTCAATTTGCATCACATTTCGATGAGATGGTTGGGACACGTGTTACGTATGCCTTGTTGCCGATTGCCTCGTCACACAATGTTGCCTGAAGTAGGTCCAGGCTAGAAAAAGGCCTGAGGTGACCAGACTAAAACATAGCATCAATGTACGAAGTCTTTGACTGTTGGTTTGAGCCATGTGGGACGATGGAGACTAGATGGTTAGGGTCCACGGGAGAAGAAAAACCAGTGGTTGGAGACTGACTCCAGGTGATGACATGGCTGAGAACCGATGTCAGTGGTGTAGATGTATCCCCACACACATTATCCTCATCTTGACGACGCTATATCGAATCTCACCACTTTCTCATTCTTCTTTTCTCTCTCTCTTTTCATACTTTGTATTTCTTTTGACTGAGTTTTCTTATCTTCATCTTGCGCCCCACTACCTTTTCACTTGATGTACTGAAATGAGGTGTGGCAACTCGGACCGTTACGCAGTAACGCCTGGTCTTAGGTTGATTTGCACGGATGGAGCACTAGTGGGCTACGCTTTAGTTATGAACATGGTAACCATTAATAACGTCAACTCAACTGCATATTCTTGGTTGTATTGTGTTCTCTGAGTTAAGTTGTTTAGTCGGCAAACAATCGTATCGCTAACCAGGCAGAAGAGATATCACGCTCAAACAAACATTCAAGAACAGAAATCGTTAAAAAGTCTGAAAAATAGGAAAGATGTTGCACGATTAAACAACTCAGCTCAGGGAACACTAAACAACCAAGATCATCCACCTGAACTACAAATGTTCTCCACCGTTTCAAAATCATGCTAGCGTAACACGTTTCACGGTGTTCGGAGATGAGAGGACTTCTCCAAGAGGCTAGCTTCCACAAAGGAACAACTATTCTTTCTCCATAAGTGCCTACGTCAGCATATTCTGCCGCAGTGTCACATATAGACCACCGATTGGCTGTTCGATGTGCTGGAAAATAGCTGAACAAAGTGGAAGACATGGTACAATTGGTGATTACGGATGCACATCATCGGATCAGGAAATACCAATTCGTGATTAATAATCAAAAGAGAAAACTAGAAAGCACACTAACGACACAACACATGGCAATGTTAATGACAGCAATTGAAAAATCAAGCAGATGATACAGAAAACAATGAAGAAAGCTGATCAAAATATCAGCAGTACCCACAACCATGGAAACAAACGACTGTGTTTCCAACTTATCAAAACAATCACTAGCAAAAATGGAAGAGCTTCTTCTTTAGAAAGGACTGAATTAAAACACAAGAGATACCTCCAAACCAGAAGTTTTTGCTGCATTAGAATCGTTACTTAAAACATCTGGATTAAATGAGGACACTCAACAAGAAATACGGCAAACAATCGTACCACTGACCAGGTAGAAGAGATGTCAGGCTCAAACGAACATTCAAGAACAGTAAACACTAAAAAGACTGAAAATAGGAAAGATATCGTTATACTTCCAGCAGACAAAGGGCACACTACGATAGTCATGGACAAAGAAGACTACATCAAGAAGGCAGAGGATTTACTGAAAGACGAAAATGTATGTCAATCATTTGAAACCAACCCTATCCAAAAATTCGACAACTAGATCAATGAGACCATAAACAAACTCTTCAAATTACAAGAAATAACAAAGCAAAACAAATGGTGTATGAAATCCAATGGACCTGTTCGTCGTCAGTTTTACGTCAGACCAAAACTACACAAACTAGACATCCTTCTATGATCAATAGTTTCACTTCTGGGAACTCGAACATACAGCATATCAAGAGAACTTTTGAGAAAACTGAAAAACCTTGTTCAGTCATGTGGACACTCCGTCAAATCACCAACAGAATTCTTAGGAAAGATCAAAAGCATTCATATAGAAGACGACAAATTAAAAACACAATTAAACAACTCAGGTCAGAGAACACAATATAACCAAGAATGTCCACCTGAGCTACAAATATTCTGCAGTATTTCTCAACTGTATATTGTTTGTGCATAAAATGTTTATACCAAATTGCGAACAGAATATTTCCTTCTTCATGTCTGGTTTTAACGAAAAAGCAGGAAATTGTATTTGCCATTTATAAATTAATATAAAAGTGGTCGATTGTAATTCCACTTTAGTTTGTTTATTAGAAATAACACACAGTGAAGAAACAGTAGCATTTACTCGATAACGTTTCGGACACAATTTATTGTCCATATTCATATCACCAGGTAACTCCACACATCTTCGAGACAGTCTTTAGATATTCCTAATCTTCTCTCATTCTCTGTGATGACAAGGGTAGTAGAATTCTCCATATATCTGGGACAGGTGCAGAATCATTCCTGTTACTGCATGTGTTCATTGGTGACCAGCTTCGAGAAGTATTCCCGAAGTTCCAATGAGAAGTCGTGACCGGTGGAGTCAAAGCCTGATGGCTGTGAGGACAGATACTCAACGATGACATTGCGTGGCGGTTTGCGCTATATCGTGAGCTAAGAGAGGTTGGAAATATGGGGCATTGGATTCTGACCCAGTGGCTAGCTCAATGGTAACGCGCTGGCCGCGGAACCTGATGGTCGCTCACGATATAGCGCAAACCGCCACGCAATGTCATCGTTGAGTATCTGTCCTCACAGCCATCAGGCTTTGACTCCACCGGTCACGACTTCTCATTGGAACTTCGGGAATACTTCTCGAAGCTGGTCACCAATGAACACATGCAGTAACAGGAATGATTCTGCACCTGTCCCAGATATATGGAGAATTCTACTACCCTTGTCATCACAGAGAATGAGAGAAGATTAGGAATATCTAAAGACTGTCTCGAAGATGTGTGGAGTTACCTGGTGATATGAATATGGACAATAAATTGTGTCCGAAACGTTATCGAGTAAATGCTACTGTTTCTTCACTGTGTGTTATTTCTAATAAACAAACTAAAATGGCAGTAGGCCGTAATGAGCTAAACTTATTGTATGAGGAGGCTAATGATTACTACCTGGGACTGTCCCCTACACCTCCTATAGAAGGCTAGTGTCGGAACCCCATCATACTGATTTAAGATTTAGATCACTTATAAAAAGGACTTATCACTGGGTGTTGATATGAAGAGATTTAAAATTCTTCGAAATAGTTGTTAGCTGACGCAGCACCAACAGACTACTTTTTTGGTAAAACTTATGTTTCACTGATACTGTGTAGTAATTGAAGGTGAAATGAAAATTGAAGCCTCAACAGGACTTGAATCAGTCACCATCGGGTTTCCAGCCCAATGTTTCATTAACTGAACTACTACTATAAATAAAATAAATTGAAAGAGAGAAGTATTTCTTCATCCATTGAATTTTTTTGGCTAAATATTTGGATGGAAATTTCAATTTGTTTTTATTTATTCACCCCTTATTGTATTTCTTTCTCTCTATAGTTGACGGCTCAAGAGGCAGCAGCAGATGAAGCAATCGAAAGACTTTGCCTACGCTGTCGTCATTTAGAATTAGAGCTAAAGGAATCACATCAAAAAAATTCTCAAACAACGATCCCCCAACACAATACACTAAACTTCCAAAATGATGTGAATTCTGATAAGTTAGTTTTTTTCTTTTGGAAAATAAAAAAATATTCTTTATATTTTAGTATAATTGCTTGTATTATACCGCCATTGGTTGGACCGAATTGATCAGTCTCTATTGGCCTATGGGTTCCTGTACGGATGCCTCGATATTACCTGTATTCCGTATGCGGCTGACGAGTCCCAAATAAGACGAAATGGGCATCATAAAATCCACTGCTAGCTACTATTTACCGTTACTACCATAATTAGAATACAGGCAATATCGAGGCATCCGCACAGGAGCCTATAAACCAATAGAAACCGGTCAGATCGGTCCAATCAATGACGGTATGATATAAAAACAATTATACTACAATTATACCCGTCGTACAAAGGGTGGCTTGGTGGTGTAGTGGACAACGCTCTGGTGTTTGAAGCAGTGGGTCCTGAGTTGGAATCCCGGTGGTAACAACATCACTCACTGGGAGGCAGGTACATTCAGCTGACGAATCCCAAATAGGAACATAATGCGCATCCTGAATTCCACTGCTAGCCAGTATCAACCATTACTATAATCTTCATATAGATCTATGAAATAAGAGAGAATATTCTGACATTTCCCTCTCTTCTCTGTGTTTATAAATTTCAGCTACTCTCTTGGGGAAAGTGATATATTTGATCCCAGGTACCAAACAGTAAGTATATGTGTACAGTTATATATATATATATATTTTTTTTTTCTTGAGATCAATGGAGATTTGAATTTTAAGGCATCACGAGCCGATATCAGAGAACCATTGAAAACCTGGAAGCACTGAACAGCCGTTTAGTCGTAGTATTAGACTCCTTAGTGCGCTACACACCACGACCGGGTCAGGGAATCGAATGCAGGACCTTCAGGTCTCATGGTGAACAAGTTAATCATTCAGCCACTGAGTTGAAGTCCAATGATCCACAGTTTCCTGCTTCTGTGAATTCGGGTCGTTTGTACTTACTGCTTAGGAATACCATTCTATGATGATACGGCTGTCCAATGCTTCTAGGTAGAGCCCGAAAAAGATTTTAAACTAGGCAGTTAGTTTTTTAGTCCTAATAAACCTGAAATACAATTGAACTTTTTATCCTATCTACTTCTGATTATTCGATGCCTGTGAACGTTTAATGCTTTATTAAGTGTAAAATCAAATAAATCACAGTTACTTTGAAATCAATCGACCTTTATTCTATTGTTGGATAGATGCTTGATCAGGAATTGTATCGGCTATCTGAGATAGTCAAATAATAATCCATATGATGCCTCCCCTCACCTCTCTTATTCACTTAGGTTTCGATTGCGATGAGAAGTCCTGATTAGGCAGCCAGTGTGAATACGACCAAGCGGTAATAACGCATTACGAATTCATATGGTAGTCGGGCGAAACCTCGCTTATGATTGAAGTGAAATAAAAACCTGATCAGTAGTTGGACCTCATAGCTCATTTGTTGGAGCATCGAACCGGAAACCCTGTGATCGCTGGTTGGAATCCAGCCGTGGTCCAAATTTTCATCTCACCTTTAGCGTAAATACTTCATTACAGCAATTAAGATGAAGTGGATAGAAATAGGGTAACATTGAAGTAAGTATACAGAAGCACATTGAAGGATTAGGTTCAAATAGATGATGGTGATTAAAATGTGTCAGTGGAGAAACATTTAACCATTGATCCTTAGCATCGCTATGAACCCAACCAAGCAACCCAAACCTTTTTAAATGCCTCATCTCGTTAATCAAAGACCTCTTGGTTTTGTCACTTTTTAGCTTTTTTCCAGTCTAATCTTATTTTTGACTGATGTGAACCTTGACGTTGGTGATGATTCGATCCGTATAACATATCAACCTTCCGTCTTAATCGGTACAGGTCCACAACCTCATTAGCTAACACGAAATACTACGCTTAACATCAGCATCATTCGTTTGTGGTTCCATCTCCTACAAACAATTTCATCAAGACACTAGAGGTCACAAATCTCTAATCCCTTTATATCTTTCCCCTCCAATAGTTACATATCAACCCTTAAGGGAGATATACCAAACCTCAGTGTTGTGCATTCACTTTTCAATTGATCCATCATCCATCCAGATCAACCTAAGACCAGGCGTTACTGCGTAATGGTCCCAGTTACCACACCTCATATCAGTACATCAAGTGAAAAGGCAGTGAGGCGCAAGATGAAGATAAGAAAACTCTGTCAAAAGAAATATAAAGTACGGAAAGAAAGAGAGAAAAGAAGAATGAGAAAGTGGTGAGATTCGATATAGCGTCGTTAAGATGAGGATAATGTGTGTGGGGATACCTCTGCACCACTGACATCGGTTATGAGCGATAGGATCACCTAGAGTCTCCAACCACTGGTTCCTCTTGTCTCGCGGACCCCCAATCGACTAGTGTGCATTGCCATTTTGCAACTCTATCAGCCCTCAGGTTTTCAATTGGTAGTCGATTGAATACCTTTATCAAATGTCAGACATACCGTTTGTATTTTTCTGTCAACCTGTGCAATTTCTTAATCTACTTCATTCTCTTTTATGGTTAGTGCATGCATAACCCTCATTTTGAAAGTATCTATTTATTATTTACTTTCGCTTTTTCGGTTAAATAGATTATATCAATAAAAATTTTCGTTAGTTACAACATGTGACACTGCTTAAATACTCTTCTATTGATAGAACTGATTTCCATTTACTTAGTAGAATTCTGTCATGTTTTTTTTCCCATATAACAATGAGTGGCGAAATTTTATAAAAGTAGCTTTTCATAATTTCCAAGACATCATTATCATCATTATCAACATAGGACCAGGCATTACTGCGTAACAGTCCGAGTTGCCACACCTCACGTCAGTTCATCAAGTAAAAAGGTAGTGAGGTGAAGGATGAAAATAAGTGAATGCAGTCAAAAGAAATATAAAGTACAAGAAGAAAGGAAAGAGGAGTGACAAAATGGTGAGATTCGGTATAGCGTTGTTAAGATGAGGATAATGTGTGTATACATCTGCGCCACTGACATCGGTTCTCAGCCATATCACCTACAGTCAGTCTCCAACCACTGGTTCCTTTTGTCCTGCGGACCCCAACCACCTAGTCTGCATCTTCCTACATGGCTTAAACCAACATTCAGAGACTTCATACATTGGTGCCAAGACACATCATCTATGATTGTTTTAAATACAATTCATAAACAGACTTGCGTCTTATTGGTTAAGGTATACCTTTAGCCAAAGATTTTGTTAACATCCACTATGATAACCTTGTTTTGAAGAGATATATGCTTTGTACAATCCTCTTTATTACTTTGATCACAGCATCACTTTCACTTTTGATAACAGCCTGGCATACATTTAGCTTAACTACTTATCATCAGAGTAATGGCTATTGATTATTTTTTGTATGTATATACTTTCGCTTCATTGAATAGGTTGTTACTAAATACGGATATAGTATAACTAACTCTAAACTACCTTTGAGAAATGCATTCCATTGGAAAAAAACTTTGAAAATCCTCCTAGTTGATTAGGTTGAATTGAGTGAATCTCGGTTTCTGGGATAAGGATAGGGATAAGTTGTCCATTGAAAGGTGTTCTTATATTTTTTGTTGATAATGAAGATACTACTGAATAGATAGACTCTTTTATAGGAGACTGGATCATGCAGCAAACAGTGGGCAGCGAGAAGAGGGGGATACGCTGGCTGGACTGCGGAAAGGAAACTAGAAGACTTGGATTTCGCCAGTGATGACCTGTGCCTGATGTCACACAAACTTGAAGATCTACAGGCAAAAACTAACAAGTTGACAGAAGAGGCAGGGCAGTGCAGTGCAGCGAAGATGGGACTTCAAGTGAATATAGAGAAGACAGAAGTGTTGAAGATACCGCACCACCAACAACTCCAACAACAACAAACTCCAGTCACCATCAACGGGAAAAACTTAAAGGAAGTAACCTCCTTCACCTATCTAGGCATGCAGCACTGTTTCAACTACAGGCGACACAGGCACAGACGAGGATGTCAAAGTCAGAATCGGAAAAGCAAGACAGGCCTTCATTAGCCTGAAACCAGTGTGGAGATCTTCTGCACTCAGCATAAAGCGTGGACAAAATCCGGATTTTCAACACCAACGTCAAGTCAGTGCTTCTGTATGGCTCAGAGACTTGGTGCGTCACAAAAAGCATTTCCAATAAACTACAGACATTCATCAACAACTGCCACCTACGCTGGTTCGCTACTGAAGTTCAGATGGATTGTCAGAAAGAATAAGCAACAAGGAGCTCTGGGAACGAACCAACCAAGAACCTATCACCCAACAAATATGCACTGGAAGGAAGTGGAGATGGATTGGGCATACACTGAGAAGGCCGACTGGGGACATCATGCGTCAGGCCAGGTCGTCGAGTGGAACCCCGGTGGGAAGCGACGAGTTGGACGTCCGAGGAGAGGGTGACATGGAGGAGATCGTGTGAGGAGGAAATGAGAGGTTGTGGGCTGTGGTGGAACCAGGTTCAAAAGATCTCAGAGAACAGAGGTCACTGGAGACGTGCTACTGAAGCCCTATGTTCCACTAGGAACCCAAGGGACTAATAATAATAATAATAAAATAGGAGACTTTCTATTCAAACTCAATTGTATAAGGATTTGTTGTAGATAAAGCAAATCTCAAACGCTTATCGATGATTATTTTATTTTTTTTAATTTTTATTATTTCATTCAAAATTTTAAGCATTTTCTAACAAAACCATTTTTTAGTATCCTGATGTTATTACCGATTGTGCATATTTCTACATATCAGTCAGTTTTTCTCTTTTGGTGTATACACTATACACATAAAATGTTTTATTGTTCTTCTTCTTTCATTGAATTTCCCTAGTCATCTTTTAATATGTCGTATAAGGAGGATGATGGAATTGTACTGTCCACAAATTCTGGTAAGATCCAATATTTTCATTCCTTTTTAATTCTTTGATTGTATTTATTTTTATTTATCCCACTAAACAACACATATGTTATTTCAATGATATTTTTGTGTCAATATTGTTAGCCAGTTTTTGATATATTGTCTGAATATATTTATGAGTAATGTTCAATTTTTTCAATGGTTATACAGCATTAATAAATTACAGCAGGTGGTGTATTCGTTTAAAGTGATTTTGGTTTGAACACTTACTACTAAACCGTATTTACTAGTAGTCAGTTTGACGCTATGTCCTTTATATATATATATATATATATATATATATATATATATATATATATATATATATATATATATGTGTGTGTGTGTGTGTGTGTGTGTGTGTGTGTTAACAACAACAATAACCAATGAATTGTGATCGCATATTGGTGTACTTATTTGTTCATTACCCTTAGTAAACAAGCACCTATTCTGTAGTCTAGATGTGTATGTAAATGAATCATGAAACTGATGACCATTCTATTTGATAAAAAACTTACAACCATTTGGTTCGAACTCCATCCACCTGAGGGATACTTTCATTATTGAAATAATTTTACATTATACTTTACTCCCGCTATTATATTTTCACCTATTCTCATTGATTTATAACTCCACAGCCTGAAGAAGAAGAAGAAGTTATTGAAAACAACTATTCACTCAAATTCGATTTGTTCTGAATAATATATAGAGGGATCTTTACTACAGATTTGTGTTCTTTTAGCTCTTTAACCTTGTATCAACTTGTATTCCATCTGCTCTCGCCAGATTTCTAGCACTTCTATGCCAGATCGTCTCATTTCTTTTGCAATCTGAGCAGCCTTACCAACCAGCCAGCTTCAAACATTGTGCGGACATTCCATGTCCCTATGCTTACTTTTGCTTTCATCGAGAGGCACATCGGCCAAATGGCTTCCCGAAGGCTTTCAACAACTGGTATCATTTCGTCTCCCTGATTCCAGCATAGAATAAGTTTTTTTTTTAATATTTTGTCTGTGCTTTGAAGTTTCTATAACGATTGGATTGATTTTCCCGGGGTAGGGTTGCTAGCCCCAGGCCCAACCGTCCCTCTTTTTCTGGGCTTAGAATCGGCTAGTAAACTAGGCGAGGTTGCTATTAACTTCACCTTTATGACATTTAGTTTTTCTGTTCTTTTTTTCTTCAATACACTGTGCTCCGCTGTCTGTTGAAGGCATCCTTCTAGCGCTGTTTCACTCACGGGTATATGACCTTCTGCCTCTAATTTCTTGCTGTTCATTCCTTTGCTCAGAAACCTCTCTCTTCTGACTCTGTTACATAACATCACTGTGTGTAAATATTCACAACAAATATATTTATAAGTAGTCTCTATTTCAGACAGCTTTTTTTATCTATATCAATTCTAGTCAAGATTTGACCGGATAGTTTCAGAAATGTTGACCGCCGAGTGAAAAGTTAACATAAAATCTCAAACACGCTGAGATTTATTCAAATGTAACTTGTTTTAGGCCCATTCTATTAGAGGAGTTTGTAAGAAAGGGCTTAAATCTTGCTACGTGAATTTCTGTTCGCCACCAGTCAATGGTAATTACAATTCAATGCAGTGACCAAGGGTTACTAGCTAAATATTAACTCATTGAAATAATATACCTTATTCTACTGTCTACTATCACCAATGATATTCGTGGTTGTGGTGGACTGGATCATGCAACAAACCGTGAGGAGCAAGAAGATGGTAATACGCTGGATTAATGAAAAGACCCTACACGATTTGGATTTCGCCGACGGTGATTTATGTCTAATTTCTTGTAACACAAACTCGAGGATCTACACGTAAAATCCAACAAGTTGGCAGAAGAGGCGAGGCAGCGAAGACGGGACTTCATGTGAATGTGGAGAAGACAGAGGTGATGATGATACCCAACCAACGCCACCAACAACACCAACAAGCTCCAATCACCATGAACAGGAGAAACTTAAAGGAAGTAGCCTCTTTCACCTACCTAGGTAGCATCGTTTCAACTACAAGCAGTACAGACGAGGACTTCAAACCCAGCCAGAATCGGAAAAGCAAGACAGGCGTTCATTAACCTGAAACCAGTGTGGAGATCTTCTACACTGCATCGTACTGCACTCAGCATAAAGCATGAACAACATCCGGATTTTCAACACCAACGTCAAGTCAGTGCTTCTATATGGTTCAGAGACTTGGTGGGTTACGAAAGGCATTTCCAACAAACTACAGACATTGATGAACAACTGCCGCCTACGCTGGCTCGTTACTGAAGCACAGATGGCCAGAAAGGAGAAGCCACAAGGAACTCTGGGAACGAACCAACGAAGCAAGAATCTATCGCTCAACACATATACAGAAGGAAGTGGAGATAGATTGGGCATGCACTGAGATCGTTCGGAGACATCACGCACCAGGCCAGGTCGCCGAGTGGAACCCAGATGGGAAGCGACGAGTTGGGCGTTGGAACTTAGGGTGACATGGAGGAGATGGTGTAAGTAAGAAATGAGAGCTTGTGGGCTGTCGTGGAGCCAGGTTGAAAAGATTGCTGAGAAGAGAGTGGAATGAAGATGTGCTACTGAAGCCCTATGTTCCATTAGGAACTCAAGGGAAAAATTATATCAGATGGTGAATTGTAAGTTAAATTTTCTATTTATTTCAAATGTCGTTGAGCCTATTTTTGTATATATATTTACGGTTTATAATTATTGATGAGGTGAAGTCTGATGTTAATTTTCTGCCATTGTTTTTTCTCTTCTTTTTCCACCTTTTTTTTTTATCAACAAATATTTAGCTAATTCACATGACGTATTATAATGCTTAACCAAATTGCATGTTTGCTTCCATGTGGTGTATGCGAGAGAAGGAAAGGGGATAGCTCAAGCGCTTGCATATACTGACCATGTTTACTTATTTTTACCTTTTTTTTTTACCTATTTGATGATTATAGTGTTTTAAAACAGTTAAACAAAACGTCATATAGTAATAGTAATAATAATAATAAAAGATAAATCATGTTCTTAGGATTGTTGTGTACATACAGTTATCCTCCGGTCATATTCATGACATGTACACATGCCTCCAATGGATGATTAAACTGTTGATCATTGCATGTTAATCAACTACAGTCTTCCTTTGAAATGATCACATATCTTATGAGTGCAGAAAAGTTATCATCTGCTTTGTAAAAAGTAACAATCTTAATAGGTCGTCCATACATATACACTGTCCTCTAAAGGTGCTACATTGAAAAACATGTTTAGGTTATTATGCTTATATACACCATTGGAATGTTGCATGATACAAATTGTTTGTGTAAAATCTCAATCTTGAAAATGGAAATACATGTTTACCTATAAGTTTTCATAAACATTTCTTACCCTTCTGTGTTATTCTTTCTCCTGCTTCTTCTTCTTCTGATGATGATGATTTCCCTTTCTTCTCCTGTTACATTTTATTCAGCATATATAATGTATGTAGTAGTTCGTTTCTCCTTGAGTCTTTACTCTCTCTCTCCCTCTCCCTCTCTTTGCTTTTCATCACTTACACATTTTGTAGTTATCAATAATTACTTCGATTGTTATCATTATTGTGTTATTATTGATTGATGTGCCTTTCTATAAACGAAATAAATAAACATTTGTTCCAATCATAAAGTTACTATTATTTTTTATATCCCTGTTAGTATCTTTGGCTGATAGAGAAAGTATTTTAGAGTACTTATAGTTCTATGTAGACTGTTACTTCGTGTGATATATATCTTTCACATTCTTGAAGTGAATCCCTATGATATCTACGTCTAGACAGAATTGATTCAATGTTTTACAGGTGATCTGCTAAGTGAGCTAATTCAAATACTGTTGTTACCTAGGTGTCTTTTCGATTGTAATCCTTAGTCCACTTACAAGGGTTATTTGAGACAGCGCTGTGATATGTTATTTCACGATTGAGCTTGATTTTGTTGTTTTGTTCTAAGCGTTCATTTGATGGTGATATTTCATCATAATCTGATATGAAGAGGCTAACTTGTTTGATTTGTTAATTTTTCCCTTCAGCTTAAATACAAATCACAATAAGTCAGTCCATCATTAATGAGTATCTGCTTAATTAAATATGACGTTGCGTTAATAAGCACATTCGCTGTGTACCAGTACTGTCTGTCCAATCATAATTCGTGTTACATATAATAGTTATTACTATGATAACTGTTACTATATAAGTGTAGTAACACTTTAGCATATTATTAAGGTTAACGAAAACCGAACCATTAAAATTGAATATTTTACTGACCTCATACTTAACACTTTAAACAACCAAATCACTTAAATACTTAGGTATCTCTTCCAATCCTTTTGATTCTAGCATATTAATAATTTGCAGGCCAAAAAGAAAGCATACTGAAGGGTTTTAGGGAAGTCGATAATTCAGATTACAACATTATCAATAATCCGTCTGATAACTTTTTTTTACCGAATAATAGACTATTTTGAATATCTGCACATTCAATATAAAGCTGAAGTAATGTGAAAGTTTGTGAATTCAGGTTAACATCATCTTGAAAAACTTCAAAATGAGGTTCAAGTATGATATAGCACAAGCGGTCGAGGAGTTTCTTTGTGAAGGCTTATAGATTCAAAAATCCTAAGGGAATTCACACTACTGTCGCAGAAAACATGACACTTTGAGGATTTCTGTCTCAGTAGGCAGATACATCTTCAAATGTGCATGAGTTATAATGTTGTAAGGACTACTTTATCTTCAAAGTAAGATAATACTAGCAATCTGCCATGGTATTAGTAGTATTAAAAAAAAAACTTTCAGACAGGTGTGAGTAATTTTTTAACAACTTCATAATAGCTGTACTCTTCAAGAGGGAAATCTAATTTTTTATGCTATACTAATGAAACTTTTGAATAGGGTTTAGTGTATTTTTGTACAAATTATCAGTATGATATTTTGCTATACAATCAGTGTACTTATCGTGATATGCGCTAACATTACATATGAATGTTAGCCTATAGCTTATGAGTGTATGATAAATTTTTGTATATTGTATATTCCATTTTACCGCCGGTATGCTTTATTTACATTCATAATTCAATGTAATTCAACAATAAATCATATTCTCAAGAATTGATTATTCTTTGAAACCATCTATCCTTAAAGTTACATCTTAATGGATTATATGGCTAGTTATATCACTTTTTTTATTATTTTGATAATGTGTATGAAAAATCCTTTGTTTCTTACTTACATTTTGTTTAAATGAATATAAATAATGTATTAGACAGACATATTGTTGATTACTATTTTGATATATGTTGATATATATATATATATATATATATATATATATATATATATATATATATATATATATGCTTACTGCTTGATATGATTGTATATTTATCTTTGCATTGATAAATTAGTTAGATAGGTGCCATTTTAACTATTTTTCCATTAAAACTTTATTAATGTTTATTTGCATGTATGGAATTCATACTGTTGCATAGTATTATGATTATTTGTATTGCTTGCTTTTTCTTTTTTATTAAAAAAAAATGATTATTTGATAACAATTTTTTTTAAGAAAAATATTTATTTACTACTTAAGTGTTCAATTAAACTATTCTTCTTTTTCTTATGTCACCTAAATTTTTAGATACTGAGTTGGGGAAATTTCCTAGGCTATCTGATATAAATGAACCTATCATTTCAACTCAAAGTCATGTGAACGGCAATATATCACTTCATGGGCGGCATCTAAACTATGATGAGGATAAAGTGGAAGATAATAATAATGATAATAATGGTGTCAATTCTCTACATACTCAACATGATCATTATTCAACTACGGTAGAGTTACCATTTTTTTTAAGACAAGCTCAAGATCGAACTAGACTTGTCAATTCCGGTGGTTTAGCTGGTCGACGTCCTCCTACAAGAATTGTTGTAAGTTTTCTTTGTATTTGTTTTTTTTTTCGTTGATATTTATTAATTGAACGTAGGGCTTCAGTAGCACGTTCCTATTCCACTCTGTTCTCTGAAATCCTTTGAATCTGGCTCCACGAGTATCCAGTAGCTCTCATTTCTCCCTTACATGATCTCCTCCATATCACCCTCGGATACCCAACTCGTCGTTTCTCATCTGGGTTCCACTCGAGCAACTGACCTGACGCGTGATGTCCCCGAATATTAATTGAATTATCAACGTTCATTATTTTTCTTTTAACATATGTTTTTTTCAGTATCTTAGTGATTGATTTATCGTACTTTAACATGTTGATGAACAGTAAAATATTTGTTCTGTTCATGTATATGTCTTTAGACTTCTGTATTCTTACGCGTAAGTGGCACCATCTATACATTAATATGCTTCATTTTGCTCGCTTACACTTCAGTTTAAATTAGCACTTGGTTGCTGAAATATTTTTAACTTCCATTTCTTGGTGACTTCACTGCAATTGACTCTCAATTTTATCTCATTGGGTGTTCATTATTATTATTATTATTAGTCACTTGGGTTCCTAGTGGAACATAGGGCTTCAGTAGCACGTCTCCAGTGACCTCTGTTCTCTGAGATCTTTTGAACCTGGTTCCACCACAGCCCACAAGCTCTCATTTCCTCCTCACACGACCTCCTCCATGTCACCCTCACCTAGGACGCCCAACTCGTCGCTTCCCACCGGGGTTCCACTCGACGACCTGGCCTGACGCGTGATGTCCCCAGTCGGCCTTCTCAGTTTATGCCCGATTCATCTCCACTTCCTCCTGCGTATTTGTTGAGCGATAGGTTCTTGGTTGGTTCGTTTCCAGCCAGCCAGAGTTCCTTGTTGCTTATTCTTTCTGGCCATCTGATGTGATCTTCAGTAGCGAGCCAGCGTAGGTGGCAGTTGTTGATGAATGTCTGTAGTTTATTGGAAATCCCTTTCGTAATGCGCCAAGTCTCTGAGCCATACAGAAGCACTGACTTGACGTTGGTGTTGAAAATCCGGATTTTGTAAACGCTTTATGCTGAGTGCAGAAGATCTCCACACTGGTTTCAGGCTAATGAAGGCCTGTCTTGCTTTTCCGATTCTGACTTTGACATCCTCGTCTGTGCCTGTGTCGCCTGTAGTTGAAACGATGCTGCATGCCTAGATAGGTGAAGGAGGTTACTTCCTTTAAGTTTTTCCCGTTGATGGTGACTGGAGTTTGTTGTTGTTGGAGTTGTTGGTGGTGCGGTATCTTCAACACTTCTGTCTTCTCTATATTCACTTGAAGTCCCATCTTCGCTGCACTGCCCTGCCCTGCCCTCTTCTGTCAACTTGTTAGTTTTTGCCTGTAGATCTTCAAGTTTGTGTGACATCAGGCACAAGTCATCACTGGCGAAATCCAAGTCTTCTAGTTTCTTTTCCGCGGTCCAGCCAGCGTATCCCCCTCTTCTTGCTGCCCACTGTTTGCTGCATGATCCAGTCGACCACAATCAGGAATATCATGGGGGATAGTAGGCAACCTTGTTTCACTCCTGTCTTCACTTCACTTCAGAGGCATCACTGAGCTTCCCATTGTGAATTACTTGGCATGTAGCATCTTCATATAGTTGTTGCGGTACTCCATAGTAATGAAGCAGTTTCCAAATTGCTTCTCGGTCGACACTGTCAAAGGCCTTCTCAAAGTCGATAAAGTTGAGGTGGAGAGCTGATTACCATTCTATGCTCTGTTCTATGATGATGCGAAGCGTTGCAATTTGGTCTGCACATGATTTGTACTTCCTGAAGCCTGCGTGTTCCGGTCGTTGTTTTGAATCCAGTGCATCCTTAAGCCTGTCCAGGATGATGCGGCTTAATATTTTGCTTGCATTGGGTGGACAGGAGAGTGATTCCACGCCAGTTCTTGCAAGCACTGAGGTCTCCCTTCTTCGGCAGTTTGACAAGGTAACCCTTCTTCCAATCGACAAGCAGGTACCTTCTCTTCCTTCCACACCTTCTGCAATAGTGGTGTGGTGTGAGCATGTCTGCTGTTGTCTCTGCGTCTGTTCTCAGTGCTTCTGGTGGGATCCCGTCTGGTCCTGCTGCTTTCCAGGGTGTTCATAGCAAACTTTATTAAGAGTATACTTATCTATATACTTATAGAAGTGTTGAAGGGGAATTAGTTTCCAGGAAATTAAAGTGCTTTTATCGTGTAATTTATCTACAACAATGATTCCCTACCTGTTTTATTATTTTCAGATTATATTGTATTAATAAAAACCAGCATACTATACCTATGATTATTATCGGTAATGGCTTTAAAAAACTGAATTTTTTTAAATGTGTTTGCGCTGTTCCATTTGCTCACATTTGATCTATTCACAAACTTTCTTTACCAACACACTGGCATGCTCTTTCTTTTGATTATCTGAATACTAAACACTTTATATTTTTTCATATAATAATTGGTAGGATACTGAATGTGTTAGAGAAATGGTTATATCAACGCTCTGTTACACTCATTTTTACTTTGATCCGCTTACTCAATCATTGTTATCACTTGATTGTATCGTTATTCATAGTCTAAAGTCAGTCGTCTTCAGTTTGTCTTTTCAGGACTAGTACTGTTGATAAAAATCCATAGAAATTTATAAATTATCGTTTGTGACCATATTTTTATGCTGATTGATTGTACTCTAATTAAATTTGTTGGTGAGGAACGCAGTTTGTTCAAAAACAAATATCTTCCAATATGTTCTATGTAATCTGCTTGGGACTCATTAACTGGATTTACCTGCACCCTAGTGATATTGTATCGAGGCGTCCGCATAATATCTCATTTGCCAACAGAGGTCGAGCAGTTCGATTCTGTATAGCAGTAGGTAACTACACTTGCTACTCGTTGCACAAGAGACTGGTGGCCCACTGGCCTAATGGATAACGCTTTAGCGTTTTAAGCGATTGATACTGAGTTCGAGTATCAGTGGAAACATCACTCACTGTGGTACAGATATATCCATCTAACGATTCCCAACAGGTACGGAATGCGCATCCGAGGTTCCATTACTAGTCCCCAAGTAGATTACAATAAAGTGAGTAATCGAGCAGTATCGAGACATTCGCCAATTAGTCCATCCGCCAACAGAAGTCGGTCAACTCGATTCACCGTAACAGCGAAAGACTACAAGTATCAAATAATGTTCAAGTATACTTTCTGATCAGTAGTTTGGCAGCTGCTTCAACACTGCCGTTTTAGTGCCACAAACCTTTATCAACAGCTATATGCTACTACATGCCAAGTGATCCAAAATGGAAAGCTCAATAATGCCTTTGAAATGAAGACAGGAGTAAGACATGGTTGCCACCTACTATCACCGATCGTCTTCCTCATTGTGGTCAAATAGACTCAACTGGATCATGCAACAAACTGTGAGCAGCTGCGAGAAGATGGGCATACGCTGGCTGAACAGATGAAGAAAAACCCTAGAAGATTTGGATTTCGCCGATGATGATGATTTATGTCTAATGTCGCACGAACTCGACGATCTACAAGTAAAAACCAACAAGTTGGCAGAATAAGCATGACAACAAAGACAGGACTTCCTTTTGGTGAACGTAAAGAAGACAGGTGATAAAGATACCCAACCAACAACAGCGTCAAGCACCAATTACCATCAATATGAGAAATCTAAAGGAAGTTGTCTCTTTCACCTACCTGCCTAGGTGGCATGGTTTCAGCTACAGTCGGTTACAGCGACACAGATGAGGATGTCAAAGTCAGGATCGGAAAGACAACAAGATAGGCCTTCATTAACCTGAAATCAGTGTGAAGATCTATTGCACTGCACTACACTTAGCATAAAGCGTGAACAGGATCCGGATTTTCAACAGTCAAGTAAGTAAGTGCTTCTATGTGATGGTTAAGAGACTTGACGTGTCACGAAAAGCATTTCCAACAAACTACAGACATTCGTCAACAGCTGCCACCTACGCTCACTCGATACTGTAGATCAGATCAGGAGGCCAGGAAGAATAAGCGATGGATTGGGCATACACTGAGAAGACGGTTTGAGAACATCACGCGTCAGACCATGCCCTCGAGTGGTATCTAAATGGAAAACGATGAGTTTGGCGTCCGAGTGTGACATGGAGAAAATGGTGTGAGAAACAAATGAAAGCTTATGGGCAGTCTTGGAGCCAGGTTGAAAAGACTGGAGAGAAGAGAGTGAAATGGCGACGTGCTACTGAACGCTTATGTTCCAAACGACAAATAATAATAAAAATACTATACTTGACAAGTTTAATCCTTTCAACTTTGAAAATATCTATAAACATGCAGTGCGTCAATTCATTGCTTCTTTATGAAAAAGTAACGAGATTTGCCATAATTTTCGGTCTTATTTAATGGTTAGCAAAAGGATCCATGGCGCGCGTTTCGTTCTATTTGGCACTCGTCAGTTGGATGTACCTGCTTCCCGGTGAGTGGTGTTCTCACCGGGATTTCAACTTGGGAGGGATCGTTTCAAACGCAAGAGTGTTATCCACTACACCGCCGAGCCATGGTAACTACTTGTGCGATGGGTTTACTTTTATATATGTATTATCAAGGCATCCGCACAGAAGCGCATATGCCATTAGAGACCGATCAATTCGGTCCAATCAACGACAGTATAATATAAGCAATTATACTGAAACTATACCCGTCGTACAAGAAGTAGCTATCGTGGCTCGGTGGTGTAATGAATAACGCTCTGACGTTTGAAGCGATCACTCCTCAGTTCTAATCGCGGTGAGGACAACACCATTCACTAGGAGGCAGGTACATTCACCTACTTAGTCCTAAATAGGACGAAACGGGCATCCTGGATTCCACTGCTAGCCACTATCCGTCTTTACTATAGTGTCAGTCAGTATTTTTCCTCCTTACCCGCTAATATTACCAGCATTTTCTCAAGTAAATAGCATCACTTGATGAGCTGGTAGAGTTTGTTAAACTCTCTTTTGTAAAAAGAGCCAAATTACTTAGACTTTGTAATAAGTCAGCGGGAAGCTCGGAGCGTGTTTTTCGGCACTCATCAATATGGCATATCCTCAACCATGATGAAACTGATGCTTCTTCGGTGATTGGATGAAGTCGGAGACTCCATCATTCATTTATTCAGGCTACAGACTTCTACTGATAATGATGTTGAAGTTTGATGGTTAACAGATATTTCTCGAGGTCTATGTATTATCATATCTGTAGTGTGTAACGACAATTTTCGATGTTTTCAATACCATTAGCTTATTGAATGTTTGAGTTTTAAGGAGAATAGTCAGTTTTTAAGTATTTTCAGGTATGTCTTGTTGTGCATGAGTGATATTGACAAGTGTGAAATCTGGATGATGACTTGTCTGTCAATAACATTCTACATCTTAACATTAAATTGCTTGAGTGTACTAACCTGAAATGTATCGCATTGATTCATTTATTTAGACGTACATTTTTTGTTAACTGGACATCAAGAAATGTGCTATGTATCCTCTGTTCTCATATGATAACATAATTTCCGAAAGAAGTACTTTTTATTTCACTATGAAATACATTTTTATTATATTTTAAGGAGCTGAATGTTACCCTAAATTTATTTCATCTTTGTGCTGGGTGGTGATTGAAGGTGAGATGAAAATCTGGACCGCGGTCGGATTCGAACCGGCGATCACCGGGTTCATCTTATGAACTGCAGTCTTAAAATGGTTTCATATGTTCACTCCTAATAGATAATTTCACATACTGCTTTCGCTTCATAAATTTAAAATCAGCAAGAGCAACGGCTTTGACAAAATAGCCTAGATTGATTTTATTTCGCGGTGTCTCATCAGCTGCTTACAACTTAAAACGATTTTAACATCAATTTATAGAAACGTTGGCATATTTGAATCAGTTTGTTGGGAAATTGCTGACTTGAATTAAAGGTAACATCGCTTTGAAGTAAGTGGAAATACACGAATTAAGTGAATAATCATTTAGGACTATAAGTAAGTTTGCCAGCATATAGAAGGATTTGATGAGTATTCTAGAGTGGAAGTTGGATGAGATGAGAAACAAATGTATTCGATATATATTGAGAAAGTTGTTATTCATTGTAGACTGACATCACTTAAAAGAACAAAAAACCTGGGAGCACTGGACAGCTGTTTCTTCCTAGTATAGGACTCTTCAGCAGTACGCACCCACGACCCCACCCCACCAGGGATTGAACCTGCGACCTCCAGGTCGCGTGACCAGCATGTTACCTTTGAGCTAGCCACTGGGTCAGAACCCAGTAGTGCATATTTCTAACTTCTGTTAGCTCACGATATAGAGCAACCGCCACCCAATGTCATCGTTGAGTAACTGTCCTCACGACCACCAGGCTTTTCCTCCATCGGCTACAACTTCTCATTGGAACTTCGGGAATACCTCTCGAAGCTAGTCACCAATGAGCACCAGTTCAACTGAATTTTTGCACTATATCGTGAGCTAACATAAGTTGAAAATATGGACCATTGGATTCTGACCCAGCGGCTCAATGATAACGTGCTGGCCACGGAACCTGAAGGTCGCGGGATCGTGGGGTGCGGACTGCTGAAGGGTCCCATATTAGGACGAAACGGCTGCCCAGTGCTCCCAGGTTTCCTTTGGTCCTCCAACTGATGTCAGTCTACGATGAATAACAACTTGAAATATTTCCAAATCCCCACAACTTCAAAAATATTGAGAAAGGTTGTACAAGATATATGAAAGGTCATGATTTATGTTAATTAAAAGCTAATGTGAATAGGATTTAGACAATTGGATGAGGGGTGTGAAGTGTAAAGTAACAAAAAAAACGAAACACCTAACTTGTATGAACAGATAACGACATGTAAAGAAGCATGATGATTGTCAACAAACTATGGTAGGCATAGACTGCTAAGTGTTTCTCTATCTGTGTCTCTCTTTCTCAGTTTTACTCGTTTAATAGCTAAAGAAGTGCAATAAATTCGAATTCGTTTGTTTATTAATTATTTTGAATGATTTCTGAATACCTACTTCATGTCTACTATCAATGAAATGCGAGCAATAGGGCTGTTGACTACTTTTCTACCCTTCAGTTTCAAATTCCTTGGAATATGCTCAGACAAGCGATCACTATTCCTTCTTTCTGTTCGTCCAATGTATATGTGCTTCGGCACGTGCATGCGAATTGCCAGATCCAATTAGAGGTAACATGAAGAGGGGGCTTGTCAACCTTTGATTGTCTCAGCGAAAAATTTGTTAGGTAGAATACGATTAACCTAACAACTGGATAAATCCTTTTAAAGACAGTATTGACTGTGTAAATTATTCTGCCGTAAAGACCATCCATCCATCCAAATCAACATAGGATCGGGAATTATTGATTCACGCTCCAAGATGACACACCTCACATCACTACGTCAAAGTAATAAAGCAGTGAAGGCAGTGCCACATGAAGAAAAGAAAACAGCCAAAAGAAATACAAAGTACTCAACCACAGAAAGGAAGAGTGATAAAATGGTGAGATTCGGTATAGCGTCGTTGCGATCAGGATAATGTGTGTATATATCTACGCTACTTACATCGGTTCTCAACCATATCCATATTGACTACAGTCAGTCTACAACCACTCCTTTCTTTTGTCCCATCGACCCCAATCACCACATAGTCTGCATCGCCCTCCCTACATGCCTCAAATCCACAGCCAAACACCTTATACATTGATACCATGTTTTAGACTGGCCACGCTGTGTGATGAGGTAGACAGCGACTAGAAATACATAACACATGTCCCTGCCAGCCATCTCAGTCGATGAAGGTTCCCAACCTCATCAACTAATTTCCCTCTTCTCCCTAAAACTCTACCCCTGACACATGGTGACACCACGGAAACATCACCTTTTAAATCAAGATTTAGAAAAACACGTTTCTTGTCTTCTATATCACATCTTACAGTTTTAGTTAGTACATTTTTGTGCTCACGTAGTCAATCTTTTACAATATTCATTTCATCTTACAATGTGTCTTTCGAATAAGGATGTCTTATGCAGTTGAGGAGTATTATCACCAGCTCCCTCTTTATAACTAATGGAACAAAAGCTGCTGAAGTTGAGATACATTCCACTCCAAGAATCTTTACGTTGAATAGGTCTAAGTATTTTACCATAGATAATTGGTTGAATTGCGAAATCACTGAAGCGAAACATTTTATTCATATCCCATTGTAAATTCTATATTTTGGTTTGCTTTGTTGAATAATAGACTATGCAAACGTGAGACATGTTTCAGGTTATTACAAGCAATAAATGTATCACTAACATACCTGTAGAAGGTTGTCTCATCCATTACGTACTTCATACTCGTACGTTCAAGGTTCCCCTTGAAAGAAAAGTACCCAAGTGATTGCCTATTGGAACTCCATCCATTTAACGATACATAACTTTGTTGAATTTAAATTTCCGCATATGAGTAAAAGTTGCTTGAATTCTTTTCAGCTTTCCATAGCCAAATTTTCTATAGCTATGCTACTCTCTACTGTTTTATTGATGAATTTCTATTGTTTATGTATCAGAAATCGAATAACTCAACTGTTTAATTGGTTCATACACGCAATTCAGCTGTTCGAAGCAGTTCCAAATAGTTTAGTCACCTAGTATTGTTAGTTATTTGTATTGACTGATATTAGCGTGTAAAAAGATAATTCATAAAGGGTTGTAGTACAAGTTATAGAGTAGAATAGAGTCAAAGATAATCGATGCTAATGTTATGATGCTGCATACATGTAATTACTTTGTGTAAACTGAAATTTGATTGACTCAGAACCACCCCCAGCAACTACTGAAATGACCAATCACGTCTATTTATTTCGTCTGGGAGTCATGGGTCCAAACCTCGCCCCACCTGCCGAGGTAGTTTTTTTCCCCAGTAAATAGAGGGACTTAATTAATTATTTCAGTATTTTTTTAAGATGTTACCCTTAAATTCATTGCTAAATTTAAACATCTACACGAAATGACTTCGTCTAGCCTACTGGCTAGGTGTACGCTCAGTTATCATCATAGTTACGCTTTTTTTCAGGTCACATATGTATGATCGATCATATCAAAAAGCAACCGATATACCTTATTTCAGTTGTTTTTTAGTTTTTTTCTATCAAGTTTTTCCAGTAATGTGAAACACTGGTTACTGTTGTTTTTTTTTCTACGTCCATGCAGGTGAATTCACCGTTTGCTTCATTCCATGGAACTTCTGCAACTTCATCGTAAGCGACTATTTTATGTAAATGAAAGTAGAGTTTTTTGACCTCACATCATTGAACTATTAAACTGAAGAAGAAAAACACTTGTCTTTTGGGATTTGTACAGTGTGAAAAAATAATTGGCGAGACTATAGATTGTATGGAGGACAAGATTATTTATTCATTTAGCTATACATTCAGTGTCAGAAAAAAGATCTTCGACTTCATTTTGTAGCATCAGGTTTACATGGAATGTATTAATTGACCTTGAAAAAGTTGATATTGGATGAGATCATTTAGTTCATGAATTTCACTCTAAATTTAAAAAAAATTCCTTTTTATTACGCAGCCTACATCACTGGTTTCTGTTGTTTTATTTTGAATAATGAGTGGTGTTGATTCAACTGAAGTAAGTCGTTTCAGTACACCATTTTATCTTTTTCATTTAAGCCGGGGGTAATCATAACTTTCATAAGGTTGCCAAATACCTTGCCACATTTACGTGTTAGGTTGCCAACATGGAAAATCTCTACACGATGAGATAAAGTGGTGTGGTTATTTGAGCTGCTGGTCAGAAAAGCTATAGATGACATGTGCACCGGTGTATCTGGTCCAGCCAGGTTACCTAACGGCAGTGAATCACGTCACTCAGCCGGATTTGAACCACAACACCGTTCTTAGTGGTGAGACCCATATGCCCTGGACAGTCCATAGTGTGGACGGGTCAGCTGACCGTCAGGTTTTCGCCCAGTGATCTGAGAGCAGTGTACCAATATTAAGGTAAAGGAATCCAGCTTCATAATCGTAGTATTGTTATTGACGCAGTCCCAATGGAGGTGGTGTGGTTGGGTGGTATTCGGTCCAGAATGCGAAGTATCGTCCACCTATATCTTAAGACTTCTAACAACATTCCCTGATGTCTTAGAGACTAAAATCACAAGGTCTGTATTTGATTATAGAATGCTAATTAAAGTCTACCGAATTGAGAATGCTTAATAACAGCTTCATGCGTATATATGCATATATATATATATATATATATATATATATATATATATATATATATATATATATATATTCACGGAAGGTGTGTGAGATATCTCAAGCATCTCAATGGAATCAGCTTTATAACTTGATTGACTGAAATAACTTCTGATGACGTAAATACTATTGTCCACTTCTATAACAATTACACCTGTTGGTCTAATGCCATTTAAAGAGCATTGTGGGGGCGATAATTTCTACACTGGAACTTCATTCTACTCCTTCTATTAAAGGATGAATCTCATGAGCTAACCAGCTGGATGATGATACATGAGAAAGTTTAGAAGTAGTATTCATCATGGACTGAGGTCAGTTGGGGAACCATTGAAAATCTGTGAGCACTAGACAACTGTTTCGTCCAACTAGTATGGGACTCCTCAGCAGTACGCACCCACGGCTAGGGATCGAACTCAGGACCTTCAGGTTTGACGATGAACGCGTTAACCATTCAGCCACTGGGTCGGTTTCCAGTGGTTCACAATTTCCAACTTCTGTCAACTCCACGACATAGCTTGACTGTCACCCAAGGTCTTCAGTTAGCATCCACTTCACTTCCGACTGGTTGACCCCACAGGTCACGGCTTCTCATTAGAGCTTCGTGATATCCATCTGGAAGCAAGTCACTAGTGAGCACTATAGAGTAATGTATTTTTGAGATGAATGGGGATTTTTTTAATTTAGAAGTAGTATTCATTATGGAGTGACATTAGTTGGGGAACCATTGAAAATCTGTGAGCACTAGACAACTGTTTCGTCCAACTAGTATGGGACTCCTCAGCAGTACGCACCCACGACCCAGCTAAGGATGGAACTCAGGACCTTCAGGTTTGACGATGAACGCGTTAACCATTCAGCCATTGGGTCAGTTTCCAGTGGTTCACAATTTCCAACTTCTGTCAATTCACGACATAGCGAGACTATCACCCAAGGTCTTCAGTTAATGCTCATTAGAAAGTTGTCACATATATATGAAGCATGAAATAACAAACTGATACATTTGTTCACTACATCTCTTTTTCGGTATATATAGTTAAAATTGTGTATCGTGACAATTTTATAGAATTCAATCATTGAAAATCACTCATCCCTATTAATAATAATAATAATAATCGGTGTATGAAAGACTAATTTATACTATAGATGTCAGACAGTCACGTATTGATTATCTTTCAATGAAAAATGTAGCAATACAATGCCAAGAAATTAATTGAATAGTGGTGATAACAATCGATATCTTACTATATAATAATGAAAATTACTTATTGTTTTTTAAAAAGTGTGATATTGAGTAGTGCTGTTTTCCTGATAATTAGCAAGGTTATAGTGTTTGAAAGAGGTAGTAACTAACGCTTTTTACTCATCAAATTATTTAACCGATACCAACGATTCTTGGAGTGTCAGATTTCTCTACATTCATGTGAATAACATTCGTAGTCTCATGAAACTGCGTTCCACATAGTGGTAGGTTGAGCCAGGCAAAAAGTCACTTGGGTGACACTTTTAGAATCCTAGATGAACGAATGGTATAATGACAACTGCCTGTTGCGACTGCGTTTTGACAACATCTCCTTTGGGCCAACACTAATTTCAGAGATAAACAGAGACATTGCGTAGCGTCCGCCAACCATAACTTAATGGTGGACACATTGACCATATAAAGGTATACGTCTGCATCTAAATGGACCTTGTAAAACTATAGCTGTAAGAACATTCCAGGCATAGCTCAATGACGAAGATGCTTAGGTTACTTTCAGTAACGAACTGGTCGAAAAGTTATCAGAACACGACAACATCATTCCGAAGAAGCCTGACGTCATCACCAATCTGACATTAAAATATAGAATTAACGGTTGGGGATCGTTTGACAAATGAAATCGGTAATTGGAGACTTCATGCATAATATAGTCCCAAGTGAATCTCAGTGACTGAAATGCATCCATATATCATCTTCATCATGATCCGCATACTGAATTTAATTATTGCCTTATATTTCCCCACTTTCTCTTCAAGACTTTATGCTGTCTTTGATTAATTTTTTTCATTTCTGATACTACGTGTAGCAACCTGAACCTTTACGGGCATTTTCAAACCGGTTCGCGACCTGTCTTCATTCTAATCTAGAGTGACAGTTAACTGATATTTCGAAATCACCATCACTTTTCATGCAGTTACCTTATTATCTAACCTTTTTTGCATTACTATAAAAACCAACCAAGAACCTATCACTCAACAAATATGCAGAAAGAAGTGGAGATGGATTGGGCATACACTGAGAAGGCCGACTGAGGATATCACGCGCCAGGCCAGTCACTCGAGGGGAACTTAGATCGGAAACGACGAGTTGGGCGTCCAAGGTGGGGTTGATATGGAGGAGATGGTGCGAGGAGGAAATGAGAGCTTCTAGGCTGTCGTGGAGCCAGGTTGAAAAGATTACAAAGAAGAGAGTGCACTGGAGACGTGCTACTGAAGCCCTATTTCCTACTAGGGAACCTAAGGGACAAAAAATAATAATAACAATAACTATGAGATATCAAACTCAACAAGTGAATTGAAACGATGACGTTCGCTAACTAACTGCATACTGATCTTCTAAAACCTATTATGCTATTTTGTGATATAGCAAAATAAGATTCTTTTGGCGAAAGAAGTCATTGTACTGTCTGTTATGTGTACATGAATCATTGTGTAATATTAATTTGCTACCTATGTGTGTGTCTGATTTTACCTCTAGATCTCATTCTCAAGTAATATCCAACTCAAATCCCTTCAGTAAGTTAAGTTTTATTACTACTATTAACTGATTATCGTTTTATATTTTTTGTTGTGTATTATAGAAAAATGTAAGGTAATATTTTAGTAAGAAGATATATTCAAATACAGTTCAGATTTGATGGATTAAAAGAAATTCGACATTGGATATGGTGATTATCACTTTTTAAAAAATACCAATATCATAGTAATGAATAATATTTTAGTAGTTTGACTATGAATAACCACTCATGAAAGGTAAAGAGAGACAAAGAGACCAATTATCTAGATCAAATTTATCCTTTGATACTGTTACCATGTTTTTCAAATTATGAGACCAGACGGACTAACTCCTGAGGTATACAAGGATGGTGGTAGGATGCTCTCTGTCAGGTTAACTGGAGTGTTAACCAGTATATAGGAATCAAATACGATCCCCTCTGAGTGGTCTAAATCACTGATTATTCCGATCTTCAAGAAAGGCGAGAAGTTCTCTTGTGATAACCACAGAGGAATCAGCCTGACGAACATAGTATCTAAAATTCTAGGTTTCATAATTCTTCGACGTCTGAGTGGAGCTTGGGAACAGCAAGCCCGAGAAAATCAGGCAGACTTTAGACCTGGCCGCGAGTGTATCGACCAAATATTCACACTGTTCCAGGTTCTGGAACACAGACACGCTTACCGACATCCGTCATTAGCTGTATTTCTCGACCTGAAGGCGGCGTTCGACTCCGTTGATCGAGAAGTCTTATGGCAATGTCTGTCACTGAAAGGCGTGCCGAGCAAGTAAAGTACATCACCTTATTGAAGGTTCTCTACTCGAACACTTGTGGGCATGTTAGAGCTTATGGTGAGATGTGCGGGGAGCTGTGTTCATCGAGTGGTGTCCGTCAAGGGTGCTCACTGTCTCCATTCTCATTCAATTTTATCATAGATATTCTCATGGAGGTCTCCCGCACGTCACCTGATTACACAGACGTTGACCGAATCGGTAGAGAATTTTCGTTAGACCTAGAATATGTAGATGACATAGTCCTGTTAGGTGAAGACGCTGACAAGCGGCGGAGTCTTCTAACCACTGAGTGGCTATTTGAAAATGTTTGGGGTGCGTTTCTCATCACCTAAATGCAAATTGTTGCTCCAAAATTAGTCTACAACAGTGTCTTGGCAAACAACAGACAGTGAAGTTGTTGAGTGTGTTGACCACTTCACTTACCTGGAAAGTAGGATTAACCCTGCCCTGGTGGCTCAGTTGTCGATGACATCCCTGAACGGATACAAAAGGCTCGGTTAGCTTTCGCTAACTTACGCCACTAATGGCGCCGCCGTGATATCTGATTTTCTATTAAGGGTTGCGTGTACTGCCTAGCAGTCTGCTCTGTCCTACTGTATGGCTGTGAAACATGGTGATTGAAGGTGGAAGGCATGAGAATGCTTTAAGTGTTTGACCACGTTGCCTTCGTAGTGTAGGCTGTGATTGATGGTGTCACCACGTCAGTAACGCAGACGTCAGATGTAGAGTTTTAGGGAACAGAGGTCAATCTGCTGACGGGGGTTTTGAACCTTCATTGACTGAGGTGGTTGGGACTCGCACTACGTATGCCTAGTTGCCGATTGCCCCATCACACAATGTTGGCTGAAGTAGGTCCAATTTGGAAAAAGGCTCGAGGTGGACAGACTAAAATATGGCACCAATGTATGAAGTCTCTTACTGTTGGTTTGAGCCATGTGGGACGATGCAGACTAGATGGTTAGGGTCCGCGGGACCAGAGGAACCAGTGGTTGGAGACTGACTCCAGGTGATGACATGGCTGAGAACCGATGTCATTGGTCCAGATGTATACATACATTATCCTCATCTTAACGACGCTATACCGAATCTCACCATTTTGTCACTCTTCCTTTCTATGGCTGAGTACTTTATATTTCTTTTGACTGAGTTTTCTTTTCTTCATGTTGCACTGCCTTCATTGCCTTATCACCTGATGTAGTGATATGAAGTGTGGCAACTTGGACCGTGAGTCAGTAATGCCTGGTCCTATGTTGATATTGATGACGAAATTATCAGACTGTACAATTAAAATTGTCAGCGTATTTGTTTCGTTAATCTACTTTTTCTTGTTTCTTGAACTTATTCCTTTCTTGAAGTAGAGTGATAGGATATGTCGACCACTTCGCTTCTGCTCGGATCCAGAAAACCCGTTTAGCATTTCCTCACTTGTCTTTTTTGTGACCCTGACTGCAGTTCGTTCTGTCCTGTCCAGGGTCGGAAAAGCAAGACAGACCTTTTTGCATCAATGTAGAGATTTACTGCACTGCACTTAGCATAAAGCGTGAACAAGATCCGGATTTTCAACACTGATTCAGTCAAGGAAGTCAGTGCTTCTATGTGATGGCTGAGAGACTTGGCGCGTCACGAAAAGCATTTCCAACAAATTACAGATATACATCAATAGCTGCCTCCTACGCTCACTCGATACTGAAGATCACATGACCAGCATAACAGGAATAAGCAACCCGGAAGTCTGGCCTGGCAACGAACTAACCGAGGACCCATCATCCAACAAATGTGCAGAAGAAAGTGGAGATGGATTGTGCATACACTGAGAAGGCCGATTGAGGACATCACGCGCTAGGCCAGGCCGTCGATTGGAACCGAAAGGGTGAACGACGAGTTTGGCGTCCGAGGCGAGGGTGACATGGTGGAGATTGTGTGAAGAAGAAATGAAAGCTTGTGGGCAGTCGTTGCTTTAGATGCAAAAGACTGCAGAGAAGAGAGTGCACTGGAGGCGTGCTACTGAAGCCCTATGTTCCACTAGGAACGCAAGGGAAAAATAATGATACACTCAGTAACCTTGTACATACTCCTCCGGCAGGGGTAATAAACGACGCTTATTGTGTAAGAGTCAATGATATTACATGTTTCCACAATCCTCAGTAGATGGATCTTTTCATCCCCTTGAACCAGAAGTCCACAAGTTAGTCTATGCTTTTTCTGTTTACTGCTTTCAGATGCCAATAACCACAGTTCCTGTGAGACAATATTTTCAAACTGTAGTTCCACTTCTTCTCGGCCTCTTCCCCCGAGTTCATTCCAATTCCACTGCTCCCCGAATATAAATCAATCCTCTCCAATTCATACCAAATTAGTATCCAAAGGTTCAACGGACTGCAAGATACTACCAAAGCAAACACCACCTACACGCAAACCAATAAGTTATCAACTACCAGGGCTTACAGATAGTGGGTTTATTTTAAAATAATTTGTATTAAATATGTATTCAAAATTCTGCGAGTTGTCCACTGTTCATTTTAACTACATATTCATTGGCATTGTAGACATCCATTTTAGTCTGTTTATTAGAAATGTCACATTGTGGAGAAACAATATTGTTTACTGTGGATAACGTTTCGGACACAATTTACTGTCCATTTTCAAATCAGATAACTATACAACTTTGAGATAGAGTTTGCAGTCTTCCAGAATGCCGAAGTTTTACTTCCCTATTAGTTCTAGTCATCATCAATACAAACTTCAGAAAGAAGTGAAATATATGGTTTTCTCGACAGGTTGTTTAGTGTGTTGTCTTTATGACCTGGGATTTCATCTTCTTGTTGTTTCTTATTGGTTGATAGATTGGATCGGTATCGACATATCTATCGATTGCTGACTGATCTGAATACTAATACTTCTAAAAATTCTTTGTATTTCCTCTAGAAATTTTAACATTTTCCTAATCATAATCATGTCCACAGTTGTATGTATGCATCGAAATGAACGAAGATATGTCATGACGTTTCACTGATAGTTGATATTCATGTGCATACAGTTTTATATTTAGTTGATTTATTAGAAACAGGCTGCATTCTGGAAGTACAAATCATGTGCGGACTGAATTGCAACGCTTCGCATCATCATAAAACAGAGTATAGAATGGCAGTCAACTCAATTCTCTACCTCAACTTCATTGACTTTGAGAAGGCCTTTGACAGCATCGACCGAGAAATAATTTGGAAACTGCTTCAACACTACGGGATACCGCAAACCTTTATCAGACTCATTCAACAACTATATGAGGACGCCACATTACAAGTAATTCACAATGGGAAGCTCAGTGATGCCTCTGAAGTGAAGTGAAGACAGGAGTGAAACAAGGTTACCTACTATCCCCCATGATATTCCTGATTGTAGTGGACTGGACTGGATCATGCAACAAACAGTGAGGAGAGAGAAGCGGGGGATACGCTGGTTGGACCGAGGAAAAGAACCTAGAAGATTTGGATTTCGCCTATGATGACCTGTGTCTGACGTCGCACAAACTCGAAAATCTACAGGCGAAAACTAACAAGTTGACAGAAGAGGCAGGGCAGTGCAGTGCAGTGAAGACGGGACTTCAAGTGAATATAGAGAAGACAGAGGTGATGAAGATAACCAACCAACAACACCACTAACAACAGAAAGCTCCAATCACCATGAACGGGAGAAACCTAAAGGAAGTAGCCTCTTTCACCTATCTAGACAGCACCATTTCAACTACAGGCGGTGGCGGCACAGACGAGGATGTCAAAGTCAGGATCGGAAAAGCAGGACAGGCGTTCATTAACCTGAAACCATTGTGGAGATCTTCTGTACTCAAATCAGCATGTGGAACAAGATCCGAATTTTCAACACCAACGTCAAGTCAATGCTCCTCTCTATGGTTCAGAGACTTGGCGCGTCACGAAAAGGGTTGATTTTCAGTAAGTCATGAAAATGCTAAGTTGAAGAAATTAAGATGCAAATAATCAACACTGTAATTATACGAGATTAGTAATGATAATAATGTGAAACAGGTTATTCTTAATCGTTTTTTCTCGAGTGATCAGTCGTGAACAATAAATAATTACTCAAGAATTGGACCCAATAAAACAAGCATATCAATAAATAGTGATAACTACTACCCGTTGTGCAATACAGTGGCTATCGTTCCTCCATAGCATAGTGGATAACGCCTTGATGTTTGAATGAATGGGTACAAGATTCGAGTCTCAGTGGGAACAACATCACTCACTGAGGTGCAGGTACATCCAGCTGACGAGTCCCAAATAGGAAGAAACGCTCATCCTGGATTCTTCTACTAGTCACAACCAAACAAATTGCCACGGAGGCAATATCGAAGCATCCGCATAGGAGCCAATCGAGGTCGAACAATTCGATACAATAAAACAACGGAGAATTACGAGTATACCAATAAATTGTAATAAGAGAGAAAGTAAATAAGTATTGATAAGTCAAAGGGGGGAATAGGTGTGCAAAGTAATACTTACTTCAATAATTGCATCATATTGACGAGCATGGTAATGGAATCGATTCAACAGACTTCTTTTAATACAGTTTGTAAAGATTGATTGCAATCGCCTCGGCTATGTGAAGCAAACAAATGCTTAATCTATATGGTTAGTTAGTTGGTTAACTAGTTCACTAGTTACTATCCGATCCCAAGCCCGGATGAAGAGGGAAGGTTGGGCATAGGGCTAGCAACCCTTTTCCGTAAAACCAGTCTAACCGCTAAAGAAACTTCAATGCACAGAGGAAGTATAAAAAGGAAACTTATTCCTCGCCGGTTGATGAAAGACTTCAGGAAGCCAATTGGTCGATCTATCTTCTCTCGATGAAAGCGAAAGTAAACGTGGGGACATGGAATGTCCGCACCATGTATGAACCTACCAAGGCTACCCAGATCGCAAAAGAGATGAAAAGGTATGGCATAGAAGTGCTTGGAATCTATGAAAGTAGATGGAATGGAAGTGGACTCCCCAAACTATCAACTGCAGAGTCAAGAATGTACTCCGATATTGTCACCCAGACGACAACCACCAGCACATGGAGGGAGTGGCTATTATAATGTCCCCTTGAAGAGCATCGAAGACTCTCTCATACTGTGGGAACCAATCTCCTCCAGCATCAGGATCATGACAGCAAGATTCAACTCAAAAAGAAGGAAAATCACAATCATACAGCAGGTTGTACTCAGTTTCTCTTTTCGTTGTTCATCCTTGAAATGGTTTATCTTCTGCTTCACCATCTTCCTCTCCTCTGTCAGCTTCCTTATGTCCGTTTGTATACAGTGAATTATTTTAAATGCTCTTTTAGTATCCACTTGATGTCCGTTTTCAACTAAGTTTGCAGCTATGGAGCCCTTCATTTTATTCTGGCCCTTATTCAACCATGATAAGTAGTACTCGGAAATTTGACAATGGACCTACTTCATTGTACTTCTAATGTAACTAGCTCCATAGGAACAGTCGAAGTAATAAATATACGTGAAATCAGTAGTATCAGGTAGTCTGTCTTTATTTTTTGTACTTAGAATCACGCGGTTATAGAAGATAGAATATAATTTTGTGGCTGTGAATCCTTTTTGCAAAGCTCTTTTTATGCTGTTGTGTGATGATTTCAGTCTTAAATTCCAGTTTCAAGAAGATATGCTTCTTACAGATTTTTGTCATTCTCGTCTTAACCTTCGTAACATTGATATGCTTTAGTTACAAACTTTATTGGATAGCCATTCCTTCTAAACAGGTCACGGATAATAGTGAACTCTTCCTCTGTAACATTATGAAAGCAAATAGCTGTTGCATAGTATACTAGACACAGGTAACTTTTGTATTGGAGGCATATGGCACTAAAGAAGTGCATGTGTGTTGACCTGTTGATATTAGCTTTCTGAATATACTTCATTTCAGAGTTTCATGTAACTCTTACCAGCAGAGTATCAAAAAATTGGATACTGTCATTTCTATTGTGAATTTGATTGCTGGATGAACACTACTAAACTGATTAAGAACAGTATTCTTATTAATCTCATTGTTGAGAACTTTGTCCATATAACAACAGTATAATTCCAACCAGCTAATAGTTTCGTTCAGAGTACCATTCTCTAGATTTGATTCAGTTGTAAACCTTATATACTTAGTGTAAAGCCAAAGGCGAAGATCTAATTGAAAAAGGAATAATATATATTGCTTCGCTCAATCAGTCTTTTTTTCTTCCTAAACATCTGAAAATGTTCATGCAAAATAACAACCTATAAAAAGGTGGTGGTTCGCGTTGTTGGCTCTCAAGAATTCTTCTTGAAAAAACTATGCTGTTTAACTTGAATGACTGTAAGGTGAAGAAAAGATGTAAATACGTTTCCTTCCTTCTGCATTTTATTTCTATTTCAATACAATTATATATTTATAGTAGCTTTCATTTATCCACTCAATAGATTCATTTCAAACTCTGGTCCTTCGACGCTCCAATATCTGTACAGACTTGTCAAAGTCTTTAAATCCTGAAGACTCTGAATCATAAATTTAATGACTTAAGGTGAGTATTGCTTACTATTGAACGTCGTTTTTTTCACATGTTAACATTTAACAAATCATGTGGTGATCGAATTGTAACGCCTACTCATCATCATAGAACACACCATAGAATAGCAGTCAACTCTCTACCTCAACTTCATCGACTTTGAAAAGGCCTTCGACAGGATGGACCGAGAATATAATTTGGCAGGTGCTTCAACACTATGGTGTTAGTGCCACAAACCTTTATCAGCCTCATTCAACAGGTATTTGATGACGCCACATGTCAAGTGATTCACAGTGGTAGGCCCAATGACGCCATCGAAGTGAAGACACGAGTAAAACAAAGTTGCCGCCTACTATCACCGACCATCTTCCTGTTTGTGGTCGACTGGATCATGCAGCAAACTGGGAAGAGCGAGAAGATGGGCATACACTCGACGGATGAAAAAAGCCTAGAAGATTTGGATTTTGCCAATCATGAATTATGTCTAATGTTGCACAAACTCGAAGATGTACAGGTAAAAACCAACAAGTTGACAGAAGAAACAGCGAAGACAGGACTTTCTCCATGTGAACGTGGAGAAGCGATGAAGATACTCAACCAACACAGTCAACAAGCACCAATTACCATCAACGTGAGAAATCTAAAGGAAGTTGTCTCTTTCACCTACCTACATACCTACCTAGGCGGCATCGTCCCAACTACACGCGGCGAGGATCGGAAAGCAAGACAAGCCTTCGCGCATTAATCTGAAATCAGTGTGAAAGTCTACTCCACGCAACTCAGCATCAACAACAAGATCCGGATTTTCAACACTAATGTCATTCAAGGAAGTCGGTGCTTGTAGGTGATGGTTGAGAGACTTGGCGCGTTACGAAAGGCATTTCCAACAGACTACAGACATTCATCAACAGATGCCTACGCTCGATGCTGAAGATCAGATGACCAGAATAACAGGAATAAGGAACTCGGAAGTATGGCCTGGCAACTAACTAACCAAGAACCTATCGTCCAATAAATATGTGGAAGAAGAAAGTGAAGATGGATTGTGTTAGGCATACACTGAGAAGACGGTTTGGGGACATGACGCGCTAGGCCAGGCCGTTGCGTGGGAACTCAAAGGGGAAACGATGAGTTTGGCGTCCGAGGCGAGGGTGACATGGAGGAGATGGTGTGAGGAAGAAATAAAAGGTTATGGGCAGTCGTGTAACCAGGTTTAAAAGACTGTAGAGAAGAAAGTGAAATGTCGAAGGGCTACTGAATCCCTTGTTCCACTAGGAACCCAAGGGACAAATCATAATGAATAATAATACTGATTAGATAGATATATCCTAATATGTTTTTTTCTCGAACCAAGCCGACGAATTACGACATTTGAAAGTTTCTTTAGGTAACACTGTTATCATTTCTGAGTAACAAAAGTGTATTATCTGCCTTAAGTGCAATATTTGTCTGTACGCATTCGCTTTTTTCTTTCTTGACGTTTATTTAGTTTATCAACTGAAAACTAGTCTCCTATCGGTTGTTTTTAATTTATGGTCATTAATTAGATCCATGACTGATTTTTTTCCCATCTTATCCTTTACATTTTCAATTTGATGATATACCTCAGACCTCTCAGTGTTTCTATGTGTAAACTTTAACCACCACCCCACCCTTAGTACTCAAAATTTTTGGACATTTAAATATTCACCTCTTAGTTTGATGAGTTCAATGTACCACCAAAGCTTGATGTTCGTTTCTTGTTAAATATAAAGAACTGAATTCAACAAACTGTGATGGTGTTTGAAATGCTGATACATATGTTGTGATATCACCTTTATTTATATTAAGTGTTATCTGTCTTTTAAGTTGAATGATTGAAACGTCATAAAATTATCATATTATTATTTTATTTGTCCCTTGGGTTCCTAGTGGAACATAGTGCTTCAGTAGCACGTCTCCAATGCGCTCTGAAATCTTTTGAACCTGCCTCCACGATAGCCCACAAGCTCTCATTTCCTCCTCGCACCATCTTCTCCATGTCACCCTCACCTCGGACGCCCAACTCGTCGCTTCCCACAGGGGTTCCACTCGACGGCCTGGCCTGGCGCGTGATGTCCCCAGTCGGCCTTCTCAGTGTACGTCCATTCCAGTCCAGTCCATCTCCCCTTCCTTCCAGTGTATATTTGTTGGGTGATAGGTTCTTGGTTGGTTCGTTTCCAGCCAGCCAGAGTTCCTTGTTGCTTATTCTTTCTGGCCATCTGATCTGATCTTCAGTATCGAGCCAGCGTAGTGTCTGTAGTTTGTTGGAAATCCCTTTCGTGACGCGCCAAGTCTCTGAACCATAGAGAGGAGCATTGACTTGACGTTGGTGTTGAAAATTCGGATCTTGTTCCACATGCTGATTTGAGTACAGAAGATCTCCACAATGGTTTCAGGTTAATGAACGCCTGTCCTGCTTTTCCGATCCTGACTTTGACGTCCTCGTCTGTGCCGCCACCGCCTGTAGTTGAAATGGTGCTGTCTAGATAGGTGAAAGAGGCTACTTCCTTTAGGTTTCTCCCGTTCATGGTGATTGGAGCTTTCTGTTGTTAGTGGTGTTGTTGGTTGGTTATCTTCATCACCTCTGTCTTCTCTATATTCACTTGAAGTCCCGTCTTCACTGCACTGCACTGCCCTGCCTCTTCTGTCAACTTGTTAGTTTTCGCCTGTAGATTTTCGAGTTTGTGCGACGTCAGACACAGGTCATCATAGACGAAATCGAACTCTTCTAGGTTCTTTTCCTCGGTCCAACCAGTGTATCCCCCTCTTCTCACAGCGCCCCACTGTTTGTTGCATGATCCAGTCCAGTCCACTACAATCAGGAATATCATGGGGGATAGTAGGTAACCTTGTTTCACTCCTGTCTTCACTTCACTTCAGAGGCATCACTGAGCTTCCCATTGTGAATTACTTGTAATGTGGCGTCCTCATATAGTTGTTGAATGAGTCTGATAAAGGTTTGCGGTATTCCGTAGTAGTGCAATTCATTGGTTTTATTCCCTACACTTTCATAAAGTGATTTGCGTGAAACTGAGTAGCAGGATTGAAATGAGGTAGAAAAAGAATGTGAATGCAAAACATTTAACGAGTACGTCTTCAACCATTGTGATCAGTTTTGAACCGTATCACTTTAAGTCCCCACTGACCTACTTCTGATTGATTGACTGACCGACAAAACCACCATAAAACCTTGCATATAATTGCATCAGCTCAAGTTGCCACACTTTACAGTAATACACGAAGAACAATTGGATAGTAAAAAAACTCATACCAAGGTAGACAAAGTTGTATGAGAGAATAAACAATCTGAATTTAAAGGTTAGTTCAAATATTCAAGCTTCAGAAGAAGTGGACGATTTTCAACCATGTCACCAAGACTGAACTCTAGACCACTGATTCTAATCATCTCATGGACCCAAACTAGACAGTCAGCATCTTCTTCAGACCAACAGTCAGAGACTTTATCGACTAGTCACACTGAATCCTCTCCCAACCTAATCGAACTTCTCCTAGTAACCATTACACTTCGACGTAGGCGGTTACTCGGCAGATGCATTACATCTGCAAGCCACCCTAGGTGATTGTGGTTCCCAATCTCATTGACTGACTTGCCTATTACCCTTCACCTGACCTCAGCATTGCTCACATAGTGGTCCCACTAAATGCGGGCAGTACTGCTAAGATACTTGTGATCGAAATCCTGCAATCACAGCACGTCTTCTACTTTTAACGGGGATGTGTCTCACAGCTGTATAACAGGACAGAACGAACTGCAGGGCAACATACTCGTGGGTCGATGGATAATCCGATACTGTCGGATGGATCGGATTGATTTCATGTGATCTAAATCTTCCACATACGCACCAAATTTAAAATTTTGTACAGTAAGCTGTCGGATGACTTAAGAGGCTGCCCTAGCAACTGATGAGATAACCAATTAGATTACTTTATTTTATGGAAAAGTACTGTCCCAGGCGAAATATCAAAGCTTGATTGGTCATTTCAGTAGTTGCTAGGGTGACCTTAAGAGTCACTTCAAGCTATCAGTGTTCAGCATAAATCACTTGATACATTTCAATAGAAAACAACAATAGATATATCTTTTTAGCCTAGCAATACATGGGAACAAGCCACAACAGGTCAGCCTTTAAAATCCATCTGTAAGCACATCAAAATACGACGTGATAGTAGTACAGGAATGTGATTACAGCTCAAGTTGGTAGGAATTCTAATGGAAGGAGGAGAACAATAAAGACAGTATGCAAAGTATGTAAGTTAATGGTGGACGAATAGAAAAGGATATGCTGACAGATATGACGAAAATATAATGGGTTAAAATAGATAAATAGAATGGTAAATAAAGCTGTAGGAAAAGAACATCTCACCGAGGCAATGCAAGGTGAACCACAAACTCCTTTTATACATATAAGTTAGGTTACAGTCAATGGATTGCTGCTGTTTCTGCATAACGTAGCAAGCAATCTACTCTTTCTTTGTTTATTGATTACCTTAAGAGCTATGTTTGAATTAATGGCATGACCCGTGCCGAGTATGTGTTTTCCAATGGCTCTGGTTGGTAGCCTTCCACCTCTCAATGACAGACTTTTCATTACATGTACAGAGATTTATTTAGTAAGGACCCTTTCCGTTCTTCCGACATACATGGTACTGCAAGTATAGGTGAATAAATAAATACAATTATAGATAGCATGAGGAGGTCTCACATCCAAGTTAGTTCCACTGATCATAATTTTCGTGTCATAGGCAACTTAATTTTTCAGCTGGATAAGTTAGTGCTATGCATGCATTCAATTTAACTTTGTAAATTATTTCAAAGGATGAATCTCGAGGTGCTGAGAGTGACCCAATTCAACAAGGTGTTCACATATGGATGAAGTCGTCTTCCTTTACTCGCCTCTGGTAAGCCGAACCGAGTAGTGTTCAGCAACACGTTTTCGGAGGGCCCGCTTACAACGTCCAATATAGTCAGCTCCACAGGAGCATGTAAACTTGTAGATATACATAGATGTAGACATAAGTGGAAGCCTATCCTTCACGCATTGACGAATGAGACGGTGGCTGGAGAATATCAATCTCAGTCTAGCAGCATAGAAGCTACTATTTGTTGGCATCACTCTATGGTATTATCTAAGTGGCCTAGGAATATGGGAGTAAAAAAAACTGCCCATGACCACACATTCTGTCTGTAGTACAAACCATTAAACCGGAATTGCTCATTTTTGTGCATAACATCAACAAATCTTTCAGTTTGTTACAAGAAAAGTTTATCCTGGTAGTTGTATAGACCATCGATGGAGTTCATGGTATCGGGATTTCGATATGATCAATATAAGATGTGAAAGTATTCCAGTTTTTCGTATCTTAGGAAGACCATACATTCATGGTAAGTGTTTACTTCGGTGTCTAAACACGTTACATAGCTTTTCATCGATTAAGTTCTGTTTTAGAATAATTCAGTCTCTGTTTGTGAATGAGTACATCATACTGTATATCTCGACAAAAGTTGAGGAATTTGATGAGACAAAATAAACTTACTGAATCCACAGCTGATTTGTTATGACTCAATGTGTTACGTAACTCATTAAATGTATTATCACTAGTCTCCATATAGAATCAAGTAAGGTGACATAAGTTGCTACAAATAGGAGGTGGTTTCTGCCTAAGCAGTTGATTATAATACGTACACAATTTTAAAAGTAGTAGAAAGAAAGAAGATTAAGACCAGTTAAGTCATTTAAATATAAGGCCAAGAGAACTGCCCCTAGCCGCCACACCTTCTATCTGTCTGTAATACAAGCCATTAAACTGGAATTGAACACTTTTTGTGCAAAATTATCCTTCAAAGTATGAATAGCTAGTTGTTTACTGATAGGTTCAGTTAGTTATGTAAGCTATCGAAGGAGTTCAACATAGCCAATATATAACGTAAAGGTATTCCTGCTTTGTGTATCTTGGGAAGGCCGTACATTCTTGGTAAATGTTTATCTCGGTGTTTCAACGTTTCATAGAGCTGTACATCGAATAATTTCTGTTTCAGTAACTGTTTGCGGACTTAATTTATCTTCCTTTCACTCTGTACTAATGTCGTTTCATGGTTGTTTAGATCACACACACACACACAAGGTCAGCTCGGCTCATCCTACAATATTTGTTGTTCTTGCTTTTCAAAAATTTATGAATGGAATCTATTGAATGAAATAATCAGTGGTCTTGGACCTAATTCTAATATTTGTTAAGTCAAATGTTCTTAATCCAACTCAACTACTTTTGTCAATGGCTTGACAGGCTGCTGCTAGTGCGTTTTTTCACCTGATCATCATGAGATGCTTGGCATTGCACTTTCATTTCATCCATAAACACGTTTTGGTATACAAGTGTTGATAACTGAACATATCCAGGATACTCTCTAATTGTTTTCAGTCGATGAAGAGTGACTTGCGTATTACCGAAATTCGTATAACGAATGTATAAGTAGAATTTGAACGGTATAAGATATCTCCATTTGATAATGGGCGAATAATTTTCCCCTAAGTGAATGTAGAGAAGACAGAGGTGATGAAGATACCCAACCAACAACAAGAAGCATCAGTCAACATCAACGGAAGTTGTCTCTTTCACCTACCTACCTAGGCAGCATCGTTTCAACTACAGACGGCGCAGACACAGATGAGAATGTCAAAGCCAGGATCGGAAAGACAGCAATCTGAAATCAGTGTGAAGATCTACTCCACGCAACTCAGCATCAACAACAAGATCCGGATTTTCAACACTAATGTCATTCAAGGAAGTCGGTGCTTGTAGGTGATGGTTGAGAGACTTGGCGCGTTACGAAAGGCATTTCCAACAAACTACAGACATTCATCAACAACTGCCTATGCTCCATGCTGAAGATCAAATTGTCAGAATAATAGGAATAAGCAACCCGGAATTCTGACCGGACAACGAACCAACCAGAAACCTGTTGCCCAACAAATATGCAGAAGAAGAAAGTGAAGATGGGTTGTGTTAAGCATACACTGAGAAGACGGTTTGGGGACATCATGTGCCAGGTCAGGCTGTCAAGTGGAATCCAAAAAGGACGAGTTTGGCATCCAACTGTAACATGAAGGAGATGGTGTGAGGAAGAAATGAAAGCTTGTCGGCAGTCATGTAGCCAGGTTCAAGAGACTGTAGAGAAGAGAGTGAAATGGAACCCAGAAGATGAATAATATAATAAGAATATCATTCAGTATTTGGAACGATATCATGCATCTAGGCCTCAATACGGCTCTTTGAAGTAACCAGTTATCACTTTTTTTACTGGTCACCTTTATCAGTAGTATCGTACACAATTGTCGATGAAGTATGGTTCAGTATAAAGGAGGTATTCCTTTTTGATGGAATTCAGTCAGTAGACCAGGTATATTTGAAATACTCGAATGAAAAAGTACTCATAACTTCTCATCTTAGTTATTGTCATAGTTATACTTTTACCTTGGAATCTATAAGAAATTTATTTCATTATTGCCTATTTTTATTCACTTTTTTTTATCATAGAAAAATGTATCCACCATTGATGTGAAGAACAAAACTAAAGTGCACTTATACTACTATAATAGGTAAAAATGTATGTATGCTGAACTCTGAACGACAATTATTATAGTCATTTTTCTTTTAGTCTTGTGTAAAACTGCTGTAATAGTGTATTGTATAAATACCTTGAACAAATTGATTATTGTACTTATCAAGCTTTTTTTTCATGCTCTAATTACATAATGAAGTGAATAACTTTGTTTGTTTTTTTTCATTCAGGGAAGAATGTTTACCTAACGAATCATACATTACATAATAATAGTTTATATGTTGGTATATTTTATGAAAAAGTTTTCTATGATTTTATTCAATAATTGGTATTATTATTATAATTATAGAAATTTTCAACTTTAAACATATGAATTTGTTTCTGTGTTTCATATTTTTGAATAGTAATATGTAACAATGAATTATTTTTAAATAGAGTTATCTTGTACTCTTAGTTGTATCTTTGTTTAATAAGAAAAAAAACTCTTCCCCATTTCGAGGGGGAGGGGGGACTGGATAACGAACTCAGCTGGAAAGTCACATACACACACACACACATACGTGCAAAATTATATATTTGTATTCAGTCGCTTCAATGAAACAGTGATTATTATTATTATTAGTTTATATTACAATTTTCCTGCGTTGCGCAATTTTTTCAAAAAAAAAACATTACTAGCTTTTCAATGTTCGCTTTTTGTTTTCGATGAATAGGAGTATTTGTTTACTTTAGAAATGTTTTCTCTTTTTTGCTCATATATATATATATATATATATATATATATATATATATATATATATATATATAGTCAACAATAAGACACTCATTATCGAAAATATGAGTTTCTTAATTATGATTTCTTTTGTTCAAATAATCCCAGAGGTATATAATAATTGTGGTAAAAGTTGGCTTAAACATGATATTCGAATGTAATGACAGTCATTAGACATAGTAGTTTATACAGTTTGCCAGTTATCCATTGGAGGTTATATTTTTAAACAGAGAGGCCTGGATGAAAAAAATTTACTTGTTCCGTGTCTAGCAGTTAGATAGTTTACATATTTTTTTTTAACGTGGGGGGGTTGAATATACCTACCGACCGTATTATCGACTGATGTTTCATTTATAGCACCTACTTCTGAAGCTAAAGTTATCTGAGATTCAAAATGGTTCTGTTCCATTTGGTAAGAAAATTCATCAATGTCCAAGTATAATCATGGTTTCATGCTGCTGGATCAGTTGCAATCGATTTGGTACAGATAACGCTATAAATGAACATTTCGAAGTGATAAACTTCCCTGGTTTATTTATTTAGGGTAAAAAGTGGCAGCTTTAAGGGGAACATGACCATTGAAGATGGAAGACATGTTAGGTGGTAAATTTTGACTCCTCAAGGTACAAGCAGGCTGCAAGATCGTTTGTTTTAAATACTCTATCAAATAGGTGACTAGTCACTTCATAGACAGGGCACCACTAAAGACCAGTCCTGCAGTGGCAATCAAGTCTGCTTGGTTTTCCGTTCCCGAATGTCTAATAATTGTAGAAATTGGTGGTTGCCTGAGCACATTTGCACTCGGCGATCGCCGTTATCTGTCCGTTCGGCTATCTGGGATTCCGAAAACGCCACCAACGTGCCTGACTGAGCCTACACAGTTTTCCATTGAAATCCCTTGTTACGACAACTGTATTTGATCATCGCTAGGATTTCAGTAGAAGGCTTGACAGTTTTGTGTAAAACATATCTTGCACTTCATTCGAACTGCAGTCAGTGGGTGCGTAAGAAAAGATTACAAAGAGACAACGGCGAGTTCCACTACTCTCTTTAGTCCTGATTGCACTATTCAGTCAGACGGTGTATAGGCGAAAGTTAATTGGGATCTAGTCGAGCAAGGTATCCTCTGTCTAAGTGCTTAGTGTTATACCTATTACCTGCAAGGCCGCGAGAGCTGGTCAAGACATCGATAGAAACGGTGAATTTAACGGAGTTACCGGGTAAGGTTAAGTAAATATTCACATACGGGTCATGTATGCGTGTTTCACAAATAAATCATTACGTCTATGATCCGATACACCAGACTTTTGTCTAACAAAGCTTGTTAGCCGATTCAACAGAGGGTGTGGGCATTGAAATCTCAATATGTAGCTTAAGAAACAGTTTCAGACCAGTGACGTTATTCGGTAAACTCGAATTCTTATCACGAGCTTCAAAACTAGAAGAAATTAAAGATGATGTAGGATTATAGATCAAGAGATTTGAAGGAAGATTAGAGGTTAAGGATGTGGACGGTGGATAGTGATTTGAGAAGACCCTAGTGGCGACACAGTTGTGAAGGCGGTTGACACTTCCAGGCTACCCATACCGTAGAAAGCTATTCCTTCTTCAGGTATTTAAAAGAGAAGCATTATTGTGTGACTGCAGACCCTATGAGACACCTGTTTCAGGCTGGTCACACATGGTCCTTTCTGAAATTTGATAGTATTGCTTGTTTTGTAGAAGCTTGACTGTGAATCCATCTAAACGGCACCGCCATGGAACTAAATAGAGGGGGGGATGCTATTATTGGGCCGACCCATCCCACAGGGAAGGCACCACCAGAATTACACAATTGGTCATCTGAGGGAAACACTACTGCTGCCAACACCAGCGGAATGACTTCACCCTCGGACTTCAATCATAATGTAGCAATTTACGCTATGACGATAACTGCTCTTTGTCTTACCACTACCCAACAGACCTTACTGGTAGGACCTCGAGGTAAAGATGTATTCCACCAGTACAGATGGCTGGGGCATTGTGATATGCAAACCCAACCAGATCACATCGGAATAGCAGCTATCGGGGAGGATCGGACACGCAGACAAAGTAAGAAATCTAAATTCATCAAAAATGGCATTATCCCGAACATAAACTTTGCAGCATTTCCAAAGAAATAATAAATAAAGAGGAGACCATGTATCAAATCATAATTTCACAGAAGAGTAGCACATATTTGGCAGTTGCTAGGAAAAATCAACACTGGAAACAAACTGACTGTATTCAATACCAAAAAGTAGGCGATGATTTCAGTTGAGGTTTTTCAAGTCCTAAATGCTTGGATAAATGTTCTTCAAAACGGATATCAGTTGTCATATGGGAATCATCAAAAGTTTTATCGCATAAAACTTGTTCAGGAGTGTCTTTGAACCGTCAGTAGCTGCTTTCGGATCAGTGAGGTCATCCAATCTATTGGCAGATGTTGGTAAAGGTATTACATGACCAGTATTCAAGGAGACACGTACACGATCACCTTTTTCAGTGTACCGCCAAGCGCATCGACAAGATTCATTATTAAACGGATCCACAAGAGCAACCTATCATAAATAACAAAGATAAACAGAATACGAAATATTATTGATGAGTAGTGATTAGCAGTGGAATCCAGGACGCGCGTTTCGTCCTACTCAGGACTCGTCAGCTGGATGCTTCTGCCTCCCAGTGAGTGATATCGATCCGACCGGGACTAATTGAAACACAGGTAATATCGAGGCATCCGCGTAGGAGCCCATATGCCAACAGACACCGATAGATTCGGTCCAATCAACGATGGGATAATACAAGTAACAACCGTTGATGCATCATTGCCTATTATTCAGCATTAGCCCCATAACATTCAGTTTCCAAGCAATGGGTCAAACGTACGCATCAATTTGGTGATGTATTGAGAGTCATGTAACAATATGTATGCTTTATATTACACAAAACTGTTTTCATTTGGTTGGATATTATTCATTTCAGTGATATGCTTAACAAATATCTGAAAATATTTTCAAAACGCTTCACTTTACACCACTTTTTTTTATAGTTACCAATAAGATATGACAACCATTTAAAGAAAAGTACCATTCGTTTTTGTAGCCCGATTTCTGTCAGTATGCACACTTTTACCTAAATGAGTAATTCCAGTACATTATTGACAAGTCAAGTCGCATATTGTCATGTCAGTATGCATTCATAAGAAGATAGACATCAAGTATTGTGTGTACTGTCATTCACTGGAACGCTGACTAGACTGCCGACGCTTTTTAGGCTTTGTACACTTTCTATGTATTTTGTCACTAGGCTAATGTGATGCTAGAGGCAGCAGCACCGAAAACGCAACAAACAACCCCATGAAATAAAAATCGATAAAAACACGCATTCTGTAACTCCTTCAGTTCATTAATTATTAAACATCCCTAACAACTCTTATTTACGCATTGCGCCTTTGAATTCTATGATTCCATCTCATAGGAAGCAGTCTAAACTGAAATCCACACTCTAAATCATTAACCACTAAGGTAGGAGTTTTAGACCTCAACGTTGTTTCATGTTACTGCGTAGGCGGGAAAAATCTTATTGGACAACTGTTCTTCAGTTGAACAATTAAAATAAGTATCCAATTTGTGAACTAGTGACTTCATTTTCTGAGGAAAAACTGTATATGAATGATGTGCTTCTTGTCAAACAAGGTGTTGTTCCTTACAGTCACAGGTCAGTCTTTGTCTTTTGATTTTTGAAGCTCAGTGAAGTATCAGGTCTGAGGGAGAACGGTCACTACTTGTATCCAAATACCTTATTGGGTTAGTAGCGTTCTCGTATCACTCCTATTTGGTCACTTCACCACCCAGGTGACATTTCATAGAACCCACTAGTGTTCTGAATGACTCATACCACTTTTAATATACTGATTATCTCATGTTTATCAAGGTCACTGTAACTGTCTCTACATAGTACTGGTTTTTATTAAAACATATCTTAAGTCTATGACATTATAGTCTCAATTGAATACCTCTCCCGATTTCAGTTTGTGAATACCACGGGTTGAATAATTGTAACGCTCGAATCCTTAGTCGCTAGTTATTCTCGATTATTCTTGGAAATCCGCATCATAACACAATTAAAGTTACGAACAGTAAAAGCAGGTCACTATGTCAGATTGAGAAGAGAATAGGAGAAACGATAGTACGTATGCAGAAAAAGCGTGTCTGGGGAAATGCTCAATTAGTAGAAGACAAAATTTGAGTTCTTGAAACATTTCAAATAACCGGATGGATTCCAAAGACAAAAATACTGGATGACTTCAAGACAAATAAGTGAAGCTCTGAAACCCATGAAAACCAAGCAGGTTTCAGAACTGGTCCATAGATGTAATTATTTAGATCTCCTTTTTTCGTTTGACACTATAATGATGGATCTTGCCGTAGGAGAATGTTTGCTACATTTAGAGTAAATAGATGACAAAGTACTATTGTACAAGATGAACAGTCTTCTGGACACCTCAGGTGGCGCTTCTTGCCGCCAAAGAACAAATTATCACTCCAGGACTGGCTTTGCCAGTGCTCTTGCTTAACAATAAGGAGTGAAATGGTTGAGCGAGTTGACTACTTCACTTACCACCTGGGAAGTCAGATCAGTAATTGATGAAATCTCTATATGGGTACAAAATGCTTGATTAGTGATCATCAACTTATGCAGTTTATTGCACCGCTGTGATATCCCGATTATCTATCAACGAACCCAGTCTACTGCGTAACAGTTATCTTTATTCTACAATACGGCTACCAGATATGGCTATTAAAGGCAGATAAAAGGAAAAAAAAATTGTTTAACCACCATTGCTCTAGAAACATAGGCCACGTGCCGTAATGTGACAGAAACAGGTGTAAGGCTTTGGATAGAAGAGGAAAGGCAGTTGATGAGGTTGTGAACCCCCGGTCGATTTGGATGGCTGGGACACCAGTCACGCAGCCTAATCGGACAAGGTTAATTGAAGTAGGTTTTGTCTGAAAGAAGAAAAGAGGCGATCATGCTAAAACATGGTATCAATAAATGAAGTCTGTGACTATTAGTTTGAGCTGTATACAGATTTCCTAGTTATGGACCGGCCGTGATACACTTCCAATTAGCTAGTTTGAGACTAGACAAAATGGTTTAGAATGGGGTCCCTCTTTATGATTCTCAACCACTTCTGACTACTCTATCCCTTATTTCTTTGCCTTTCATCTGCCCGCCCGTCACCTTGACGTGCTGAAGTGTTACGCAGTAATGCCACGTCCCAAGTTGATGCTGACTGTGCAAATTCAAGTGAAAGGATAACATGTTGATTCTTCAGGATATGCTTCTTAAATAGACCTTTGAAATAACCAAGTGATGAAAAAATTGACAAAATATGACTCACCTGAGTATCAATGTCTAGTGGATCTTCATTACGTCTCAAGGAATTATTTTTTTTCGATGCAATTATACGATAATTAAGTCCATCAACATAGACCATACGTCTCATTTTCAGAACTGATGAAACTATACCAACCTAAAGAATGCAGTTTATAAAACGAAAAATCATGAGTTACACTATTCGAAACGTCAATAAAGGTGACAATCCAGAAACAATTTTCACTCATTTAGCTTACAAAAGTAATACTATACGGACAGCTAGGAAATATCAACCTCCCACACACTTTTAGCAGTAAACGAAATCCAATCAGCTTAAGGCCTTCCTTCCTTCTTTACATTAGTTTCTTGTCTAGACTTCACTTTCTGATACTAATATTAGTCTTTTTAGAAATTCCCCAACCTATCATCTTGTGAACACTGATACCGATACAAGCCACCAGTGAAACAGCATTCATAGTCGCCTAAAACCCTACTCTGTCGACTTCACCTTGGGACTTTCAACTTCCAAGTTCAACGCAAAATCGGTAAACAAGTGTATCCCTTGCCGAAAATCTAAAATCTTGAGTGATAAATCTATGCTTTGTTTTACGTGTACATACATTCTTTTGAACGCCTTGCACAGAAACTTGAGTATATTTGGCAGCTATTAAATATAAGATGATGTTTCAATAATCGTCTGCACCTACTCCCATTTGAATGATAAGAAGTGAAGTGGTAGAGTTTGTTGACCACTTCCTTCATATACTTTGGGAGATACATCAGATCGAACGGGTTGATTGGTGACAAAACCTCAGCTCGGTTTCAGAAGATACATCTGACATTTAGGAACTTTTATCATCTCTGACACCGGCGAGATATCCGACTACCTATTAAAGGACAAGTATACTGCACTGCGTTTCCTTCTGTTCTATTATACGGCTACTGAAAGTAGATATAAAGGAGTTACAGGTTTTCAAACACAAGATTCATTGCAGCATTGCTCACGTATGATATAACTAATTGAGTGATATTGAGGTTAGGCAATAGAGATATGTCAGCCAATAACGTTGTGAACCTTCACCTACTCAGGTGGCTTGGATACACATTGGTCATGGTGTTCCTTCGGTTACCTCAACAAGCAGTGTTAGACAAGGTTGGATTCGGTCGTAGGAAGGTTCAAGATCGTCAGACCAAGACGTAACATTATTCTATGAAGTCTCTGAACGTTCGTCTATGTCTTGTAGGGGGTGCAAACTATATGGCTGGGGTACTCGAGACAATAAGAACCAGTAGTTACAAACTCTTGATGATAGTTGGGAATCAGTAGTAATGGTGTAAATTTAGCCCCTTTTTGACGCCTTCTAAAGCTAGGGCATTTTTCCCTAATCTCGATGTGAGTGCAATGGGTGGAGAAACGAAAGTCAAAACTGCACTATACGGTAAGGTGGATTAGAATTCTTGTATTGCAACAAATAGACAGTCATTCATTTTGCGGAATCAAAAGTGTTTGAGAGTTTCGAGTATTAATCGTGTTGCGTATTATTATTCCATGCAACTCAGATCAACAGCAACGATTCTATACCATGCGTTTTAGTTCAGCCGCTTTTATTTTTCTCCGGGCTCAACTAACTCCACCTAATTAACGCGACGGAGTAGATAGTCACTAAACAGGTATAATACATACCCAAGCCACCTGAGGTGATAAAGTTTCACAAATTCGGGCTCGATGACTAACATCTGCATTAATTATTGGTCTTGTGATATCTCAACAATGCTTCAAACGCAACGGTAACCACACACCTAAAGCCTACTCATATCTTCCACCCTTGATGGTGATTTTTCAAAGCTATATCACAGAGTAGAGTGGACTGCTGTACGTTACACTTGACCATTAACAGACGCCCGAATGTCTCATGGAGACCATAGGCAGTGTAAGTTGACTACTGACTTTCATCAGCACTGGTTCGACTTCTCAGTTATAAGAAGTGGCCAAGGTATCCAACCACATCACTCTTTGTTATCAGACAAGATATTACCCCAGGTTAGTCATGGTATGAGAAGGTGGGAAACACTTACTCAGAGTTATCAATTCGTTTCATTTGACATACCCACAATGTAGCATTTTGACAGCATCTTCACCTAACAAGACTATGTCTCCTGCGCACTCCGAGTTAACCAAGGAGTTACCTGTAGTGAAACTAGTCACTGTGAAGTCAGACAAGGAGGGAGGGAGAGAAAAAAACCTCTATGAGTCCTTCTGTGACGAAATTAAATGAACATTCCTCATATTATTACTATTATAATTATTATTTGTCCCTTGGGTTCCTAGTGGGAAATATGGCTTCGGTAGCACGTCGCCATTTCACTTTATTCTCTGCATTCTTTTTAACCTGGCTCCATGACTGCCCAGAAGCTTTCATTTCTTCCTTATACGATCTCCTCCATGTCATCCTCAGACGCCCAACTTCTCGTTTCCCGTTTGGGTTCCACTCGACAGCCTGGTCTGGCGCGTGATGTTCCCAAACGGTCTTCTGGGTGTATGCCCATTCCTCATAGACACAAACCAATGTATAAATTCAATTGACGCCTCAACCTAAACTCAAAAGCAACCACCTGTGTTCGAATAGAGAGACTACAGTACAGTGATGTAGTTGCCCGACACTTCTTCCAGTGAATCACAATGACATAAGACATTTCGGTCGGCAGAATAAATGTCACTCACAGGTCGTGAAATGTTACCAATGTCGACGATTCGTAAGTGTTTCTGTCTTCCAAGATCCGGTAGTTACAACGAAATCACGTCTCAAATCTCAGGTTATTTAGGGTCACCTCCCCGAGCTTCACCTAGGTGTTTGCTGATCGTACAGCTTATGATCAATGATGGGTTGAAGCGTTCTCTTCGGAGTTCCAGTCGTACTCCCCACTCCGAGTAAATCATATACTCGTCTTCATTTCTCAAGGTTTCTTCACCCATTGTCAATTATTTTAACTCACTTTTCTTGATAATTTTCAACGAAAGAGTAGTAATGTAGTAGTGTGGTTTTGTCCTAAGGAGCTTTTAGAAAACAGAGCAGACTATGACTAGCCGAGTTGCATCAGTACTAAAGCATACGCCAGTCTGATGAACAGTTGATATCTCCATAACACAAAACGTTTGTATGAATAATACTTGGAAACAGTAAAGTATGAAGTCTCTGACTGTTGGTTTAAGCCATGTAGGACGATACAGACTAGGTGGTTGGGGTCCATGGGACAAGAGGGACCAGTGGTTGGAGACCCTAGGTGATATGGCTCAGAACCGAAGTCAGTGGCGCAAATGTATACACACATTATCCTCATCTTAACAACGCTATACCGAATCTCACCATTTTGTAACTCCTCTTTCCTTTCTTCTCGTACTTTATATTTCTTTTGACTGCATTCACTTATCTTCATCCTTCGCCTCACTACCTTTTTACTTGATGTGCTGATATGAGGTGTGGCAACTCGGACCGTTACGCAGTAATGCCTGGTCCTATGTTGATAATGATGATGATGATGATGAAAGCTAATAGACAAGAACTAGAAACGCTGCACTTATTAACGCTGTCGGTAAGACACAGAATCAGTTAAAGAAATCAACTCGGTTAGTTTTAACTAATCAGTAAACTGGGGAAGTACATTAGAATATGAATGTTCAAAACAAACTTAGAACAGAACGCAGTGATCAATCATAAAGGATTTAAACTTCTGAGTAATCTGAAACATGAGGTTTTTAACCATCCAGAAAATCAAGTTACTAGTTAACGAAAAAGTAATCGGTTCTATGTTCTGTCTAAAACACAGTCCTCAGGTTCCAATATAATAGCAACTAACTGAAAGCAAATTTTCACAAGTTGTCTTAGTATGGTCAATATGAAAACTTACTTTTCCTTTATCGGGTCCATCAAGTATGCGAACACGATCACCTTTGAAAATTAACTGGTTCTCAGGCAACATGGGTTGTAATTTGCGTACATCTTTTCGACCATCTTCATGAATTACACACCAAGTAGTATTTGGATACGGGAACTCTGATAGACGATTGGCAATGTTCCAAGGAGGTTTCTCAGAGAAGTGCCAAATTGGTAAGAATTTTTCTTCTCTCATCTGAAACATAATGTGAAGAACACTACTCATTAAAATTGATATCAGTAGTATATATACTGATACATTGGAACATTATTATTCATATCCTCGATTTAAAAAAAGGTGAACTATAAGTTCTGCTGGAAACATAGTCCAGTAAATAATACTGTTTCGCTGTGTCAAGTGCCCAACAGATGAACTAACAAAGAATTAATTATATACTAACACTGACTAAACTCTACTCTTACATTAAGACAGTAGTTCACTCGAACATATTTTTACAACAAAACATTATCAGTTAATTTTTTTTTCTTACTTGAAGGAGGGCGACTTAAACAGCCACTCTGGTAACTGGTGCAATAACCAATCAGGTCTCAGTATTCAGACTAAAAAGATAGTTTTTCATAAAATATACAAGCCTAATTCCTAGGATGATCAAACCGTATATTCTCTCGCTTAGATATCCTCTGAACAAGAACTAAGGAGAAAAAAACTATTAGAAGTATGCACTACACGCCATCATGAACAAGAAAACATATTCACTTTCACAGATTTGTTTTACCGCTTCAGAAGTGAAACTTGATGGTTAGTTGACGAGAAAAGAATATGCTTTGATGCTATATAGACAGAAAGGTCACTTAGTTTTGCAACCTTGTTCAAAGGAAGCAGATATCGATAATTTTGCAAAAAAAACATGTAAAGAGAAGAGTGAAAAATCTAGAAATGATTAGATGTATCCTACATCAGAGCGAGAGAATCTGATTGAAATCAAACAGAAAGCATCTCCTGAAGTATCCTACATTATAACTTACAAAATTACAGCTTTAGGTTTTTATAATGTGCAATTCAACTCACTTTCACATATTCAACCGTCCACTAGAGATAAATTAACTAGAAATTAACATAAGATTCCTATTACGATATGCTAGAGAACAGCCTCAAGTGTGTCAATGGTGAGAATACACGTAGAAATTATCTAAGGAGTCAGAACCTCTTATAATTTCGTATAACACCGTCCCAGTAGCCCACATAGATGTCTTTGTATGTAATGGAATAACCATTTGAGTAATGTTAAGGTCAGGTGAAGATTATAGTCAAGATAAACAAATAGATTGGTGAGGTTGTGAACGTTAATCGACTGAGGCGGTTTGCATATGTACTGAGCATTGCAAGCCACCACCTATCTCAAGATGCCGCGCTATAAGCTGAATTAGGTTGGGAGAGGGTTCAGAGTGGTCAGATTACGACGTGGTTTCAGTTGTGTGGGAAGACGTAGACTGCCTGCTTGACGACTCTTGGCAACATGGGTGAAAATCGGTGACAAACGTGCAGATGAATACATGCTTAGACATTTAAAGCTTGAATATTCGCATTAACCGCTATCTTCAAATTCTTTATTTTATCTCTTTTATTATCCACCTACTCTTTGTATGCTACTGTGAAGTATGGCAACTTGAGCCGGTGAACCTGTGTGAGACGTTCTATGTTGATATTGTCAATCAGTCAGCCCAGAAGCAGTTGATTTAAGTCTTGATGTGATTCAATTTTCATGAATTTTATTGATGACCCCTTCCTACAACATTCAGCGAAGAGACTCTTTTCAACGAATTTATTTTCAAGCTGTACAATCGTATATATATGGTATTTGGAAAAAATTATATCCTGCGCTATTCTGTCAAACTTGCTTTGGTGAAAACTGAGATTACTTTCCTCGAAAGTTGTATTGATACAAATGAATATCCGAAACTGTTCTGGAAAGCACTTAGGAGAAACCATATCCGGCCCAATTCTAAAACACTGAAGCGTCATGCACTTAATCGTATTGATGCCATTAGCTCTCGTATTGTTGAGTTAAAACGAAATATATCCACGAGAAATCATGCCCTTTATGAGTTATCTACTGATGAACGCAAACAGTTCGAGGAGTATGTCATTACAGTCGTAGAAAAACAGTCTCAGTCGGCCAATCTTAAACACTCCGATGGTCTGAAGCCAGTTGAAATGGAAAGTAAATTTCCGAATAATCCAGAAAAGTATGTATTTAACCACTCTCACGTTAATCTTTCGACAATTCAAATGCAAGCCCTATCGCTGGGCTCAAAGTTTTGCAGCAGTGCATCCAAGGTTAACAGATTACATACCCAAGTACAATTTGAAAATTTAATCAGCCAGATTGTCGGTCTTACGCCTGCATCGCCGCAAGAATTCCAGCATTTCAAGTCCACTGTTCTAGATTGCTGTCACCAATTTATCAACTCCAAAATCAGTTCTAGCTCTTTATTAACCAAGGACCATATACAACAGCTAAAACTAATCAAAGATAACAGGGATATTATCATAAGCCGTCCTGATAAGGGAGGAGGCATTGTCCTAATGAATCGTCAGGAGTATACTGATAAACTTTCCGTAATCCTCTCTGATCCCACTAAGTTTAGTAAACCCGAAGGTGAGCCCAATAAGACACATATAATTGAAACACAACTCACAAATGTCTTAAAAAACATGAGGGATAAATCAATAATTGATCCTGATTTATATGAACGTATCCGACCGGTTGGCTCTATAATCCCACGTCTATATGGACTACGGTACATAAAGCGGGATTACCTCTTCGTCCGATCCTCGATATGGCTGGTTCTCCCTATCACCGAACTGCTCAATGGTTAGCTGAAATTCTGGAACCTGTTAGAAGGCAAGTATCGAGTTTTTCTATCCGTGATACATTTCAGTTTGTTGAGGGTATTAAGGATTTTAATGCTCTAAACAAGATGATGTTTTCATTAGACGTCACTTCATTGTTCACGAGTGTGCCACTCACCGAAACTGTCTGTTATGTATGTGACTATATTGATGCACATAATTTAGACGTAGGACTACCAACGAGCTGCTTGAAAGAGCTTTTGTTGAGGTGCACATTTAATGTCCAATTCAGTTTCAATAATGAAATCTATAGACAGAAAGATGGAATTGCGATGGGGTCACCATTGGGACCACTGCTAGCAGATTTCTTCATGTCGAAACTGGAAAATTCACAACTTCGTCAAACTATTGATAGCTTTGACTTTTATAGAAGATATATGGACGACACGTTTGTTATTTGCGACAAAAATGTAGACCTCGACGACGTGCTTCGTTCATTCAATGAATGTCATCAAGCCCTCAAGTTTACTATAGAGAAGGAATCAGAATCAACTATTCCTTTTCTTGATGTGCTTCTCACCCGACGTCAGAATGGATACCTTAAAAGATCCATCTACAGAAAACCAACGTGGAACGGACAACTAACTAATTTTTATAGTTGGGTGCCCATCAACAGAAAAAGAAATCTTATTCACTCTCTTTGCTATCGAATAAGAAGTATCTGTAGTGACGATTGTATCGAGGAAGAGCTATCTTTCTTAAAAAGCATACTTGTCGAAAACGGTTACCCTAGCCGTTTTATTGATAAAAATATGCGGGAAAGAAACACTAAACCAGTCATCCACTCGGTCTCAAAGAAAAGATTGTTTATGAGCCTAGAGTTTAAAGGAGACCTAGCATCGGATGTACTGAAGAATCGTCTTACCAGATCAATCAATAGGACTTTCTTCGCAGCAAGACTCCAGTTGACTTTTACCAGCCGCAACCTATTCTCCACCTGCGTTAAAGACAAGCTTCCTCGTTTGGCCGCCTCTATGTGCATCTACCAGTTCACCTGCTCTTGTGGAGCAAGGTACATCGGCCGTAGCCAGAGAATGCTTTCTACACGTATACGAGAACATGTTCCTGCTTGGTTTTATAAAGGTGAAAGAAAGTCTGTTAGAAGTTCGATTCTAGAACATTTGATTGACTTCCATCACACAACAAATCCAGACGATGACTTTGAAATTATTTATCGAATTCGCCCAAACCTCCCACGTTCTCTTCGTTTTCAACTCCTTAAAACAGCGGAGGCTTTAGCTATTCATGAACTAAGACCTGATCTGTGTGTACAAAAGAAGTATGTGCAGTCACTGTCTTTATCATGGCCATAACATTTTCCCACCCCATTAGCTCCCCCTCCCACTTTGTTAATTTAACCTTTGTATCCTTCCTTTATCACTATTATTGTTATTATAATCGCCTTCACTTCAACTAGTTTCCGGTGTTGTTTCACTTAATTGTCTTAATCCTTTTAGAAAACATTGACTTCATCTTGTCCAATTTGTCTAATGCCATTACATAATACTTAATTGATTTACCATTTTCAACAATTTTTTCACCCCCTTCTGAGTTATATACTCTCTATGTACCATTCCATATATTACATAATCTATTTGTTATCATTCGCACTTCAATTGTTATTATAATCATAAATGCCTATGTCATCACCCGCTCTATTATTATTGTCATCACCATATAGTGTTTAGTTTTCCTCACAGGATATAATTTTTTCCAAATACCATATATATACGATTGTACAGCTTGAAAATAAATTCGTTGAAAAGAGTCTCTTCGCTGAATATCTTGTTCTTAATGTTACAATGGGAATTATTTTTTAATTTAAAAAAAAATTAATAAGAACAAGAATTCATTCAATTTCTGATCTGCTTAACTGTGATACGGGTGCATTTTGAATACATCATTTGTTTACACCTTGTTTCAAAGTAGACTCCCTTCCGGAATACATACTGAACAACCATGTGGACATCCGTGTAGTAGGCAATAGGCTACACTTATTGTTTGAAGGCTAATGATACTACCCGGCTGCCCAAACCTCGGTAAGTGGAGCAGGTCTCGAATCTGTGACCCAACCACAGCTCCACAGTGTCACAACCCAATGACGACTAAAGTCACTAAATTCGAGAAACGAAGACCCAGCATTTGATGGTGCTAAGTATAAGTCTCGACATTCTCTAAAATGTAGGTTAAGATCTGTTACCATGTCGATCATTTTTTGCCTTTACAACACAAAATAAAGTAGATCATAATACCGACAGCATAAAAGTTGTACAAAGGATTGGACAACATAATAATGGAATTTATCGCCAACGAACGATGCTAAAAAAGGCTGATTAAAAAAGAGCAATGCCTTTACAAAAACATATACTCACTTCGTTAGGCAATGAATCAGCTTGTTGAAAATTATGCTCAGTTTCAAAACGCCAACCTAATAGTTCTTTCCGATAAACAGGACGAAACCGGATGAGACGGGACACATAACGCATCCAGTAGTTAAATTTATACATAGGATCCTAAAAGAAAGTACATTATTAATGCAGACAGAACAAAACATTATACAACGCAACAGATAAATGCAGGATAGGACAGAAACTACTTCAGAAATATATAGTAAAGCAAATCTACACTTTCAGGAATAGTAATTTCTAGGAATGCATCTGTCTGTGTCATATTCTCAAGAAAGTAAACTCCGTCAGTAAACAGTAAGCAGGATGACCTAGGGAATTGATTCACTTTGAATTCTTATCCAGTGAAGTGAAACATCAAGTGGAAATAACTCCTGCAAACTCTCATCGACAACAGATATATACCATTACTTCAGTTGGTATATCATGGCAGAATTAGGTGGACATATGTTGATGATGGACTTCAATACGTAAGAAGAAAAAAAACATGAGAAACAGGAATACAAGTTTAATATCATGTAGCAGGAATTTATCCAGTAAAAGTATGAATTCAGATGATGAGTAAAACATTTTGAACTGGGTGTTTCGCTATCAAAAATAGTTTATTACAAAGAGAAACATTACAATACTACATCTAATCATGTTTTTGTTATCACCACGATAAAAATTCTAGAATATCATTTAACTATCTAAGATAACCGTAGTTTAGTAGACTAATATTGATACTGAGTGAAATGAAAATTTAGACAGCAGCTGGATTTGAACCAGCGACCAACAGGTTTCCGGCCCGATGCTCTATCAACTGAGCTATGAAGTTCGACTGTTGATCAGATTCTTATTTCATTTCAATCACAAACGGGGTTTTACCTGACTACAATGTGGAATATACGAGCTGAAACGTCAACCCAATTTACTAACTCCTTGAGGTTAAACCTGGATTTTTACTTTTGAATCTAAAAGTTATCCTTTCTATGTATCATACAGTAATAGTAGTTTTAAAAAAACAACTACAATTTAAACCCACTTATGATCAAACCTCACATAATTGAAGTAACAATGGTTGTGTGATTTTATATCGACAGTGGATTCTCTAGGTGTATTAGATCATCAATCTACATTATTTGTCTACCTAATAGTTTGTGCCAAATGTATATCTAAACAACTGTAAAACTTTTCGCTTACAATGGGAATCAATGACATTTTAAACAAAAGTGGAAAATAGGTTTAAAAAGATCTTCATAACAAAATAATTTCTTCATTCATTTGCTATATACTCCATATATAATCTGGATGACTTTGTGTACACAATGATTTATAGGAAAATACTTTACGCCTTCTTAAAATAAATACTCTACTGAATGCTTATGAATCAAAGAACTGTAAATTAGCATACTATCCTGTTTACATGAGCATAAAAAAAGCATTTGTATCAATCTGAATAAGAATAACCACTACATATTATTATTTTTCCCTTGGGTTCCTAGTGAAACATAGGGCTTCAGTAGCACGCCTCCATTGGACTCTGTTCTCTGCAGTCTTTTTAAACTGGCGCCACGATTGCCCACAAGCTTTCATTTCTTCTTCACACAATCTCCACCATGTCACCCTCGAACGCCAAACTCGTCGTTTCCCCTTTGGGTTCTAATCGACGGTTTAGATTAGTAAAAGTCTGTCTTGCTTTTCCAATCCTGGTTTTGACATCCTCGTCTATGCCGCCTAGGTAAGTGAAAGAGACTACTTCTTTTAGGTTTCTCCCGTTAACGGTGATTGGCGCTTGTTGTTGGTTGGGTATCTTCATCACCTTTGTCTTCTCTACATTCACTTGAAGTCCCGTCTTTGTTGCCTCATATGTCAACTTGTTAGTTTTCACCTGTAGATATTCGAGCTAGTGCGACATTAGACATAAATCATAGTATAGTTCTTCATACAAATTCAATGATACAAGTGAATAGTAGTAGTTGAAGATTTATTGACAATACGAGTTTTCGTACTGTTATTGTGATCCGCAAGCCAGGATCGGAAAAGCAAGATAGGCGTTTATTAACCTGAAACCAGTGTGGAGATCTGTACTCAGTATAAAACGTGAACAAGATCCGGATTTGCAACACTAATGTCAAGTCAGTGCTTCTATGTGATGGTCGAGACTTGATGCGTTACGAAAGGGATTTCCAACAAACTACAGATATTCATCAACAACTTCCTATGTCGGCTCGTTTCTGAAGCTCAGATGACCAGAATAGTGAGAATAAGCAACAAGGAACTCACTCTGGCTGGCAACGAACCAACCAAGAACCTACCACTCAACAAATACGCAGAAGGAAGTGGAGATGGATTGGGCATACACTGAGAAGACCGTTCGGGGACATCACGCGCCAGGCTAGTTGCTCGAGGAGAAGCCAGATGGGAAACGACGAGTTGGGTGTCCGAGGTGAGGGTGACATGGAGGAGATCGTGTGAAGAAGAAATGAGAACTTGTAGGCAGTTGTGGAGCCAGGTTGAAAAGAATGCAGAGAAGAGAGTGCACTGGAGACGCGCTACTGAAGCCCTATTTCCCACTAAGAACCCAAGGGACAAATGATAATAATATTGTGAACCTCTGGTATCCATCTACTCAACCTATCAGTATCGAGAATTCATTTCCATCTCTTTGGCAAGAGTCCAAACTACCTGAAGAGTATAAAGTGGCAATTTTATGGGGAAGCATTTTATTGAGAGTAAACTCTACCCACCTTAGAGATGATATGGTATTTAATGTACATTCACTTACTCAAGACAAGAAGAATTTTCAACAGACTTGACTCTTTCAAGTTCCTACATCAAGTATGATTGCCGGTTACTTATGAACTAAAATTTTGTCTGTGTTCCGGAACCAGACAAACCATCAAATCTATAACCAACCTCGTTGTTTCAGGTTTCTTATTCATGAACTCCAGTAAAGTATCAAAAATAATAACGGATCGTAATATCTTGATAACAATGGTAGTTCAGTGAGTGAATATCATCTTCCATACATGAGAAAGTCTAACGATCGAGATATTCACAGTAGAATCGAAATACACTCAGCAACCTTGTGGACATTCGTGCACTAGGCGGCAATGAACCACACATTTTATGCAACGGCCCGAACTTTACTGGGTGGTGTAGGACTCAAACTCATGACCCATTGGTTGAAAGTCATCTCTCTAAATTATCCACAGTAGCGTTTAACATAGCCTACTTCTTTTGAACTAACAGAGATTCCCAAGTCGTTTCACCAAGAAGCAGCCTAATATAATGTAACTGGATACAATATTCAAATGCTCAATTCTAAGAGATGTGGAAAAATCATTCAGACATAATGCAAGTGCCATTTATTTCCCAAAGACGTCCAATATTCTGATATTTACATTCCACTTCATAATAAATATGATAACGCCCTGACGTTTGAACCGATTGCTCCCGAGTCCGAATCCCGTTGGGAACAACATCACTCACTGGGGAGCAGGTACATCTAGCTAACAAGTCCCAAGTAGGATGAAATGCGCATCCTTGATTCCACTGCTAGCCACAATCCATCATTAAGAGATGAATCACATTTTATTTCTCAAAATTAAAAACATATTTCATAGTTTCTATGTACTTTATACACATTACAAAAGAAATAAACAAACCTTTCTCGGAGATAAGATTCATCTTTTGATCACATTGGTTATTTTTAAAACAGAATATTTTCAAAACTTTTTTATTTAATATATATATATATATATATATATATATATATATATATATATATATATATATATATATGATAGAAGGAAGTGAAAGCACAGTAATTTGTTTAAAACAATTAAAGATAGGAACCCAAAAATGGAATAACCTAAAATCCAACTAATAAGACAAGATACATAACAGTGTTGTTGATTGAGGCACAGTATCCAATAAGGGGAAAAAAATCTTCAGTTCATGAAAATGCATACAGAAGCGGGTTGCTTAACCTCAGTTAATTCTTCCACGTCATGCTTTAAAGCCATTGAAAAATAAAAGTTCGGACATCTGTACAGAAAGAAAAAAAAATAGATATTTAGTAAAACAAACAATGTGAGCGAAGAAATATTTCTTTTCAATTAGTTCCTCATCAATGGCTCTACACTAATATAGCATTTTTAGATGTCCGATTGACAAGGAAGTGGATGGAACTATAAAAAGAAGTGTGTATCGGAAACCAACGTCAACAGGTCAATACACCCACTTCTTGAGTTTCGTCCCCTTGCAATATAAACGAAATCTAGTTAAATGTTTGGTCCATCGGGCGAGACTCATCTGTTCAGATGATAGTTTTGACGAAGAGCTTCAAATTATCCACGATCTACTCAGTAGTAATGGATATCCAGAAACGTTCCTGGCCAAAAATATGAACACATCCAATATGAAAACCAGAATGCCTACAGTCTCCAAGAAACCATTGTTCCTAAGACTACAATTTCGAGGTGACATCATCAGCGAAATTGTGACACAACGCTTAAGAAATGCCGTAAGAAGATCATTTAATGCCGCCAAGTTATGTTGTGTTTTCTACAGCCAAGCGATGATGACCACACGAACTAAAGACAGACTCCCTGACTTCTCCTCTTTTATGTGCATTTACCAGTTCAACTGCTCCTGTGGAGCTAGTTACATTGGACGTACAGTTAGGCGAGTCCGTCGTCGAATCGCCGAGCATCATCCTTCATCGCTAAGTAAGGGGGAAACCAGACTGACACGAAGCTCAATACTCTCTCATCTGATTGACACCAGCCACCGAGTTAACATTCATAATGCCTTTAAAGTTATTTATCACATTCTTTCTCACCTCACCCATCCTCTACGAGTCCGTCTTTTACATACAGAAGAAGCCATAGGAATCCACCTACACAAGCCACGTCTGTGTGTTCAGAAGAGATTCGTACAGCCTCTTTCTTTGCCTTGGCCATCTGTATAGCTCATTTATTACAACAAGACTCTTCATTTCATCCACCACACAATTCACTATAACTAATATTTCAATAGCTCCATTATTATTATTATTACTATTATTACAGACTTAATCATCTTTCTCTCCCCCTACTGTCTGTAATTACCGTCAACAATTTACCATTTTACGTAGCAGTTCATTTTTGCTCTTTAGTTATCATCATACAAAATATCAACTATGTAAGAACCTGTTCACAAAATCTTTCCACTATAATTAATCTGTGCTTTAGTTAACTGTCTTAATTACCTGATCAATTATCACCTTCTTGATACTCTGAGATTGATAACCTTTCATTGAACAACTCTCACCACTATATTGGTACGTAATTTTACGTTTGAAAATGCTATATTAGTGTAGAGCCATTGATGAGGAACTAACTGAAAAGAAATATTTCTTCGCTCACATTGTTTGTTTTACTAATTGTCTAAATGGGAATTTTTGCATTACAAAAATAGATATGCAGTTTAAACCCTTGTAAAATGTTAAACAAGTTGAAGCATGCACTATTCATCTATTTCTATAACAATTACGAAGAAAAGAAGAATGCAACATAATATTTATTCGAACCCACAAAAATTATGTCAATAGTTGATTGAACAGTGTTATTTTGTTCAAGAGTTAAGAAAACAGCTACTAATAATTTTTGCCGTTATATAAAGAGAATTTCAGACAAGCAGATGTTGGTATGTACGCCACAGCTAGCATAAGAATCCAGAACGCGTATCTCGTCCTACTTAAGACTCCTCAGTTAGATATACCTGCACACCAGTGAGTGATGATGTTCCCAGTGAGACTCAAACCTCGTACCCACCGTTCCAAATGCCAACGCCATGTACACACGATAGCCACCTCTTGTGCAACGGGTATTAGTTATTACCATACATTGATATGATTGTAATACTCTGTTCTTTTGCTGGATCGAACTGCTCTATTGACATATGAGTACCTAGGCGGATGCCTCGGTATCGCCTGAATGTTAATTATAGTGATCTACTTGGTTGTCGCGTATACAGAAATCCAGGAGGAGCATTTCGTCGAACAATTCGATACAGTGAAACAACAGAGGAATATAAACAACAGATATGAAAACCTAATACACACTATACAACACACGCCTATCGTACCTATTAAGGCCCAAAGGATAACGCCTAAGCGCTTCCCATGCAAGTCTGGTTGATAACCATCCACTAAATAATCGAAATCCTCATTTTCATTGTATAGTCGTGACGGAACTATGATTATTTTTCAATAAAGTTATTAGAAATTCACACCAACGTGCATTGATACATACCATCCATGAATGTAAGCCTCTGTATATATATATATATATATATATATATATATATATATATATATATGTGCTGATTCTATTTCAGACGTTAGTTAATAGAGGTGCTACATATCACTTTCTGAATAAATGTAAAACAACACAATGAATGGATGTTGACAAGACTCGCCTTTCTCTGATTTCCTCTTTCTTTCTCAAAGGCCACAGAATAAATAAATACCAATAATGAGAAACACATTTATACAGTAGGATGATACAATATTGTTTATTGTAGATGACGATAACAAATTAGTTCAAATAGGAAGCTCTCAGGAAGATAGGAAGATCTCAGAGAACAGAGGTCACTGGAGGCGTGCTACTGAAGCCCTATGTTCCACTAGGAACCCAAGGGACTAATAATAAAATAATAATAAGGAAGCGAATAAGATGCGACATTACTACTGTTGGGTTAATCTCAACCTACACATCGAGCAAATAACCATCCTGATAGATTTATACTTAGAATCTGGAAAAATGAAGTGAAGAATAGTCTGAGATGTTCTCCAAACAAATCGATCAACACTGTGGTGATTCTATATCGCAAAAAGACATAGGAAGAAATCACAAGAATTCTAAACAAGCATGACATAAAGGATTATTTCCATACAACAAATAATCTACGTTCTGTTTCGATGAAGGTCAACACACACAATACCGATGGTTAACCAACAGAATTGTGTCTATGCAATCAATTGCTCAGATTGTGCTTGAGTATATATAGGGGAAACATCCAGGCAAGTGAATGTAAGGGTCAAGGAACATAGATAATGTCTAAAATAGATTGTAAAACACCTCAGACGACATTCAGAGATTGAAGAATAAGTAGATTATCGAAAGCACTACTACATTCTACAGAAATGGGATATAAGGTTGGTTGCTATGGCACACAAGTTCTAAAAAAAGGTTTTGTGTTATATAGAACATATTTTGGCTAATCCCAACAACTTGAATTGACGACACAGAGTGCAGCTGGCTGCTCCGTGTCAAAAAATGAGTAGTGAATAGTCGTAAAGAAAGCCAAACAAGCATTAATATAATTTATGTAAATTAGTAGTAATGTCCCATTTTATTCTATTACTACTTCTGTTAGTTGGTCATCACCATCTACAATGAACAATGTGCCATGATAATTTATTTATTATCATTATTAGTCCCTTGGGTTCCTAGTGGAACAGTAGTAATGTCGCATCTTATTCGCTTCCTATTTGAACTAATTTGTTATCGTCATCTACAATAAACAATATTGTATCATCCTATTGTATAAATGTGTTTCTCATTATTGGTATTTATTTATTCTGTGGCCTTTGAGAAAGAAAGAGGAAATCAGAGAAAGGCGAGTCTTGTCAACATCCATTCATTGTGTTGTTTTACATTTATGCAGAAAGTGATATGTAGCACCTCTATTAACTGACGTCTGAAATAGAATAAGCACATATACACACACGCACATACAGAGGCTTACATTCATGGATGGTATGTATCAATGCACGTTGGTGTGAATTACTAATAACTTTATTGAAAAATAATCATAGTTCCGTCACGAGTGTGCAATGTTAGTGACAACTATGATAATTTCGCTGAAGAAGCTCGGTTCAGACGTTGGAATTTCTTATTTCAAAGACGGTGAGATTTGTTCAACCATAACGTAAATGTAATGGCAACTTTTCACTCGGCACCCAATGTTTATGAAAGTATCCGGTCAAATCTTGACCAGGATCTATATAAAATATATGCTGAAGTAAGTTGGAAGGGTTACCAAAATAACACAAGATATCATTGGCTATCTTATGTAAGCAACCAAGTCAGCTGCTTATTGTAGTTATCTTTTTGTTTGTAAATCGACTCTAAAGCATGTCTATGCGGTAGAGATTCGTTTTATTGCTTAAGTTGAAAGTGTTCCCTTCAAAAGCCTCAACTTCGTGAGGTGAGTCACTCAGGCGAATACGAAGAATTAAATTTGCTGGAACAGTAAACCAGTTAAACTGCTCTTCGAATTGCTTCATCCAGTGTCACTGAAAGTCGCTGATTGGGATATGTTTCATACTGTCTACTGTCTTAAGGAAACCAGACTTCTTTTTTCTAGTGACTCGAATGAATTAGAACAGTCTTCATTTAACTTACAGCCTGTAGTTGACAGGGTTCACAGTTCTTAAGTAGGTGCCATATGATTTGTCCTGTGAGGGATCTAAACATATCAATGAATTCGCTTCACGCTGAAATAGACTGAAAAGAATGAAGATGTTGCAAAGAACTCACAAAGATCTAGTACTTGTTAGTGGAACATTTTTCACAGCGACAAGCAGTTTTGCTCACCACTTACATGGTGTCTTGTAGACCCAGACAATGACTACCTATATTGTACGTGCTTGATAACTAATCTTGAACCCGATTTCATCCGGTATTTATTTGCAATACCGAAAGTAACCGATTCGATAGGTTGTTCTGTTCCATCGAAACGCTTGATAAAACGAGATTACACAATTGGTCTGGAAGGAAGACTAGTATTCAATACAACAGCGTGGTCGATAATTATGGTAATATGATTTACCTGTGTTTAGGCTTCAGTAACGAAGATGGAACGTCTGGTAACAACAGATTGATGACAGTTTCAGAGGTTGATGCTAACTAGAAACAGGTGATCTGTACAGAACTGTAGACGACTATCCTACCTACCTGACATGTTATTGTCTAAT